GGAATCCCGAAGAGTGGTGTGGTGGGTGGACAACAACGCCACCTGCGGCCTCGTGATAAAGGGGCAGCAGAAGCTGGGCTATGCATACTCTTGCCCGAATCTTCTCCCAGCTGGACCAGGAGCACCCATCCATGTGGTGGGTCTCACGCGTGTCTTCCTTTTCGAACCCAGGTGATGCGCCATCGCGAGGTCATGGCATCGAGGTCGTGACGATGGTGGGAGCATCTGAAGTCCAACCCTTCACCCGCTTAGAAGAGCTGGCGAAGAGGATCCTTGAGCTCAAGCGAGCTTGAACGTCATCGGGGGTTGTAGGGCTCACTTGAAGGCCGTAGTGGCGGCCGGGAGACTTCTTGAGACTGCACGTGGCCCTCGCGATACCCCTGATGCTGTATGAGAAAAAGAAGGATCCAACTGGGTTGAATATACATGAGTTGTTCCCATCGGGAGTTTGTAGGAGATTTTTAAGATGAGATATTCCGATTGAGTCTTAGATTGAGATGAGTTTTCGCCTTTTGGAATTTTATATATGTTTGGGAATGGAGATACACCAAACCAGGAAACCCCCGTACCCAGAAAGAGGGGCGTTTTCGGCTTGCCGACACGACTCTCTTTCCCTTGGGTGCGGGAAGCCCGGGAGGTGCCGGGCGGGTTTTCTGGTGCTCATGATGCCGCTACGGGGAGCCTTGTTGTAGGTGCCCCCTTTTTAGTGGTTGACTGGGATGTTGCAATTATTTCATCTCAGACGCAGGCAGGCAGCCAAGCTGACTTGATTGTACCATGTTTTAAGTATGCATGAGATACTTTTATTTTGTGGAAAAACTTTCCTCAATCAGTACATGAGAATTTGTGGGCATGAGTGACTTTTGCTTGATCTTGGTCCCGTGCAGTCTCAAACCCTTTTGAGCCAGGGGAAGGAAAATTTTCTTGCCCTCCCTCCCTCCCTGTGATGGGGTTGGGGGTTGTGGGGCTCACTTGAAGGCCGTAGTGGCGGCCGGGAGACTTCTTGAGACTGCACGTGGCCCTCGCGATACCCCTGATGCTGTATGAGAAAAAGAAGGATCCAACTGGGTTGAATATACATGAGTTGTTCCCATCGGGAGTTTGTAGGAGATTTTTAAGATGAGATATTCCGATTGAGTCTTAGATTGAGATGAGTTTTCGCCTTTTGGAATTTTATATATGTTTGGGAATGGAGATACACCAAACCAGGAAACCCCCGTACCCAGAAAGAGGGGCGTTTTCGGCTTGCCGACACTACTCTCTTTCCCTTGGGTGCGGGAAGCCCGGGAGGTGCCGGGCGGGTTTTCTGGTGCTCATGATGCCGCTACGGGGAGCCTTGTTGTAGGTGCCCCCTTTTTAGTGGTTGACTGGGATGTTGCAATTATTTCATCTCAGACGCAGGCAGGCAGCCAAGCTGACTTGATTGTACCATGTTTTAAGTATGCATGAGATACTTTTATTTTGTGGAAAAACTTTCCTCAATCAGTACATGAGAATTTGTGGGCATGAGTGACTTTTGCTTGATCTTGGTCCCGTGCAGTCTCAAACCCTTTTGAGCCAGGGGAAGGAAAATTTTCTTGCCCTCCCTCCCTCCCTGTGATGGGGTTGGGGGTTGTGGGGCTCACTTGAAGGCCGTAGTGGCGGCCGGGAGACTTCTTGAGACTGCACGTGGCCCTCGCGATACCCCTGATGCTGTATGAGAAAAAGAAGGATCCAACTGGGTTGAATATACATGAGTTGTTCCCATCGGGAGTTTGTAGGAGATTTTTAAGATGAATATTCCGATTGAGTCTTAGATTGAGATGAGTTTTCGCTTTTTGGAATTTTATATATGTTTGGGAATGGAGATATATACACCAAACCAGGAAACCCCCGTACCCAGAAAGAGGAGCTCATCCTGGAAGGGGTGGAAAAGCACCAATCAGAGCTTCGAAAATGCTTTCTTCAGCATTGGGCAGCCTCCCACATGTTGCATTACCTGGAACAGGGCCGAGAAGACACCATTGGCATCCTCACTGTCATTGATCAGATTCGAAGCGCCCGTTCCCGCCATGGGAAACAAGTCTTGCAAATTGCTTCAGCGAATGTCACCTCGCACCGAAGTGAAGTCACCACCTGGGCAGCAGGGCTCACCGCAGATATCATAATGTTACAAGAGACACATGCCCAGGGTAAGGCCCTCCACAACATCGAAGTTGACTTCAACAATGCGAAGCTGGCAACCACCACGGTCCCAGCTGCCCCCGCGGAAGGAGGCACCAGTGGTGGACTGCTTATGGCCTACCAGCCTCACTTCAACATACGGACTTGGTGCTCCCATCAAGAGGAAGGAAAAGGCTTCATCGTCAATGTGATGCGACTTGCAGGTTTTGAACTTGCAGTAGGATGTGTTTACGTACCTGCAATCGGGGGTAGGACCGACCTGTGGTACCCGTCGATCTTGAGCGAGCTCATAACCAAGTTGCAAGCCCTCTCCTGTCCTTGGTTCCTTGCAGGCGACTGGAACTGCCCAGACGAGGAACTCGAATAATGTGGCTTCGTGGGCTTCACCAAAGGGGTCATTATTGCCAGTCCAGAAGCGACAACGATGACAGGAGCCTCCTTGGATTATGCCATTGCTAGCAGCCATCTCATGCATCGAGGTGAGCATTAATTGGGATGTTCCCTTCAGGCCGCATGCTGCTGTTGAATTTCAGGTGTGTTTACAGGCATGTCATATGCCTGCGTTGAAGGCGACAGGCTATACCAACTCATGTCTGGATGAAGGCAGTGGGGTTCCCAGGCCACCAGACCCTTCCGAGATTCATTTCCTACTAAAGTCCACCAGTGACCAAGATCGGCAATGGGGGGGATTTATGCACTGGCTTGAACTGGAAACATGCTCAGATGGAGCTAAAGGACGAGGTTGGAACCTCCCTGCTGTCCACAAGCCTTTGGTGCCAACCGGGGCGAATGACTTCCCATGGGTCAACAGCCTCATGCAAAACACAATGGCTGATAAAGGCTGGCAACTCCTTCTCCAGCACCTTGATCACCCTCATTTCAACCTGGCAGAAGAAGACGACGAGGCCAGGGAATTCCGACAGCAACTCAAGCAGGTCCTCACGCAAGACGGCCCACTTGAGGTCGAGGCACTCCATGATATGCTGTCGTTCGCCAAAGCTCTGGATAAGACCTACCAGCAAAACCAGAAGCTAAAGTATCAGCAATGGCTTGAAAAGGCCACTGAAGGAGGTATGCGAGGCCTCTATCGTACTTTGAAGAAGCCTGAAACCAAGTTGGTCCTTACAGGGACCAGCCCCTGGACCTTCGACCGCACCTCCGACGAAAAGACTGGATGTGTTTGTGGAACCCGCCCAAATGGCACAACCATGACCTGCAGCCAATGCTGGCGGATCTCCGAGAAAGAGCCATCCACCAGGCACAGCAGTTTGGACCCATCACCACCAAGCATTTGTCTGACAAGTCCAATGGTCCCGACGGCCTCACGGCCACCATGCTCAAACACGCCAATGCGTCCCAAATTGAGGAACTCACTTCCCACCTCAATTCCTGGGAACGCTCTGGGAGCATGCCGTATCGTCTCTGGGCGCGTGTAAGATGGCCTGCGTATGCCAGTTGGGCTAAACAATATGCAGAGAAGGCGCCGTGGGATGGAGCTCGCGTGGCGCATCCTCTTTGGACATTGCATTAGGCAGAGCAATCCGAAATGAGTCCATGAAGGCACACCGCCGACATGGTATCACGCTCCCTTTACTGTATATCTCCGAGAATTTTACGAGCCCATCGACCACAAACTTCTCATCCAATCAGCGAAGCTCCACGAATTCCCGCCGCTCATCCTCCACCATGCTGTGGCATTGTCTGGCCATTCGAGGTACATTTCAACCAAAAACACCCTGGCAGCCCCAGTCCGGCCTGTCAGAGGGGTGGTGGCCGGGTGCCCCTTTGCCCTGGGGTTATCCAAACTAGCAATGCACCCAGTGATGCAAGTGTTGTGGAACATGCCTGAGCTATGCCATCTCGATCTCTATATAGATGACTCTGGTTATGATGTGGAAGACACAGAAGTTTACGTGGTTGTTCAGCGTGCACTCAAAATCTGGAGAGTCAGCCAACACGAGTTCGGTCTTCAGAACCTGCCCATATCGGTTGATAAGTCGGCGTGGGTTTGTTCCAGCCGGGTCGAAATAGCATTAAGCAAACGACTTAAGCCCACAGACCCAAGCATCGAGCCAATCTGGAGAGACTTGGGGATTGACTGCTCTGGAGGTAAACGTAGGCGAGTCACTATCCACAAGCAGCCCTTTCAGACCGCCAGTGGAAGAGCCAAACGTTTGAGGCAGCTGAAAACCCCTGTTCAGGCTGCACAAAAAGCCACCAGAGCTGGTGTTCGTCCATGCCAACTGTTTGGGAGCCGCTTCTCGCCCCCACTACACCATACAACGCCTCTCCTTTCACGAAGCAATGATCAGCACGTGGGGTATCCTGCATGGCCTTGCACCCAATTGAGTTGTCTCAGGATGCGAGGCTTCTGTCAGGCCTGAGGTGTGGACCCATCACGAAGTGCACATAGTAGAGACAGATTAAAGAGAAGAGCAGTCAAAGATGAGAAGAATTGAGAAGGAATGCCTCAGTTCATTAGAATCTTTGAAAAAACCCTGGAAAGTTGCACTTGCGTGAGGATGGCGTCCTGTCCTTATATGCTAGCTTGCAATCTGGAGCTTCGTTGGCCCACGCCCGAAAGCAAGGAGGCAAATCGTCTGACATACATGTTAGACAGCACCGTTTTAGGTGTCTACACACAAAAATCCCCTTGACCTGCTGGCCGGCCAATGCAATGCCATGTTTGCAGGACACCTTTTCAAAGAAGCAAATCATGTCAAGCACCTGGGAAGATTAGACTAGTTTTAAACCAGAGCATCGGTCGTATGCATATGCATAGGTTTCTGTCTGCAAGAACAGGTTGTGGGTGCCACGCATCAGGGCTTCAAGCTTCCATGCCGCCCCGAAAGCGTCCGGCAGCGGCAGCTGCCCCGAAGTCGCCGCCCCGAAAACGTCCAGCCGCAGCAGCGTCACGCGGCGCCCGCAAGACCTCGAAGGCTCTGAGCTTGACGATTAGAATGTTTTGTAAGGGTTTTCGGTGCACTCAAATGAGCACTTTGTAGTGTTCCGGGGGCGGGCAGCATCAATGTGAGCTCCCTGATATTCAGCAGGTGAACTCGGCCTCAAACACTGCAGCAAAGAGCTTCGCAATGGCTGAGCACTGGGAGGACTACTAGCTAAGTCTAGGCAGTTTAGATTTCAATGTTTCTCAAAATTTGCCTGTGCACCTGTCTCCTCAATCTGGCAATTAAGATGAGAGTTGCTTGACACTTTTGACTTCGTTGATCTGGCCGAGGACTGGTGCTCATTTTTGGAGACCGGTCGTCGGCGGCTCTATTGCCGGTGCGAGGTTGGCTATGAAGGCTCGGACCAGCTCGTCTGTAGAACACGGAGCACAGCGTGTGTTTTGACCATGCGCATTAGTTTGTGAAAGATGCCCGTTGCTATAGAAAACAAGTAGAGCTTGGGTTAAAAGTCTGCATGCGCAGGCATTCGCGGGGAGACCACCTACTATTTTTTTGCCCCAGACAAAGAGACAATCGCCAGGGAGTTGCTGAAGCACCCTGATCTTGCAGCAAAATTTGTTTGCAGCGAGGGTTACCCTACTGCCGCGTATCAACGCTTCAAAGCGCGCCATCCTGGATTGGGAAATGACTATAGGCTGTCGGGCGATGCATTCATGACGGCCTTGCGTGGGGAGCAGCCTGCAGACATCATCGAGATCCTTTGTGAATTTGATGGCGATGACGATCATGAGGGTCGGTTTGTGGAGATGACGGAACTGAAGTACGAACACTTCTTGGACCGTGAGCTGTGCGTACGTGTGGCTTGTGCCAGGCGTCGCCTGGTGACGCAGGCATTGCGCAACAAGGGTCTGGGCGTTGGCACATGTGATTGGGCCGCGAGGCTGCGATGAAATTTTATTTTTGAAACGCCTGTCGGCCACATTGCTATGAAGACACAACGCGCCAAAACGGAACCGAGACCTGTTCTCAACCTGAACCCCAGCCCTTATACGTAAATCAGAAGCACATAGCCTAGAACTAAAACAAAAACTCCCCTGCATCGCGAGAGAATTAAGAAGCCAGGTGAATCGATTCCTTTATCCGGCGGGGGCGGCGTCACTGCTGATCATCCCGCAGGATTTCCTCCGTGTTTTGAAGGTTTGCAGGGGTTTGCAAGGGATGACCCTGGCTGGTCAGAGTTCAGAGGGAGTTCGAGGTGGAGAGTGGCCTCAGGCCCGGACATGGCGGATGCTTTCAGTTGGGGCAAGAAAATGTGCTTTCGCGTTTTTGCGTTTCGACAGATGTGTCGAACTCAACAATAGGATGCAATAGGGTGCGATTCCGCCTTGCCGGGAACACTGCCTTCAGGAGCCGGACCACTCAAAATAATGTCGTTCCCTGATCTACGCAAAGAAGCGAAACCAAACTCCGAAGCCCCAAAATGGTTTCGAAGCAGATTCCTCCTTTCTTGCAGTCGAGGCTTCCTGTAGCAAGGAGGCTAAGATCGGTGGGTGATTGGGTGCCCGTTCGCCAGTTTCCAGTATGCTTGGAACGTACGGGGCTAGGCAGTTTAGGATTTGCTTATTTTACGCAGGTTTCAAGGGGTTTGGGCGAAGCATCCTCACCTCATCATGCGCTGCTTCAAGTTCTCAAGCCGAACCCCTGAAGCCAAAGCATCAAACATCCTTCAGTGTTTTGAATGCTGCAAGCGAGGGCCCAGCAATGCGCCCCCAACGAGTACAGGAGATGGGCTTCAAGCTCTTCCACGTGTGCCGCAGTTCTGGCTACCTCTCGGCTGAGTCCCGCTTCCTCTTCGCCCGCGACAAAGGCCACGCGATGAAGCGCTTCCTGATCAGCGAGGAAGACGCTGGCCTCTGTGGGATTGTTGGAGTCGATGAATGTTGATGATGGTGGAGGAGGTTTTCCGGGCTTAGATTTGGGATCCGAAACATTTAACTTGCAGCCGTCCATCCTGCCTGTTCTGCACTGTTTAGAATTGCTATGACAGTACGAGCCAGATGTGCAGCACGCTCGGGCTATTTTGTTTGGCTTGATTGATGGTTTGTGCTGGATGTTGGTGTATGTCAGTGTAACGTTACTTTGCACAAGGCTCATTCAGAAGACCTGTTTCCGAAATTCAGAAATGCAGAATTCGGAGCACTTGTAACCACATCAGACGACGTGCTGCAACATTGCCGTCCTGCTGGGCATGGTGCCTCCTGCTGCTCCTGCTGCTGCTGCTCCTGCTGCTGCTGCTTCTGGTCATTGTTCTGCTGCTGCTTTCCGTTCTTGTTGGTGCCAATTTCTTTCTTCGCTTGCTTCGCTTGCCTCCTGTTGTTGAAATTGCTGCTCGCTGGCTCCTGCAAGCGATTCTGTTGTTTGCTGAGCTGTTCTTCGGAGTTTTTCCAGTCCTACTCTTTTGGTTTCCTGCCGGCTGTGGCTCGGTACTCTGAAGTCCTCCTCAACCCGGCCAAGTGTCCATTTCTCAGGACTGCTTCCTTAACCATGCTTTCGACAGCTTGCCCAAGGCCCCAAAGTCAAAGAAGATCCTTCGCCTCCCAGGTCCAGGTGTAGACTTCACAATGAATCGGAGATTGGGCTGCAAAAATCGAGACTCTCAGCCCAGGAGCACATCCGGAAGGCCCGATCGACCTTCCTCTGCGAGCATACTTTCTTGTACACTGAGATGATGAACCAGCTCAAGAAACTTGGTCTTGACTCTTTTCGTGATCTCCTTGACAAGGGGGATGTTGGCAGCTTTGCTACGCTAAGTTGCTCGTGTTTTCGCGCCGCCCTCAGAAGTAGGTCTCGGTGGAGAACCCTGGAGAGCGGCAAGCCCCGAAGTGGTGTCGATGCTTTTGGAGTTTTTTTGTTTTCAGATTTTGAAGTTTCTTTCACTTTAGTCTTCAATGTTGCCATCAGAAGCATCCTTCAGCCAGGGCCAACAGAGGATATCTACCCTCGCAGAAGTTCGGCAGTTATCAGATGAAAAGGTTGGCCACGCACTCGACTGGCTCTACGAGAAGGGCTACTTCGACAGCTTCGGCATGGAAGTTTTAGCAGCAAAGCGAGTGCTCTCGTGTCGGGATGCATTCTGACGAAGGGCGCGGACAAGAGTTGCCAGCCCAAGCCCACATAAACCCAAATCAGCCCAAATGGTCGAGCCCCGGCATGTGAGGGCGCTTGACTTTTTTTTTCTAAGAAGCGTACAACGCATGGCCGGAAGAAGGAAAGAAACCCAGCGAGCTTGCAAACCTTGTGCCAGGGCTTTATCAAAGCTGACGATCCAATTCTGGAGAGGTGGGGGGGCTGGACTTAGGGGAGCGGTTCATCATCCCATTGTGTTCAGCCTGTATCATATCACGTTCAGAATCATGACGAAACCGTATGGTGACAACAGTGGCTTCTCTCTCGGCTGAATACGCTAGACGTGCAGAGTGGCTTTAGCTAATGCATGAAGCTGCGGAAGATGAGAACAGCAGCACATTGTGGTCGCACTTCAGTCTTCACTTGTTTGCCAGAGCGGTTTGGCAACGCCGGGGAGCCAACGCGTAGTCAGCATCCCGGAAAAGAAGATGCTGCACATTCCCTTATCACCATCTTGCCGGTGGGGATGGTGTTGAGTGGATCTCAGTTGGATGTTTCAAAAGAAGCCTCAAAGGCATCCATTGTCACAACTGTTGCTCTCTTTGCTTGCCTTCTTCCTTACCGCAGGCTTTGGCTGCTCAAACTGCTGGGATTGTAACATTTTTTCTACACTTTTGACCCGAGCAAAAACTTGCTAAAGGAATGTGTTTCGAGTGTTTCGAGTGTTTCGAGGCGCCCCACGGTCTTTCGAGCCGTCACAATTTTTGCCAATGCTTCTTGCTGTGTACGATAGTTCCTTCTTTTGTGGATCGTGCGCAGGTGGCGCAGGCAGCTTGTTTATTGCTCAAGCAAGAACTCAAGCAACATCATCCTGGCCGCATGGTTGACAGTGAGCCCAGCACTGTACGTACCACCACGTACAGGGACCAGACAAAGCATTCGCAGATGATGGACGGCGGCACACCGAGAGATGAGGCTGCTAGCTTTGCATTGTCTGCCGTGCCCGCAGCTCTCAAGCACGTGTCAAGCCAGGTTGATGACCTCGTACAGGACAGGTGTTTTGATATGTTTTGTGCAAGTTTCATGATGGACACGGAAATGTTTACAGGAGATCAGCCAGCTTCCTGCAAGCAAGGGCACCTCCTTTGGCATGATGTCTGCATTTCAGCACAACAGGGATAAACGAGTCTAGGGCTACCACACCCCATCTGGACATGAAAAACTGGGTTAACAAAACATGAACACAATCTGTGCAGCTTTGAAAGAGCCATCTCAATTTGTCAGCGAGTTTGAATTTTAGGGGTGTTGAGATTCAGCAAAGGTCCCGCAACATCGACGGTCAGGGACCTTGTTGACATGTCACGGCCCCAGATGGATCTGCCAGAGGAGCTGTTTATCATGGCTACTGCAGACACCTGCAGCACGAGGCAGAAGTTCTTGTCCGAGAATGCAGACGTTTCGCAGCGGTTGATGGCAAGAATGTCAGCTTTGGTGACCTTCTTGGGAGCAGTTCCTCATATTTTGCATTTTTTGATGTGTTGAAGCCTGATGTACTTTCCCCCTCGGCCGAGGTGACGCAGGTGGTTTCGGAAGTGGAAGCCATGCACAACCAGCCCTTTGGTGGCGGTTGTTTTCAAGTCACTGTGGCAGTTGTGTGAGTGCATCAGAGCATCTGCAGTGTGAGAACTCAGGAATCAGCTTCTGCGTGATGCCATGCAGGCGCGCAAGTGGCAAGCGGGAGTTGTGCAGGGCATTGCAGGCTGTGGTTGATTTCTGCAGGCAAATCAGGTTCCAATTCCAGAGATCGACGACAGCAAGAACGGGTGGCCCTGCCAGTTCGAAGATGTTCGAAGCAGTGTGTTGTTAGTGCCGTGCATGCCCACAGCGCCCGCAGCGCCCGCAGTTCCCAGTGCCCGATACAGCCTTGCCGCCAGCGTGTTTGTCGCCGTCCCTGGGGCCAGGATGAATCTCCCTGGAGCTGCCGAGCTTGGTGGCACCAGCGAGGGCTTTGCTAACTTCACTGGATCCAAGCAGCGACCACGGAGAGCCAGTGTGCAGGTGAAGAGGCCCCCAGGGCCCCTGCAATTCGGTTCTTGTCTTTATCTTACTGGGTTAGTGGGTTTCTGGGAGTTTAGGGTCTTCAGGGTCATTAGGGTTTTCGGGGTGCAGAGCAGGTTTTTAGGTTTAGCTTTGTTTGGGTTTGGGGGCGGTTAGGGTTCGGAAGTCTGAGGTTGAGGGTTCCATTTCGTAGCATGATGCAGGTTGCAGCAGCGCCGCAAGTCATCCACCAGTCAGGCTAGCGGCTTGCACATCCTTCGGCAGTTTGGGATACTCAGATGTTTGCCAAAGTGGATTGAGTGTTAGAACAGGCAAGAGATGGGTGAGCTGTTTTTCTTTGCAAGAGCTCATGTTGACCAGGGTACGGAAAAATTTGTTATGCTTGTTCGTGGGATGGTGTTGATGCAAGCCAGATCGGTGACCTGGAGAATGCCCTCCAAGTTTCTCCGACTGCCGGAATGGGCGCCAAACTCCCAGCTCAGGTTGCCATGTCACAAAGTGTAAGAGGGTGTCGGACGATGCTTTTAGACGTGGTGCGTGAAGCGCTGGGCGAGGTCAGGCCTGGAACGCCGGGGTCAAACAACAATCATTTTGTTGACATCACAGAGTCCGGATCTCAGCTCAGAATCGAGACGCGTCTTATGTTCTTGAGAGAGTGGGGGGCCCACAAGTTGCGTTGGCCCAGAAGCAAGAAACTGTGCGCTTCTCGCCGATGTGCTGAGCATGTGTTCTTCCGTTCAGCTGTAGATCCACTTCCTCATGTCGCCGTGTTTCGCAAAATCACAGCAATGCAGCGGCACAGCAGGCTTTAAGTGCCGACTATAAGTTCCCCTTTCTGAGCACTTCTGATCCACTCTGGACACGACTAAGCACTGCCGGAGTGTGGCTGTTACCTACTCCCAGCTGATTCTCTCCAGGCAAACACTGGAGATGCGACAGAAGAGAGAGCAGCAGAAGAAGGAGCCCCTGATTTTTCTACTGCTGTGCTGCTATGCCTTTGAGGGACCAAAGGAGGGACTCTTGGGACCGGAGGGTTACCTGTACGACATAGGCTTGAAAAAGGTCCATTTCAGGTCAGATTTTGGGTGCCAGTAGGGTTAAGGGTCCCTTCTGGAATCCCTCACAATACTGTCAGTGCGCAGGATCTCCAGGGCTTGAAGAACTGGAACTCCAAGAGGGTTTCTCGCATGAGGCGCTTCCACGCTTTGTTTCTGTTCGTTGCCGGTGCTCCACCCATTCAATGTCTTCAACGCGTGCTGATCAGTGCTGAACAGTGAAGGTCCGTAACTGATGTCTCTGCCTCAACTTCCACGACAAAGATTCCGCTCCAAGATCTTCCGCTAGATCAGCAGGCACGCACGTAGGTATCTGATTTTCAAAAGCTTGTCAAGGCTTGCAGTTATTTTGCATCCCTGCAACACGTTGCCAACGGGATTCTTCCTCAGGTGGAACAGGAAGGGAAAGTCTTTGGCAGCCCTGAGGCGGCAGAATTACTCTGAGAAGCTGTGTGCAGTCGCAAGAACCGCTCCGAAGGCTCTCAAAGATGAAGTGCGCAAAGCCTTGCAGAAGGAGGACTTCAGCGCCACACTCGGAAAGTCTACGCAGCTGATGGAACCGGGATGCTCGTGTGACACACCAGTAACACACCGACTCGACACGGGCACCTTGTGCTGGCATCTCAGCCTCTGCCCAAGCTCCCAAGGCCCAAACGCTCACATCTCCAAGTCAAGCTTCCTGAGGGGGTCCTGAGACGGGCCTCGACGAAAGGAGCTGCGCATAGGACCAGGGCAAAGACAAGCCTAGTCTCTTGCGTAGTCGACTCGGCGCACAAAGACACACCCCTTGGAACGGACTCCGACGAAAATGGTGATGCGACAAGCAGCTCCAGGAAGATTGGCGTCACCGACCTCCCTGACGTCGCCTTTAAGCATCCTTAAATCACAATTTCGTGTACCGAAGCGTAAGCAAGGCGGCTATGAAGCGACGGCATGGGCTCGTGTTGAACATGTGCAGGCTGTCAATTGAGGCAGTCTTGCCTGCTTTTTTGGTTATGGATGTAAACTACCAGTTTCGTGTTGGCCTCTCGAACAGTGTGCTGAGTTAACGCTCTTCCAAGGTGTTGCACGGCACTACAAGACTGCGGGTTGTGCTCAGAAGATTGCCAGGAGTCAGGTTTTTGAGGTCGGCCGGAATCCTCAGTTTCCAGCCTTATTGCATTCCCGTCATGCATCCTGTGCAGATCTCCACTTTGATCCTTATAGGGGTGAACTGCATCTGGACGCCTAACTGCATTTTGTTTGTGCCTCTTGCGGTGTCTGCCTTGTGCTATGTAGCGATTGTAGGGATTGTAGCGATTGTAGGCCGCTGAGGGAGGGGCGTATCGACGCAGCAAGGATGTCGGTTGACGCGGATCTCAACACTGCGGCGCTACTGCCACAAGCGGAGCCCATTTTCCAGGCCTGGTTAAGGGTCTTGAATTTCTTGAAAACATCACAAGTCTGACATCTCTGTAGGTTGCTGAGAATCTCTTCTGCGTCATGTTCTCGCCGGAAGCCGAGTGGTCGTCATCGAGCCATATCGAACCTCCCTGTGTAGATGTAGTGCTGAGTCACAACAAGGTTGGAGCTGCTCATCCGCTTCCTGGCCCTGAAGCACAAGAGGACTTCAGTTCGATTGCGTCGATTGCATGCTGCCCATAAGATTTCTGACATCTGCAGGAAATGCTTAAGAGATTTGTGGTTTGTCTTCGACGCATTTCTCGTTGCACCTTGGATTGACACAGGTGCTGCTGTAAGGGCTTGGCAAGCTGCCCCTTGTGCAACATGTAGTCTTGCAGGCACTGATGATCGTTGAGACGTGGGGTGTTTACGCGATCTTGATTGCAGTTAAGAGCAAAACTGTCACATGTCACACAGATCCTGGACGACATCACAGCTGATCCCAGGTTGTGTTTGCTATCAATGGCACCAGTGTGGGCATTTTCCAGAACGCAACCATTCTTCGAATCCTCAGAATCCTCAGGCTCGTTTGGGCGTTTTGCACGCCATTCTCGCTCCCGTGTTCTCTCATTGTTTCTCTGCGATTTTTCGGTGCTGCGATGTTTGTGTCTTTCTGGGTCGAGGCTCGGGTATGGCACAAACAAACAAAAACTTTTGGGGAAGTCTGCTGCAGTGATCGGGGGTTGTGTGCTGGGGCTATGATGGCGATGTGATGCCTTCGAACACCGGTCGCAGGGACATCAGCGAGGAATGATAAAATGACTCACTCAACGGGGACATGTTTCCACAGCCGCCATGGTGCGACACTTGCGACAGCTTGCACTATGCCATGTGTGTCTCGTGCCACGCCTCGTCGCGTGCGTGTCTCGAGTCCTGTTGAAATCGTGGAAGGATGGAGATGGTGATACGGGCAGTGTGAGAGAGGTTGTCTGTTCTTTCCGTCTTTCTCTGTTTCCTTCGTTCTTTGCGTGTCTCTCCCTGTCTCTATCTCTTTCTCTCTCTCGCACTCTCTATTTCTCTTTCTCTCCCTTGTGTTGGCACTTGGCGAGTGGGTTTTCTTGCAGCATCTGAAAGTGCCGATAGGCTGTTGCTGCATCGACTTTCCCGTCTGCAGCAGGTTGTTGCGAACAGCCCGTATGGCGAAGCTTCTGCGTACGATGCCTGAATTAATGCTGCTTATCAAAGGCCGTGGGCTGGGCATTTTGAGCCGAATCGCAGCTTACTCGTGCTTTGCAGATATGCAGGCATTGCCGTGGCAACCAGATCGGTCTTTTTTACTCTGGCTCTGCTGGCAATCATCATTTATGTGCCGCAGTTGCACCATTGTTGAATCGTTGAATGTGCTCCAGACTGGTAGCCGCGCAGCCGTTTTCGAAGGTGTTCGCCATCATCTTTATGCAGCTGGGAAGAGACATCACGCTCCCCAAGCCATACTTTGACAGGCACCGTGCGGCACTGTTTGTGGTTCCAGGGAAGAGTTGCTCCGCATGTTGCTCTCCACGCACTCGAAAAGCGGCCCCTTTCGTGTCTTACGTGTCAGGTTTGAAAACTCCATGCGCACTTTGCTGCTCGAGGCAGACTGGGACTGGAGCACTGTGTACGTTTTTTTGTCCAACATGGTGCAGCGTTGGAGCCTCCCCCTCAACCCGCCTTTCAAGAAGCCCTGTCGTAGGCTGCAGGCTAGTCCAAATTGCCTCTTCCTTGCCTGTGCAAAGCACGTCCTGCGTGCAAAGCTGGTGCAAACTCACAGAATGGCAGAATTCTTGGAAGGCAGTCCTGCCAGATCTCAAGGAATTCATGGGTAACTCGGAGCAACAGGAAGGTTGCCTCGGTGCCATTTCGCGCAGAGAATCACAGAACCCTGCTGAGATGACATCTTCGAGGGAGGATTGATCTTCGCATGGGCCTGAGAATGATGCAGAATCACGCAAGCCCGGTCTGCATCAATGCTTGTTGTGCCCGGCCCAGGCTTCGGTAATGATGATCTTCATCCTGCTTGGCTCGGCAACTCGCCAAGATTCTCAAAGATCTTGCAGTCTTGACGAGGCATGCCACTGCATTGGAAGCCGAATAAGTCCAAGGTTATCTTATGTCGTGATATGTCGTGCTTCTCATTGCAATGCTTTAGACTTTGCACTTTAGAACAGTGACTGAATCATCGATGCTGGGGCTTTCCGCAACCAGCTGTTCACTCTGCTAACCTCCACTACATTATAAGCTTTCCTGTCCATACGAAGTGTAGGGGAATGCACAGAGACCGCAGAGGAATGCTGGAGGATTTCCGGGGAAATGCTGGGGAATGCGGAGGAATGTTGGAGGGATTTCCGAGGAACGTAGACATGCAAGAGGGGGATGCAACATATTCAACATATGAGGCGAGGTAGCGAAAGCAGGGCAGCACGCATGGCGACATGTCGCATCAGAGACAGAGACCATCAATCAGTAAAAGGCAAAGCTGAAGTGGTCCAAGTGTTGTGCAAGTCGCACAAGTCCAAGGTTTGTGACGCATGAGGCTTCGTGACGAAGGAATGTCAGGCACGAGGCAACGGTGAAATCGGAGAAGGAGAAGAAGGGCCTCCCTCCCTCAGTGATACGGGGCTTCCAGCATTTCTACATTTCTGACATTTTTCTTGCTGTCCCTCGGAACTCCTGCGTTACCGGCCAGCCGTGGCACATGCCGACTCAAGAAGTCGGACCTCGACACGGCATAGGCCTGCCAAGCACAAGGAGTGCGTTGCCTGCCTTCGGTCGCGGAAGCCAAGGAGCACAAAAGGATGGGGAAGTTCCCATGCCAGGTCAGCTGATAGCCGCATGGGTCCCATCGTAGGAGGGCGCCCTCCAAAGTCGATTGCCTCTGTCATGCCTGACAATGCAAGACCAGGCTCCAATACTAGAAAAATCAATGCCGCACCAGGCCGCAGAACTGTCAAAAGTTTGGCTTTGCCTCCTGAATCGGAAGTCGGAAGAAGCATGATTCTTTTGGAAGGGAGGAGGACCCTTGAGGGCCATACAAATAGCATGAAACTCTACGGCGGCCTGCGACCCTCTCCTTGCCAGCACTTCCTGCAAGGCATTGTTCCTTCCTTGCAGGCCTCCAGAAGATAAAGAGCCCTGCAAGCCAGAAGACCATGAGGCCAGGAAGCCAAAGGACAAGAGGAAAGAAGGTCCTGGCAAGGTACGTAAAGGATGCAGCCGGCGTGCTGGCCCCCTGGCATTGGAAATACGTCTTGATCCAGAATACGTTGTCGAGTGCGACCACAGCCAAGACAGGTCGCCCAGCTTGGCCGCCCACCTCTGAAGGTCCCTGCGCTCGAGGGTTTCTCGAGCGTGAGCGGCCACTTGCAGCTCCCTCCGGAGTTGTTGCACTTTTCCCACCTGTTTTTTGAAACGCATTTTGGCACTTGTCATTATGCCGATCTTGCACGCTGCGAAAAGCAGAGCTTACAGTACCCCACAACCCAAAGCAAACTACAACACAAGACATACCGATAGAAGTATCTTAAGCAGGACCCGTTGAATCTCTTTGACTCTTCTGCCTGTGCGCAGTGACCGGACCTGCACCCTGTGCCAGGCAGGTTTTAAGGTGTTCATGCTTGCACCTGGGATTTCTTGGGATTGGAAGTTTAGAGAAGTGGGGGCCTTTTTCTTCTCGAGATGTGGTCGGGCGCTGGCACCACTACGCACAAACAAACATCGCAAAACTGCATGCCAACAATCCCTGCAGTAGGTGCATTTGCACGCTCGCCGCCCTTCTTTTTTCCTTGCCACGACTCTGCCACGACTCTGCCACGACTCTGCCAAGGGTTTTGCACAGTCGCATGGCATGTCCAGAAATCAGCATAGTTTCTGTTCCATGCCAAGCACAGCTTTTCGACTTAGGTGACCATGATGAACATGCTTGTCGGAGTTTTGGTGGAAGTCATCAAAACCGTCTCCGAGATTGAGAGAGAGCAGCCTCTTGTCGCTCAAGTGGGCTCACTGCGCTGCAGTGCTGTGGACACTGTTTTCGGTTCGACTCGCACTGATCTCTTGAAAGCTTGATCTGGTTGATCTGACCACCTGAGCATCTCTGAGGCTCGAGGTCAGTTTTGTCAAGAAGATCTTCTCCGCCAGTTGACAGCAGCAAGGCCCTGACCATTTGGTCTGTTGTCTTGCTTGGTGCTGCCCAGGACATGATTACCAAGATGAACTTAGATGCGGATGGCGACAATCGAATCTCGAAAGATGCTACCTGTCCAAAGTTATCCTTCCAGTCTATTGCATGGTTTCTTTCTTCCAAGTGGTCGGAGAACAATTCTTGAGGTTTGTTAAATAGGGTTTCCAGTGCCCTGATTGTGTGTGATCCACAGCGCAGTGTCAAAAAGGCAGGACCAAGCAAGGAAAAGCCAGTATTGTTGAGTTAAGTCCCGAGCCTTGTTTGGAGTTGCAAAGACTGCTTGCGCTGTTGTGCATCCCGGAAGTGTCGTAGTGACAGACCTGCGTGGCATGCTGAGGAGTTCGATACCCTCCTATCAAAACCAGAGGCTGCTAAGGCCCTGCTGAATATTGGCCCAGGGCTTAGTGCACCAGATGTCGAGCTTCCAGGATCTGTTCAAGTCTGGTCTGAGCATAGACGGTGGCAGCGCTCATTCCGCTCATTCGGAGTCAGGTGTCGATGTCGTCGGCCTTGTGGATTATCGAGAGCCTTGGAAGCAAAAAGGCAATAAAAAAAGGGCACGCGGGGAAGGACGGGTTCGGAGTAACATGAACGCAACCTTGCGTCTGACAGAATGAAAGTCTTGACGTGGTATTTTGCAAGTTCAGAGGGTTGCTAGCGGGAGGGTCGAGGGCCCCAGGAGGACCGCAGGGCATTCTAAGAGGTTCGTGGTCCCAAGGAGGTGTGCAAGGGGCTAAACATCTTTAAACTTTAACCTGCCTACACATCCCATACAAGGCCTGACGAAGTCTTTGCAAGGCGAACTCCCCCAAAAAACCAAAAAAGGGAGGTAAGCAGACATTGCTCCCCGGACGCCAGAGGCCTGGGGTATCGTTTCAACCGCATGCTTTCGCGTTTTCTCATTTGCTGAACTCGAGGATGTCTTGTTCGGCAAAGAGGGCGACATGTGACTTGGAAGAACATACAGCCATGGTCGACCAAGTCGAAATCATACAGTGCTCTTTTGAACCCTGAGATACCGAGGGAGCTCTCCTTCGCTGAGTTCATGGAAGCTATCCTAGAGTTACGAGGTCCTCCCATGATTTCTCCATTTCACATGTCGCACTGGCATCACTGGCTTGCGACCACTGGAGGTACCAACAGCGCCAAGGTGAAGGACATCGTCGACCTGCGAAAGTTTGTTGCACAGGCATGGGGAGCATCCCGCAGAGCAGCGCGATTTCTCACTGAGTTGCTCACTGCTGTGGAAGGAGACTGGGGCCATCTACGAGCTGGTCGCGGTAGCGACTCACCAGCGGAGTCCTGAGCGTTGCGAGGCATGTTCGTATGTTCGCACGAGATGCTGGAGGGTGTTGCTCAGGGCAGACAGCAGCACTCGGTCGTCTTCGCGAGCTTCTTCAGTAGCAGTCGAGGCGAAAATTCAGGATGAATGCTGATGTCCCCTGCGTCTGCAGTCTCAGAACTACTAGCCACGGAATGCACAGAACCCCCGGCACATTTTCAAACCATGCGCAGCCTGTGAAGTGTGTGCAGACAATATGAGACCGCAGCAGTTTGCAGCCGTCGGTCCCAAGTTTTTTTGTGGAGCCCACGTCTCGGGCTTGTAGCGATCACAGTGGAATTGTGGCTTAATATTATTTCATTTTTAGAGGCTGGCCGAAAGCTGCCTACGCCAATCAGTCAGAGGGCTGCGGCTGGCAAGGTCAGCCTGCCTTCCGTGGAGGTTTTGAGATGCGCAAAATACTTTTTTTTGGCAGGCGGAGGTGCAAAGCACCCACTCCTTGCCCCCTTGCATGACCATTGCGGATATTGCGTGTGCAAGACGTCTCCTCGTTCCCTAAAGGGGATGCAAACAGGGACGATCTTGGACGGCCTGGACTTGGACCATGCACTGATAGAAAGCGCTTGGTATCTCACGATGTCTTTTACTTCGTGTAATGCATGTCGAGCTTCGGTGCCGCTTGAAGCAGGACTCCTTTTTCTTTGGGATTGGCTTAGGCTTGTCATGTGCAGCACGACTGGCTCAGCTTTCTTGATGTGTACAACCTTGTCTCTGCGGGGGCAGCATGTACTGATGAGGACGCGCTGCAGCCATACTCACGATCGTAATTTTTCACATGTGCGCGCCAAGATTGACAACGTGCTGATTGAAGGGCACGGCAAGATCGACAACTTGTTGATTGTGCGTGTCGACTACATATTTTAGCGGCATGTCTGGTATGGACGCGGAGCCGCATTCAAAAAGACGCAAGCAGGCCCAGAGCTTTTCTGATTTTGGTGATTCAGATGAGGAGGATGATCCACAAGTTCAAGACACACTGCCCCGAGCATGCCTGTGTCCACAGCGCCTACGCGGGCTAAGAATGCAGCTTGTGCAAAGAGTGAACGATGATTATTTCGCCATGCTCAGAGACATGAACAGGAATGACTTTTATTGGTTAGCCATGGGCCAGTTGCCTGTGCGAGATTGCAGAGTCCTGGATCTTGGTGCCGGAACCGGAATTCTTTCATTAATGGCAGCCAAGCTGGGTGCCAGGTCTGTCCTGGCTGTGGAGGAATCAGCTGATATGGCATCAATTGTGAAGAAGAGTGCTGAGCACAACTGCTTTGAGAATATCATTGTGCATTCAGGTCACAGCACGTCATTGTCTTTGGCTGAGGATGACAGGGTTGATGTCATCGTCTCAGAAACTTTTGGCGTGCTTCTGCTGCAAGAGGGGTGTCTGACATCTTTCATCCATGCAAGAGACCATTTGGCGAAGCCTGGTGCAAAGATCCTTCCTGCTGGCGGCGCCCAGCATGCCAGATTGCTGAGTTCCAGCACCCTTCGGTCGACATCTTCAGCAGCTCCAGGTCGACCAGATGTGCAGCATGTTGACGCTCTGCGAGATTCAGGACGTCTTTGGCCATGGTCTGTTGTGCTCTGTCCTCGTGGCACCTCACGGGTAGGATGTGTGATCATTCGCTTCTTCCAGGACGAGTGCAGTTCTCGTTGCCTGGAGGATTCAGTGTCTCTTGGAGATATTGGTGTCCATGCTTGTATGCTTTTGCTGCTACGGGTATAGTTAAAGGGAAGTAAAGAAGCATAGCTGCTGCATATCCTGCGATCTCATTCAGTATTTCACAATCCAAGTGTGCTTGAAGGTGAATTCATTGCCAGATGCTTGTTGGATGTCAGCCAGCATTCCCATCCTGGAGGCATGCTGTAGGGGACATTTCAGCTACGTCGAATGGATTCTGAACTGGTCCGATATGTGTTCAGGTTGACTTCGCCTTGTCGACTCTGAATGATGTGCCTTCATGTAGCTGTGAGCTTAGCTTCCGGCTTCGTTCATCGGGAGAGCAGCAGCACCCCAGCCCTCTCAACATGTCAAGCACGAACAAGCTGCTTCTCTCTCGTCCAGGGGACTTCCAAGTTCGTGTTCTTGAAGACGGAGTGGTGGATGCAGCGTCAGGCTTAGCGCACCTTGCTTCTCGTACTCTTGCGTGCACAAGAACCTTTGTCATATTTGTTCGCCCAGATCGTCACGTCATGGGAAGCCTGGTCTGACAAGGACTATGAAAGCAGAGATTTTTGCAGCTTGGGTTGAAAGAGACTAGCCGAGAATCCTTCTACATTCTTTCACATCCTTATCCATGCTTGCACTCCGGATGTTTTTTTCAGACATGACTATGCAACCATCGAGAACACGAAGCAGCTTTGTTTGCACCTGTTTGCACACGCTTTGCGTTGACCCTGGATGTCCTGCCACGGCTTCGCAAGCTTCGCAGTAGCACTGCTAGACCTGGGGCGAAATTCCTGCATGTTCGCCAGTCCATGGAACAATGGGTGCAAAACACGAGGAAATTGATGAAGAACGGAATGCGTTGGTTTGAGATGGCAGCAGACATAGCATATTCATCTGAACAGTTTGTGTGTGTGCGTGTGTCTCTGTGAATCTGTGCCTCTGTGCGCCTGTGCCTCCGTGCCTCTGTGCGTGCGTGCGCCCGTGCGTGCGTGTGTGCATGCGTGGGTGGGTAGGTGGGTGAGTGTGTTTGTGTTTGTGTGTAGGACAAGACGATGATCCTCAGCACGGAGGCCGACAACACCAAGGTGCAAGTTAATCAGAAGACGAGCCTTCGTACCATTTGGATGGAACAAGGTCTGTTCATGACTTCTTCTCGCTTGCAGGGCAAGCCCTGGGGCTTTGCTCGCGATGCACACTGGGGCCAAGGCTTTCAGGCATTCCGAACCGAAGCAGAGTGAACCGAGAAGTGCGGGAGTGGTCAAATAGGTGACACAGACCTATTCAGTCATTTCTTGGTACCTTGAGGCAATCGACCTCCTGCGACCTGATGGGACACCTGACTCGCGGAGATCGGTAAAACGAGGGGAGACGCTTCGCCTCGAAGCACGTGGCTTGGCCATGACTCGGCTGCTTTGCAGACTTCGAGAGAAGCCATTCCATAACGATCTGTCAGGGCCGAGTTTTGAAGAAGACTCGTACAGCAGGCTACAAAAATTCCTGGAGAGGATTTCTCGTCTAATGCGAACGAAGTGGGCCTGGAAGGCCTTAAAGGGCTGTGGAACCCAAGAGCCCACAAGTGTTCTCTGTCCGTGGCTGTCCCCCACGGCCAGGGTGCCCAGAGGAGAAACGAGGACGGCCCTGCGTGCGGACGCCGCAGTAGAGCTTTCGTCTCCTGCGGCACGCACCTGTCAAACAATCTTTCCAACTGCTCCGCCAACAGCTGCATGGCTGTGGACATCAGATCGATGACCCGCAACCACAACCACACCGCAAGATCAGTGCAACCCTCTTGGTGTCTCGAGGATCGACGATCGCAGCTTGCAAATCATTTGTTTGCTTCTTGAAGGCGCATCTTTAAATGTGTCCTGGCTTCTGCATACACGATATCCTCGTGAGAGATGCTGATGTTCGACACATCAACCTGTCTTGTTGTGAACACAATGATGGGTCTCGAATGCTGGTATCCGTGCTCTGACATTGTCATAGCAAACCTGTCACGTGAGGTGTACGTGTTGTAAGCCCAAGATTCCGAATGCAGTGTCCCGCCTCCCCTCACAGAAAGATAGGCTGAAGTTCGGATGCGTGGGGCACAGGAATGATCAATGGTCGTGGTTCCAGGTGGCAACAAGTCGGAGACTACCTGTAGAATCTAACTGTAGAATATTCGGGGACTCCACCGACATCGCAGTCCTGCGTAAATTGGAGAGAGAAAACCGCCTGTCGCAGGCAGCTGTTCGGCTAACCATGTGAGGGACATGCGTCGTGAACATGTCGCGATGTCATTCGGAAACTGTGATGCCTTTACCGGGTCGCTGGCTCAGGAAAATGGATTGACAATTAGTCGGCGTGGTAAACACACTCACAGAGGCTGAGGGTTGAAGACAGATGCGAAACAACCAGCCCTGCGTGGCTCACAAGTCCCAGAAGCACACGCCGGACTGAAATTGTGGCCGGCCTGCAGGCCATTCAGGCCATTCGGGCCCCAAATACAAGGCCATGTACACTGAAGTCCGCAAAGCACAGGAACACAGCGCCCAGTTGCACCAGGTGTGCATGTGCCTGAGAAAAATCATGTTGGAGTCGTTAGAGTAGGTCGCAGCCCGGGGACGTGATGCAGGTCGAGCTACAGCAGCGGAATGGAGCGCAATCGAGTCTGCCGCATGACGACGTCAGGGTGAAAAACCCGAAGCTTGTTGGGGACAAAGCCTTACACGAGATTGGGGCTTGGCGCAGATGATCACAAAAGGAGCCTTTTGCATGGTGCACACGGAGCACAGCTCTAGCAAAGAGCGGCCCAGTCAAGGGCATCATGGAATTCAGCAGCCCGCAAGCCCGGGGCCCACTTCTCGTCAAGCCAACACCGTCCGACACCTGGCGAGAGATAGTGGCTGGTCTATGCTGGTCTCCTCTACGCCCACGAAGAGAGGGCAATGGCGCGGATGTGCACATCCGGGGTCGAACACCATACTTTCATTCCAGACTAGAGTCAGACCCTGCATGTTTCAAGAAGACTGCTTTACAAACCCAACCAGTCCACAAAGCATGTCAGTTACGACTGGCGGTTACTGCGACATGGTCATGTCCATGCGCGAAGCGACCCCGACAACCTGGCCGTACCTGGTCGTGTATATGATTGTATATGCATCAAGTCATCTCATTCGAGAGCGAACAAGTTTCAGGCAGCAGTCTCCAGCCATGGCTGCAGAAAACGAATTCAAGAGCTGTGTGAGAGAACGGAGAAGAAAGTTGTCGGTTCTCGAGTTCACTGACCCGATCCCGAAGCACAAAGCCTCGGTTCCGCTTGTTTGGCGGTTTCCCCACTACTGCCACTCTCACTTCTGTGACTTCCTGAAAGACGTGGGAACAAAGTGGCTGAATGTTGCACCAGCTGATTCCACGGGCTTCGGCCGGCGCGCGTTGGAAAGGCACGCGAGATGCATGCTTGCATGCAGGTTTCTGCACGTCACGGTTTGTATTCTTGGTAGGAGCATACCACAGCCCTGCAAAATGTAGGGGGTGGGTGTTGGGTCGACTCGAAACCGACAGGGAGCTGGACTTCTTTTTGTGCGAGTCTAGGAGTACAGTACAGACTTTTGGTTTTGAGACCCCGTCTTTGTCACCTCTTCATGCGGAACGAAGGAGAGCGTCTTTGCATTGCAACGGTTGTGTTAGGGTTTTCTAGCGGCACGTTGTGATCCCGTCATCGCCGAAACCAAACCCGCCAGCTTGTAGCTTGTTTAAGGAGAGACACTACGACACGTTGCCATGACTCAAAAAAATCCTGCTGAGGCTTCTCGCTTGACGGCGAGAGTTTGCAGTTCCGCTTGTTCCGGCTTGATGAAGCTATCCAGGCCTATATGCCGTGCCTGCTTTTGCGTCGGTGATTCGTCTGATGCCCTGTCAGGCTGACACCGGCGCTGCCAGTGCGACACAGTTGTCGCAGATGCATGCAAACGAGCAACCGGATGAAGTAAGCACTGCAAACACAAAGTGCAAACCTTGCAAACCTGCAAAGTGGCTTGCTGATGCAGCACTTCCGTTGCTGTGTGATACTGGTGGACCAAGCATGGATGCCAAGTATGAGGAAGATCTACCATCGAACTTCGTGTGTTCCGAGCGACTACGTGGAAAGCGGTCTGTGTTTGTCCGGGCAGTAAACGATGACTATTTTGCTTTTCTGAGCAATCCTGCACGGTTGAATTTTTTTCGTGAAGCATTTTCTGGAATAGTTGAAGACAAGACCGTTGTGGATTTGGGCACTGGAGCAGGTCAACTTGCGGCTCTTTGCAGTCAGATGGGGGCAAAGCACGTTCTGGCTGTGGATGCTTGCAGTGAGATGTGCGAGCTTGCAAGAGAGACTGCAAGGCGCAACCGAGTCAGTCAGGCTGTGCAAGTGGCTCATTTTCTCAGCAGCAGTCTCGCATTGCCGGATGACAATCGGGCAGACGTTTTGGTTTCGGAGCCGTACGACCTCTTCATCACGGGCCCTTCGGGGTCTGGGAGCTTGGAGTATTTCATTGACGCGCGCCAGCGACTGGCGAAACCAACTGCAACCCTGATACCAAGCGGTGGTGCGCAATATGCTCGGCTGTTGATGTCACATGATCTTGGAATGCGCACAATGTCAGAAACCGGCTCATCCAAAGTTGGTCTTGACAACTTGTCCGAGTTCCTGGATACCGTGACGTTGACTTCCTCCCGAACAAAGGGCTTCAGGTGGACCTGCCTGCCGGGCCTTACATTCATGTCAGGCAGATGCTGCCTATTCAGCCTGGACTTCTACAAGCTCAAACGCAGCAGCATTCCGCGCAAGGCTGTCGTTGACGTACAGGTGGCAGAGTGTCTTGTTGTCGCTTCTACACTCAAAATACTCAAAATACTCTCAAAGCAGCTCAGAGATGTACGTACGAACCACTCAAAGCAGCTCATAGGTTCTGCAGGATGGCTATGTCGATGCCATTGCGACATCTTGGGAGGCTGCCGGTCCAGTCACTTTTGCCTTGATTTGAATGTGCAGTGGCGCTTACACATCATCTTCATCACACTTCCAACCCTTTTTGGCCAGGTGTGGGCAGGTTCAGCTGGAGAGCATAGATTCGCAGCTCATGCAGAGGATGAAGCGCTTGCATTTGATGTCGCTACCATGCTCAGCAAGCAAATCCCAGCCAAGAAGCCTCCATTCCCACACAGCACTCAGGCCTTGCCTTACTCTATCTTACTCTGGTATACATTCATGTCCTTGAGTTCTTCGGACTTCCCGTCGCGGCTTGTGTTTGCTCTGACAAACCTGGGTGCTGAGCAGACACTGGCATTCCACTGAATGTGAGGAGACCGCACATGAAGCATGGGCATTTAACAGTGACGCCCCCGCCTGAGAGGACGGCTGCAATCCTTTGAGCAAAGTGCTTCCGATGTACCAAAATTCGGCTGAGGTCGTATTTGGTCAGGGTCTACAGCTCGTTGCAGAAGAAGGTCAATTCACGAGTTGCTCTTGTCATCTCGTGTTCTCTCGACAGACTTGGAGTTGCCATGGGATCTGTGAAGACTTTGCGGTGGAAGCTGGACTCAGCTCAATTGGCCCCTTCAGCCTGAAAGCGGGCTTGCATGGGCTTGAAAATTCATGTGAGCACATAGTCCACCAACATCCCAACTCAACTTGCATTTAGTCTCATTCAGTCGATTCAGTCGTTGACGATTTGTGCAAGACTATGGCAGCTTCTGAAAGGGCCATAGGGCCATAGGAGGCTTCAGTGCACAGTGCAGCCACAGTGCAGCCTGGTGCAGCCATGTCCTCCACCACCGAGATGCCGACGGAAGAAGAGGCGGTCTTGACCGGCCTCTGGTACGTCGGCATAGGCGCATCAGACCTCACGCACAAGCCAAGCACAAGCCAAGCGCATGGCTGTATAAATGCCGCACAAAATCCGAATGGATCTGTGTGCTCGCCATAGTTCTAGTGATTCCTGAATCCGACGCCTGCGCCAGCCAAGCAGTACACTTGCGGCCCGTCTTAGGAAGTCTTCGTGCCGTAGCCTCCGAAGAAATCGCCAGTTTTTCTGGTAAGTCTGGCACCAGACTGCACCCAGTTGAAGCTCCTGTGGAGGGGCTTCCCCAAGAAAGTCCCAAGGTCATGAAGGCATTGAAGGCATGAGCATCACAGAATGCCTGTCCCTTCGCGTGTGATAAGGTTTGTCGTAACAGGTTGAACGGAGACTGGGTGTTGATACATGAGGGCTTGTCTGGCAGGCTTGGAAATCGTCTCCAGCATGTGTGGAACAGCTGGGAAGATTTTTGTGAGATTGTCTACTTTGCAAGAGAAGAAGCACCCGATGTTGTCGAAGTTTTTGTCACACGGCTGCACAGAGAGAGAGAGAGAGAGAGCAATCCCACCCGAGGCCTGAAAATTTTCACCAACTGAACCAGTGGAACACGCCCATCTGGGCGACCCCTTCGGGGGTTAAGTGCAGCGGAAGGAAGGAAGAGAGCGCTGGAGAAAGAGAGAGAGAGCTGGAGGAAGAGAGAGAGAAAGAGAGAGAGAACGAGAGAGAGAAAGAGAGAGAGAGAGAGAGTCTTAACCAAAGGTTGGAGAAGACCATGGTTTCTTTTCGTTCGCCTTGTTGCTTCCATATTCCCACCTTTCACGCCTTCTTCACACAGACTAACTCGGTAACGCGTGCCCCTCGGGGCGGTCTCCCTTCGGGGGGAGGAAGAGAGCGCAGGAAGGAAGGAAGGAACGAGAGAGAGAGAGAGAGAGTGAGAGCAAGCGAGAGCGAGCGAGTGAGCGAGCTTCATCGCACGATGAGCGAGCTTTGTCACACACCGCATTCTTTGGCATTGCTGCAGCGCGTTTGAGGTTTCGAGTGGGCCTTTTGACAAATACCGTCATTGGTCCGTTGATCGACGTTTCTGCCTACAGCTTTGCACCTCAATCATTGGTGGCGCCATTTGGAGGTTGGAGCTCCTGTCGGCTACCAAAAATGCAGGTATGTATAGTCTTGCTGTGTGGCTGCCTCAGGTCTTGATGTTGTGTGGAATGCCTTGTTGGCCCCCTTCATTCTCAAAGAGAAGCTGACAAGGCAGCTCACCCGAAGTCTGAGAAATCTGAGAAATGCAGGAAGATTGGGGACTTGGATAGACGTGAGGGGTGTTGAAGTCTCACATTGACAAACGACAGACACGCGAGAGCAGGTGGATGGTCAGAGTGGGGTGAAGGGCATTGACGGACGATGTAATTGTAAACGCTTGCGCGCGCCCCCTCAGCAGCCGGGCCGGCCCAGGACAGGAAAGGAGGAAAGAGGGTTTCTGCAGAAAAGGGCAGGTCCGGGAGTCGTAGGGAGGTTAAAGGGGTTAAGGGTGTTTGAGGGTGGGCGGGGGGTAGCCGGGGGGGGGGGTTGGGGGGCTACCGACAGGCGGGACCCTCCACGGCATCGGTTTGCAGCTCCACCAAGCGTGATTGTGGGTTCTCACAGGGCGGGAGTCGCAAAATTTTGCATGGGTATGGGTGGAAGGGTTGGGTTCGGCCCGACGCTCCTCGGCAGGAAGCCGAGGCGAATTAAAGGGCACAGTACTGGGAGACGGGCGGATGGAGAGATCATGAGCGGCACCAGGGAAGTGAGCAAGATCGGCTCTCCGACGGGTCGGCCTGTCAGTGACAGTGGGCGATTGCATTTTACAAAGGCGACGGGGAGGTGAGAAAAAAAGGCTCGACACGCGGTCGATTTCCTGCCCGACTGTACGAAAGACTAAGCCAGAATGAGTATGAGGCACTATGTATCAGGCTGTGTCTGGTTGGTTCATGTCCATTCTATCTTTCTCAGGCACCGTGCAGTGGGCAGTGCTCTGGTCATGATGGGAAGTATTGGCTCTGCTGTTTTTGGCAACCAGAAGGCTGGGAGACAGTGCAGCCTGGTAGCTCTCCCGCATCTGACCCTTTACGTGTTCTGAGGATCCGATATACACGTTGGAGTACATTGAAGACACTATGATCAACCTCCGTGTGCTGATCTATTTCCTAGTCTTCATTTCATGGTGACTTGTCTGAAGCTGTCTGCAGTTCCTCCAAGTGTCCGACAGTGTGCTATATAGCTGTTACAGGTACCTCTTCAATCAGTTTTACCTCATGCGGTGGCCTACCGGTTCCTTCATCAAGGGCTTGTCGTACGGCTGGACAGCTGGATCACTGGCTGGCTCTTTGTCCGCATGTCTGCATGCATCATGGTGACAATTTTCAGACAATTTTCAGGACATCACATGTAAGACTTGCCCAGGCAACATGTGGTGCACCAAAATTGCCATTGACGTGACCTCAGTTGGATGGTGTTTGTAGGAGGGAGGCGTGTGTTTTTGCACACTGCAGACTATGCGCCGTGGAGGAACTGATTCAGACAAGCATTGCCTTGGGTGACCCGGAGCCTTGGAAGACGTGGATTCCGTACACCGCCTTGCCGGGTGCCTCAGAGTGCTGCCTTGCTGTCGTTCCGTCATCCCCCCACGAAAAAGAGTTTGAACTCCCCGCCCTGCTCTCCCCCGAAATCTCTCGCCCTTTGCTTGGGGGTTGATTCTTTGGCCTATAAGGGGGTCTTTGCCCTCTCCTTAAAGCGGTTTCTGAGGCTTGGGGCTGCCTTCTTTGCCATCGTCAACGCTTATTTCTTGACCAGGGGACTTCAACACTACGAAGCTTTCTTCATGATCACCACCGTTGAGGGCTCTATGATACTGTCCGCCAGCCTCTCTGGTGCTATCGTCTTGCTTGACGTTCGCCACCTGGAAGCCTGGCGAATCTGCATGTACTCCCTCTGCGTGCTGCTTGTCATCTCGGGCATGATCACAGTTTTCAGGGGTGAGGCTAGCAGCAAAAGTTCTTTGATGAGCGGCAATGCCAGCACCTTGAAGCCCATTATGATATTCTGTGTTTCAGAATGTCTCAGTGTTTCTGCGCTTCGTCAGTTGTGTATGTTGTGTTGCAGTGGATTGTCGCAGCCGAAGGTATTGCTGACTCCGACATGAAAGACAAAGCAGAAAAAGCGGTGGCGATCCCCACGATTCCTCCATCGCCTCAGGGCTCCATGCACTCTTACACGGGAAGCCGAGTCCATGCGGGTGTTCCTCCCAGCCCAACGACTTCCAACATTTCTGACAAGGAGGGGAGACCGTGGAACATTCTCTGATTCATCAGCCTGTAGCGGTTGCAATCATACTCAATAAAGCAGATGTTTCCGACGATGAAATCTATTCCCAGCTAATGCAGTGGTCCGAATGTAGATCGTGTCACAGCTTCCACGTCTTGACTTGCAAGCCATCTAATCCTGCATTTTTGGCATGTTTGTCCTGGCTGTCCTTTTTTGCATGGCCGCGGCTCTCATATCACACTAGCCACCTTGAACAACGGCTGATCGAGCTAACAGGAATGCGCTGTCAGGGGATCATCCCGTCTTGTTCTTTCGGTGTCCACTGCTGAGGGTGGAGAAGGGAGGGGTGACAAGGGAGGGATGACGGGGCTGGGTGATGGAGAGGCCCAGGAGGTGGCTGGAAATCGTACATCCAAGTGTCCCCCCATCTTGTCCGATCGGCATGCGGTTGTGAATATTGAAGCATGTGAGATGCGAGTGAACGTGGACAGTTGTGTGAACGTCACCAAGTTTGCTGCTTGCATTGCGCTTGCTGCAGGAAGGCAATTGTCGTTTAAGGGCAATCAGTTCAGAGGACATTGAAAATGGCGCGCTCCTCAAACTCCTGGCCACAAACCGACCACATGTCGTTGTTGTGTCTCTGGCCTCACCACCGTCCAGCCGAGGCATCATTGTAATCAATGATAGAGCAGCACCTCACCCGCCCACAATCGCCGAGAACGAAATTGAGGATTGCCACTTGGCAATTTTGAAAGCACGGACCTCTTCAATCGTGCAAGTGCCAGCTGCGGCATGTACCTCATGCAGGCCATCCCACATTCTTTTACGAAAGGGGAGTTCTCTGAGGCATCAGATTGGATCACCCACCACCCGGAAAGAAGCAGACACATGTTCCAGATGCAGTCATTGGAGCGCAGTTGGTGCACTCAGCCGAAGCTGACACGAATCCTGGCAGAGGTATGGAGGTATGGCAGAGGTATGGAGGTATGAGGATGTCGCTTCAAGCTATCTGCAAGCCCTAAGGATCCCGCTGACAGGGACGGCCCAAGGCCTGACCCGGCAGATCACTTTGACAGAGGATGGGCTCATCAAGCTCTAGTTCCTCTTCCTCCTTGTCCTCGACCAGACTCGAGCAGCTTCTTGGCCGCATTTGGCCGCAGTTCTCGGAAAGTGTTTTTTTGGGATCGCCCCCTCCAGCAGCTGAGGTATGCAAAAGTTCAGATCGAAGGGCAGTAGCTGCTGCATTGCTACATCACTGTAGCGTTTGGATAGTCTCTCTCTGTTCAATGCGAAATCGCATTTGGAAAGCAATTAGAAATAGCTCTGCATCTTGTGATCATCTCTGCTTGCTGCCACGTGTGGGTCGACCAGCATGTTCAGCATCCTGGTCGTCTCACGGGGAAGCAGGTCTCTCCAAGCAAGATAGGTCTGTTTTTGCACAGCTGCTCATCTAGACTGCAGACCTGGTGTAGTCAAGACCCAAGCATGAGTTTCAGAAGTTACGCAAGTTTACGGAGTCGGAATGCAGAATCTAGATGTACAGCATGCTGTCGCACGAAAGAATCTGATTTAATGGCAACGGCTCAGATTTTTGTGCTGAGTTGAAAAACTGCGCCCGTCCCGGACCTCTGCCTCGCAAGCGGCTTCAAGCGGCTTCAAGCGATCTTGGGCCATCTTGGGCCATCTTGGGCGTTCTCAACAATTCAATCCCCTCTCCTGCCAGGCCATCAGTTTAAACCATTCTGGGCCAGGCAGGGTGAGGTTCCGGCCTCGAGACTTTTTCTGCATCTCCTTCGCCGGCTGCCGACCTTGGATTCTGGAGAGTTCTGGTGCATGAGGAGAGTTTTGTTCATGTTGGTGGCACTGATGTCTAGCTCGCAAGTTGCTGAGATCTTGGAGCTTACAGCCCACATATCCGAGCTCCGTGACAGGCGAGACATAAGACTGCTCGCTGTCATGTTGTGCCTGCCAGACACACAGGCTTCACTTTACATTGCGGCGGAAAGGCCTGTGCTGTGAGCCAGCAGAGGTATGCGACTGGCTGCTAGCCTCTTGCGTGCCACACTTGCGAGGTGCCATGGCCACGACAGACTGAATGATGCGCAGTGAAGTCTGCAGTTTGCAGCAAAATCGTGCGCGGCATGCGAGGGTTGCCGTTCATCCTGCCCGCAGCAACAGCTCTGAGCCTTATCTGACTCCAAAAGCTCACAAACGCCAATGCCTGGACATCAGCCAACATTCAGGTGCGAGCAAAGCTTCTCCCCATGTGTCCAGCGCATCCCTTGACCAGAAAATAAGGGTAGCTGGGAAAGGGCGCTGGAAAAGACAGCGGGGGCAACGGGCAAGCGGTTGGACAACACGGTGCCATCAATCTACGCATTGCATCACACTGCCCGTTCAATGCATGCGCATCACGTTTACATTAAATATCATAAATGCCCATGCTGCCTTGATGTTCCCGTTGAACATCCGAAGGTGCCAACATGATCTCGCACATGCTCGCTGCTTGGAATGAGTCTGCTGAAGCTGCTTGTAGAGCATGAAGGAACAAGGCAGACAGCTTACCATCAAAGAACATTCCAGCCTTTGCAACTTCTGGAGTGTGTACGGTCATCCTAATAGTATCCGCACCCGCAAGTTTTACTAAACCTTAGCAGGGTAGCTGGTCATAATGCATGCGGCGCGCACATGGACGGCATGGGGTCAATGCAGCTACTCGTCCGAAAATGACATGATTGCAATTGATTGCAGTTCTTTGTGCTGATGTGTGGTTGGTGTCGTCAGTTCAAGACCAATCATGCGCTGTTGTGGCAGGTTCATTTATATACAACGTAGCAGGTAGAGTAAGTGACCTCCGTCAATGTCATCCATAGCGTGACCCATGAGTGACCGTCGTGACCACTGCGTGCTGGCACAGAACAGTGAGTCCACAGATCCATCCGAATTTGGCTATATTACTTGCGATTCCAGGGATGTTGCTGACGCCCCATTCATCCAATATCTACCCAGAGGTGTGCGGGGAGCCCCATTCGGGCGCCTAGAAGGCATGCAGTACCCATGGCAAAGAAGATGTGCATCAGAAAGAGGAACGCAGCCTCTAACTGCTCTGAGATCAAGTCGTTGGCGGGCAGGTTCACAGGGCTGCAAGCACAAGACGGGTTTTGACAAGAACAACGGGTCGTCAGGGTACACTTCCATCGAACGTCTGGGGTTGGAATGAGAAGAAAAGCAGGCAAGTGTGAAGTTGCACGGCCTGTCAGAAAGGTACGCGTGCCATTCTCCGACAGCTAAGTTGTTTTTGAACGAATTTTGCGACAAGCGCCGTGTTTGCGGTTCTGAGTAGCCACGGCTTTAAAACACCCTGCCGATAGCCAGGCTGGTTTCCAGGTTTTGAAGGTATGCATAGCACCGTTAATTGATGGATGTCCAGTGCCCAAGTGCGAATATCGTCCGCGCAAAGAGTTTTCGTGGCCACACGTCACATTGTCTGGAAGCAGCCGCATCCAAAGTGCTGGAAGATACTAACGCACCTTGCAAGGACATCTGGAGGGGCCCACCATGGTACAACCTTGTTCCTTTGCCTGCAAAGAACTTTTCTTTTTCAAGCAGTGCTTCAGAGTCGCAAAGGTTGCAGCAGGCGGAAGCTGCAGCGAACCTACTTCGGGCTGCTTCGCTTTCGAAATCTTACCCAAATCTTATTGTTGCAACTGGCGTGCTGCCTAGGTCGCAGCCCTTGATGACCCTTGCGGGCGCAATCTGCTAGAAAGGCCGCGGCCCGAAGTGTCAAGGCATGTGATGTGATTCAACAGCTGAGAACAGAGTAACAGAGCTACCGCCATGGCTGAGGATGCCGCCGGCTGGTGTCGAGGCAGCACTCTGTACATCTCACCTCAGCCCACACACCGGTACAACTGGCTTCTACTTGACCTGGTACGGAACTACTCGAACTCCGATAGTTATCTAGTTGTACACTTGTGCTCCTGGCATGTCACCTGTTTATTGAAGCCGCGTGGCAGTTGCCCGCCTGTCCTGCTGTCACTTCGGTGCAGCTCCGCCAATGCTCCGCCAATGCTCCGCCCACGGTCCTCGCGACCATTCCATTCCGTTATATTCGTCTTCGTTGGAGTTCTTGGCTATTCTCGTCTTGCACGCCACAGACTTTTTGAAGCGGGGTGGGTTGGCGGAAGGCAAAAGGAAAGGTGCAGAGCATGAAACATGTCGAAAGAAGGACCGACTGACGCGAAACTGGCAAAGTGTGGACAAATGGTGCAAGCTTTACCCAAGCTGCTTGGGCACTTGTGCGTGGCTCTTTCAGAAGTTGGTTCTCGGCAACAATTGTTCCTGATGAGCCGTTTTCCATATGTGTCGTTGATGCGACACCCGGCACGCGTTAAGTGAGCCTACACTCTAGGACGCACGTACGTCTGGATCAAAATAGCTCGGTACCCTAGACATGACTTTTCTTCCGAACGATGCCACAGCAGTTCTTGGAAAGTAGGTGGAGACACTGTTGCAGGCATTCAATCGGTGGTGCGAGGCCTGGGAGCCACAAGAAAGTGGCGGAAGTTGCATCAGACTCAGACTGGGTCCACGTTGGCGTTGCCTGCAGTGCAAAACCATCGGGCAACAATACTGAGCTTCTGAGGTGGCCCGGCTTCGGCGATTGCAGCGCTTCGATTTCTTGGGCAGGGTCTCTCAGGGTCTCTCATGCTTCATGCGGCACTCATGTTTGTCTTTTTGCTTCCTGTTGGCATCTTGCCCATCGAGGCTTGAAGGTTCGTGGACGCAGAGGAAAATTGTCGAAGAGGTCGTGCTCTACCATTCATCGACTGGTGCAAGCAGCATCAATGTACAGGTCGTCATTCCGCGACGACTCTTCACTCAGGGTCCGATGCCTGGGCTGGCCACTTCAACAGATCTTGCATGGAGACGAAGCTCATGTCATTTCTGAGGGTTGAGCTTTCAGAACTGCGTCATCATGCTGCAAGCTCTTGGGCACGGAAGGCGCCGGACAAGCGTGCTACAGGTCACAGTAGAAAGCAGAGATGCTTGGTTCATCACCTACATCCAGGATGCAAATCACTGAGAGAAGTTCATTCAGCGAGGCTGTGGGCAACGTCTGTGGGCTGTACGGGTCTGTGGCAAATGTTCGTAGCGCACAGATCACAGTGGCCACCATGCTTGGCTTCATGCAAGTCGCTCTCTGCTTTTCGCGCTGGTGTGTGCGTCGTGTGAACTAGAGGCAAGACTACTGCAAGCGAACAGACCATGCCTTGACACCTCAAACATCCAAGCACCTTGGACTGTGACCTACGCAGTGCATCATTTCCTGATGCCCCGTGATCCTCCGAAACATTCCGCAACCGAATTCGCTGACCAACATGGCGCCTCCGAAGGTTCACAGAGACTCTGTTGTAACGAACTCAACCTTGACTGCCAATGCCTGGTTCTGTAGTCAGAGTGTTAGAGTGGGCAAAAAACCCGATACGGATAGGGGTTTTGCGGCTTTGCCTGACAACAGGCTGAGATTTCCCGTCAGCTCCGGCAAGACCTTGCAGAGAGTTTCGAGCGAGGCCGGCCAAGCTCATCCCACGTCATGCCACCTTCGCCACGCTCAGTTCGATAATTCGATATGAACGCGAACTTTGGGCTATCAGGTGAGAGAATGTGCATCGTGGTGTTGCGCTCAGAACGTTGCCGGCGACTCCGTGCCTGCACCCCTGCTTCTGACAGATCTGAGTCAGAAGAACTCAAGGTGAACTACGTTCGTTTAGGCGGCGGTCACTGGAGTCCGATCGGCGGCAGGGTGCCTCAGACGCTTGAACTTGCTATGCGATCCATCTCAAGCTAGGCTGCGCATGGCTGTAGTGAGAGCATCAACAGAGGCTGGAGTGATGGCCATGTCCTCATCCTAGACACGAACGACAAACGACTACCCCCGCACTGGGCGCGGCTGTGTTCAACATCGTACATCCCATCGACATGACGAGAGCCATACACATCCGCGTAACCCTATCGATCTTAACCTGCAATGTTCTGTGCAGGTGAAGGTCGACACGCTGACGCAGTCCATGTGCTGCAAGCTTAGCAGAAACACAGCCAGCCATGTCCAATTGAGGGGACCTGTTGCGGACCTGTGGGGGACCCGTGGAGGACATGTTGGGGACGTGTTAGGGTCCTGTGTCAAGGAGCCACTTTGTGCGCCTGAGATCATGTACAGGCATGCGTTGACTTCCACCCATGCTCATCCGCAACATATGGCTTGAACCATCAGGATGTCCTTTTGCCTCAGTCTCGACAAAGTCGAGAGCTCGACGACGCTATGGAGTGAAAATCAGAGCGCTTCCGAAGCGCATCAGAGGCTCTCACGAGCCACATCTTTACTCTTGTGAGTACGATTCCTTTTGCTCTTTTGAGCTCAGTTTTCATTCGAAAGCGACAGAGGACAAGCTACCTTTCAGATTGGTAGCGGAGCTTTGCTCCAGCTACGGCTTTGGGTGCGAGATGAATCACCAGACATGGACCGGGGGGAGCAAGTCTCCCTTAGATCTCGTGACATGGGATGGCGAACACGCAGGGTGGCCGAACTATGTGAGACGTGTGAGATTGGCCTGGGAACGCACTGAAGCATCGAAACGCAGGCTTCTTGGTGCTCAGTTGGTCTCCCGGCTGAAGGGCAAGGCCTGGGACATTAGCGTGGAAGTGGACCACAGAGAGTTGCAGAAATCCACTGGACCGAGGTACCTGTTGAGGTTTTTAGAAGAACGCTTACTCAAGACTCCTATTCCAGATCTGGGATTGCGCCTGGAGGATTTCTTCATCCGTCTACGGCGCCAGCCTGGTGTTGGAATGGCACAGTGGTCCATGCAGGTCCGAGAGGCATATCGCCGTCTCAAGAGATCTCTAGTGAAGATGCAAGCTTCCACTTTGTCTCCGTCCCAGCCCCTCACTGTCCAGAATGTGGCCAAGCAAGGCGTGTCGTCATCGTCCAAAAGGGGGTCTAAGCGGTCATCGGTCCGGCGCCAGAGTGTTGATGAGCCCGAACCAATGCGCGATACTCCTTCTGGTTCCCAGCGACGTGACCGTCCTGGAGAATCCCGACCCCGTGAAGACCATGGTGAAGACCCCGCACCGGACCGAGAACAACGTCCTGATGATCAAGCCGAACCACATCGTAACGAAGAACCCCGACTACCCGATGAAGACCATCCTGCTCATGAAGGCCGTGACACTGACCAGTGGAGCCGAAGGAGTCAAGGATCGGCCTGGACGTCCCGCGACTGGGACCGATGGAAGAGAGGAAAATGGTGGGATGAAAGAAGCGAAGCATCTGAATCATCGGGTGAAATCGAATGGGATGAGTTCGACCAAGGTGACACGGACATTTTGCCCTCAGCAATCCTTGGTTGGCTGCTTCTCCGAAGGTCAGGACTGAGCAGTTCAGCTCGCCTGGCCATCCAGAGTGCAACTCAGAACGACCTTGACTTTGAGAAGATCGAGCGTGCGCTTCGTGACCAAGAAGAAGAACTGCTCGCCACAGAACGCAGGCCCTTTTCTCCTTCAGGGCCAGCTCAGAGGCGCCGATCCTTTTGGGTGGAACAAGATGGGGCATGGGGCCTTCTCCTTGAGGAGCCCGAGGATGTCCCAGACGAGCAGATTCACTGGCAGAAGCTGGAACAGGAGCACGAGCCCGATGCTGGCGGCCTGGAGACCGCTTGGTCTACGTCGCCGTCCGGAAACGAGCTGGAGTGGTCATTCTATGAAGGGGATTGGCGCACCCAAGACGAGGTCGGTGTCTGGTGGTCCTATGCAGACACCAAACCCTGGCTCGACATCGAGGAGGTGATGCTCTCCGATGCGGTCCTTGGTGGGGAGCTCCTGGAAATCTACGGCCAGTTCGACCAGAAGATCAGAACTTTTCGAGAGAGTCGCCAGGTGATCAAGGACCGGAATCTTGGGCGAGGCTTCTATCCTCCTAAGGGTAAGGGCAAATCTAAGAACAAGGGCTTTAAGGCATCCGGAAAAGGGTCATCCACCCATGGAGCGTCTTCGGTGTTCGCCGTGAAGGGCAAGGGCTCTGGAAAAGGGCCTCAGCGACCAGGATCGGCAGCGTTCACCGGTTGTTTCATCTGTGGATCCAAAGAACATGACTATCGCTCATGCCCTCGACGCAGCTCAACGGGTCCACCCATGAAAGCAGTGCAGTTTTCCGACCATGCCCTCTTTATGGAAGAGCTTGAGCATGAGATCTACACGATCGACGTCGCCATTGCCACAGAGCCCCCGGCCGAGTTCCTGTCGGAGGAGGCGGAGGCCCGCTTTGAGATCTACTCGACCATGCCGTTTGACATGACGGGCAAAGCCGTGCTCGACATTGGAGCTACGGCCACAGTTGGATCCTTGGAGGCGTTGGATGCGTTGATGAAGCTGAAGGCCTCGCGAGGTGAGCATGAAACGCTGAAGGTGTATCCAGAATGTCGCCGGCGCTTCCGCTTCGGCAATGGCCAAACTTCGCAGTCCCTGTCGTATGTCGAGATTCCCCAGAGACTGGACGGCAAGCTCATCTACCTGGGGCTACACACCATCGATGCTACCAACGTTCCCATCTTGCTCAGCGTGAAGACGCTAAAGAAGCTGGGAGCAATAATCGATGTGGGCCGCGGGCTTGTAATTTTCCAGGCTGTGAACGAGGCAGTCGCGGTCCGACTGGAGGAGTCTCCAACTGGGCACCTTCTTCTCGATCTTACGCAAGACTGGCTGTCCGCGTCAGTCTCTCTGGAAACTGGCCAGAGCGTGCAGGCAGTTGAGCTTGAGGAGTCCCCCGCAACGCAGGAATATGTGCCCGTTTGGAATGAGCCTGTGAGTGAACCAGAGCATGTTCTAACTGTACATTCTGCTGACAGCACACGGCATGTACATGTTTCTTCAAACCAGCTTGAGCTTGCCGCCAGTGATAGCTCTGACGCGCGGAGTATGCTCACCAGGAATGTGGATGCTGTCTCTTTGCAAGGGTTGAGCCGTGCTGTTCAAGCTTTGAAAAGGGTACCGTTTGTGTCTCCAGTTTCTCCTCATGAGCGAGAAGTCCACCGCGGAGATTCCGAACCAGCTCAGCTCGGACGCCTCTGCTCAGAACAGCAAGCAGAAGGGCAAGGGCAAGGCGAAGACTGCGGGCAACAAGACCAAGATCGACCCGATCGAGCGTTACGACTACTCCAGGACAGAGGGGCCGGATTTGAGAGACCCCCGAGCGGCGGGGGAGCCGTGTCGGGGCAATCACCAACCCATGCCGTTCGGCCGTGGGTCTTTGAGCGGCCGAAATCAGAGTGCCGAATGGCATGTGTGCAGGGTCTGTCACCGCCAGGCAGGCCCTCTGCAGGCGGACACCAAGCTGGCAGTTCAGGAAGTCGGGCCCGAAGTGCTGAACGATCCCGAACTCCAGGAGAAGCTGACCAGCAAGGAGATCGGCCTGTCCGGTGCGGAAGCCTCCCTCCATCGCCGTCTCAAGGAGATTCAGAGTCGCAGGGGAGCCCGCGCCAAAGCCCCGTCACGTCCTGGTGTGTCCAAGACCACAGAGAAGAACCAGGAAAGCCCAACAGAGTCAGAGCACGGGACCGACAAGGAGGGCGAGCAGAGCAGCGGATGGATCATGGCAGCTTCTCCATCTCCGGGGCGCAAAGCAGCTCGACCGAATGCAGTGACGCCCGAGCAGCAGGAGTTCGACAGTCGTGGGGCGAAATGAATGATGATGTAGACGCAAAGCCTTCTGTGTTTTCCGATGTGCATCTGGCGCAGAACGAGCTAGCTCGAATCGAGCTAGAGGCCCAGCGCCTGTACGCCAGTCGCTCATATGACTGGACCTCTTGTGAAGATTTCTTGTCCTCGCTCAACTTTCCGAAGGGTGAACAGAGAGGAAGTGTGATATCCAAGACAGGTGGTCAATATGTGACGTTCGGTCTTTACTCACATGGCAATCAGTTGGGCATATGCAACCGATCCCAGGAAATGCCCTATCTATGCCGATATCTGAATGCTTTTCTACGATTTCAGGCAGGAGAGTGCGGCGCTGAAGTGCAAACATGGAGTTCGTTCGCTGTGGGGTTCAATGTGGGATCCAAAATTCACAGAGATGTCCATAATCTACCAGGAAGCAACAATCTCCTTGTGGGCATGGGGTCCTTCTCAGGTGGTGAATTATGGCGAGAACTTCCTGAGCGGGCTCCAGGCCGTTCGAGTGCCGTGAAGTGGCGAGTGATGCCGGATGGATCCCGTGTGCGAGGTATCAATGAGAACATCCATCATCGATGTGTGTGCTTCGACCCTCGGATAAGACATGCCACTTGCAAATGGACAGGAAGACGCATTGTGCTTGCGGCGTTCACGACCAGGTCATATGCCGATGCTGATGACGCACTTCGCGGACGGCTTCGAGGTCTGGGTTTTCCTCTACCTGTTGGGCTTCCCCGTAAACTTCCCGAGAGTTCTTGTCATGTGTGCAGTGATCCCGTGTGTGAACCTGAAGAACATGATGCATATTGGCAGGTGACGCGGCCCCTGACCGCGAACATGAAGAATCACATCTTGCACGAAGCTCAAGAGTACATGTCAGACATTAAGCAGATTTTGGAGATCTTTCCTGAGAACGCCGCAGGTGACAGCTTGAGCATGGTGGAGCTGGGGATGCGTGAAAGCAACCTGACTCATGCAGCTAGAGCCCTACATGTGCATCATACTCATCTCATGGATTGTGGGCTTGATCCCGGAAAGTCTCGAGACCACTCCAGCATCTGGGACCTTCTCAGGCAAGCGCAGCCAGATTGGCTATGGCTGTCACCGCCATATATGCAGGATGAGGCCGGCCTGAGTGAGAGAGCGGTGTGTCAGCGAAGAAAGCGATGTCGCAACGCCCAAACAATAGCAGCTGATCTTGCGCAAGAGCAGATAGACCATGGACGTCACTTTGTGTGGATATGGCCAGCAGACACCTCTAGTTGGCGACAAGGTCGAATTCGCTCGATGTTTCGCAAGATGCAACAGGCCGGACTGGTGCATGAGAGCATCTTCACTGAGCCTTCGTCAGTGAACTCCCAACCTCTCAGGAGATGGAGAGCTTGGGCTACGAGTCGCCATGCGGCTGAGATGATGCGAGGATCGCTCGAAGATGGACGCGAAGAACAGCAGAACCAGGCCATCAAAGAAGGAAAGTTAGCTGACATTCCTTTGCCAGTATGTCGACGAGTGTTGTTCTGCATGAAGAAAGACCACAACCAGAAGAAGCTGCATGCCCAGGAGTGTGTATCTTACTTTGAGGGAGATCAAGATGCCGATGAGTATGCCTTGGGAGTGTCCGAAACTCTGATAGATCCTGAAAAGATGTCTCGAGAAGATCGGGCCATTCATGCTCAGGTGATGAAGCTCCATCGACGATGTGGGCACCCGAACAACCGTGCCTTGATGAACTTGCTCAAAACCCGAGAAGTGGATGAGAAAACCCTGAAAATTGCAGAGCATCTACGGTGTGATGAGTGCCAGCAGATGCGCTTGAATGAGCCCCATGTCAACGTCGCTCTGGATCGATCTGAGGTCCTGTGGCATACCCTGCAAATTGATCATGTGGATTTTCGATATCAGGACACGGTGGTGCAGATACTTGTCATGACAGATGAAGCCTCACAGTACACCGTAGCCTGCGAGATGCATCGCAGACATCATGAAGTTAGCCGGAATGCCACGACTGACGAGGTCATTGCGGCGCTGGAGCGAGAGTGGGTGATGCGGTATGGCTTCCCGAACAAGATCAGACTTGATGCAGAGGGAGCTTTCAAAGGCACGAGTCTGGGAGAGTGGGCAGCTGAGGCAGGAGTGGAGCTTGATGTGATACCTGCAGAAGATCATTCCCAGATTGGTGTCGTGGAGCGCATGGGAGGAGTCCTGAAACACCATGCGCATGTGCTTCTTCAGACTAGGGATATGGATCCATTCCGTGCCTTTACCCTCATGGTGGCAGCGCACAATGAGTGCCAGTTCATCAAAGGATATACCCCATTGCAGTGGACCTTCGGAAGACAATTCTCACACGATCGGAGGATGTTTGAAGGTGGCCACAGCATTCCGGTGCACTCGTCTGAGGGTGTTGAGGGTACGTCGTTCAGAGAGAACCTTCAAGTCCGTGTTTTGGCAGAGTCTGTTTTTCGAAAAAGCCAGGCGGCACGCCGAATCACTTTGGCCATGAATTCGAAGACTCGAAGACAACAAGTTTTCATTCCGGGCGACTTGGTGTTTTATCGACGTATCAAACCACCCGCAGACTTTGCTGCACACGATGGCATTCCGTCCAAATCCAGGATGGCAAGATGGTATGGACCTGCTCGTGTCCTTGCCACGGAGACACGTACCGATGCCACGGGCCTGGAGAGAAGACCGGGTCATGTGGTATGGATTATCTCTCATGGACGCTTGAAGCGCTGCTCACAGTGGCAACTCAGGCATGCCACTACGTCCGAACAAGTGGTGGCCGAAGGGGCGCATGCTCCGTCGTGGACTTTTCATGACCTTCTTCAGCATTTGCGCAAGGGTCAGTTTGAGTCTTTTGATGACCTTACCTTGCCGGAGGATACATCAAGATCCAGATCGACTATATGGACACCTGGGACTGTGCCCCGGACATCTTCGGCAGGTGCTCGATCGAGTGCGGCGAGAGGTCGTTCTAAGTCACGTGGTAGAGCAAGATCTTTGAGTGTTCCTCGGCCTGAAGCAAGTGAGCAGGACAGTGGACCTCCAAACCGAGAAGAGCATAGAAGGAGACTAGAGCGATCCCGAAGTCCGATTCTTCAAGAGCCCCCTTCAACCACTGAGAGGCCTCCGTGGTTAGAGATCGACACCGAGATCAGCTTGCAACGTCTTCTGGATGATCCTCGGTATGGAATTGGTTCAAGACATGTTCTACCAGCAAATCAAGCACAAAGTTCTACTTCCCAAAGGGTGTCTGAGCTGGAGAAGAATGAGCAGTTCATGAAACAGAAGCGTAAACGACAAACTGAAGAACGAATGATGCTAGCAGATATTTGTGATGAGGATTCTCCGCATGCCGTGCATATGTCCGAATCTAGTCAAGCTGTCTGCCAGATTGATTTGCACTTACCACAGACATCTTCCGAGTGGAGACTTTTTGAGAGAGATGCTACCGCTTGGGCAGTGCAGGCCCTCAGAAAGACCGAAGTCCGGTGGTCTACCCTGGACGCAGAAGGAAGAGAAAAATTTGAAGCAGCCAAACGAGCAGAAGTAGACCAATGGCTGCAAGCAGAAGCAACGAAGGCTGTAGCGGGACATGTGCCTGCAGATAGAGTTGTTCGTATGCGGTGGGTGTTAACCTACAAGGACACAGGAGCTGCAAAAGCTCGCATCGTATTGATTGGATTTGAAGATCCAGATCTCGGGGAGTTGGTGTCTAGCTCCCCGACGATGTGCAGAAGAACTAGGCAACTTATCTTGCAATATGCGGCGCAGCGGGGATGGAAATGCCTGAAAGCTGATGTGAAATCAGCGTTCTTGCAGGGCCCAGCGTCTCAAGAACAGCGATCCATATTCGCTATGCCGGTGCCCGAACTGGCCAAGGCGATGGGCGTAGAAGCCGGAAAAGCCGTACAGGTTTGCAAGGCGGCGTACGGATTAGTCAACGCTCCTGCAGAATTCTACCGTGCGGTGAACAACTGCTTGCAAGAACTGGGGTATGAACAGTTAGTCACTGAACCATGCTGCTGGCGTTTCCGTGTCAAATGTCCTCGTACAGGTAAGATGGTGACTCAAGGACTCATTTGCAGTCACGTCGACGACTTCATTATATGTGGCAATGAAGAGTGTGAAGCTTGGAATGCAGTTTTGACAGCGTTCCATCAGCGTTTCCGTTGGTCACCGTGGGAACATAGCTCGTTCACACACTGCGGCATTGTCATCAAAGAAGCTTGCGATGGCAGCAAAATCCTTGACCATAGTAAGTACTGTGAGACCGTGGCTCAAATTCATGTACAGAAAGAACGGCCAGATAAATCACCAGCTACAGCCGATGAAGTGAGTCAACTTAGAGCGTTGCTGGGAGCAGTGCAGTGGCGATCCTACAACTCCGGACCTCAGCATGCCTTCAAGGTCAGCATGCTCTTGTCGCAAGTGACGAGAGCAACGGCTCGCACTCTTCGAGAAGCAAATAAGTTGGTGAGAGAAGTGCATGGACAACGGCATCTGTCGACTCACATCTCTTACCTTCCAGGTGTAGCTCCTGAAGAAGTTCATTTTGTGTGCTGGACAGATGCTGCAGTTGCGAATCGTGAAGACATGAGTAGTACTGGCGCCTACCTGATTGCGGCTACATCACCGGGCATTTTGTGCTCTGAGGCAGTCCCTCTTTCGGTTACCGCTTGGAGATCGGCGAAATTGCCAAGGGTAGCGCGATCGTCTTTGTCTGCTGAGCTGCAGGCATTCTCGGAGGGCGAGGAGGAGCTCATGTTCACAAGACTGTCTTGGGCAGAAATGTGTGGCTTGGAAGTTCATCTCGATGAGCCTTGGAAAACCTTCGGAAAAATCGTTGGCGTGATGGTCACCGATGCAAAGAGTCTCTTCGACGTCATTCGGAAGGGCGACTTGAACACATCCGGATTGGGAATGAAAGATAAGTACAGCACCCTGGAGGCCCTTTCGCTGCTTGAGAGACTAGCTAGGGGTTGCACCATTACTCGCTGGGTGAACTCAGATGCCCAGCTAGCAGATGCTCTGACGAAATGCAAAGCAGATTCGTCCTTACACAAGATGCTCGCTGAAGGGATTTGGAAGCTTGTTTATGATGAAAACTTTGTGTCAGCCAAGAAATCCCGAGCACGAAAGATCGAATGAGCATGTTTTCCAGTCAAGAGGTTTTGGGCGTGTCAAGGAGCCACTTTGTGCGCCTGAGATCATGTACAGGCATGCGTTGACTTCCACCCATGCTCATCCGCAACATATGGCTTGAACCATCAGGATGTCCTTTTGCCTCAGTCTCGACAAAGTCGAGAGCTCGACGACGCTATGGAGTGAAAATCAGAGCGCTTCCGAAGCGCATCAGAGGCTCTCACGAGCCACATCTTTACTCTTGTGAGTACGATTCCTTTTGCTCTTTTGAGCTCAGTTTTCATTCGAAAGCGACAGAGGACAAGCTACCTTTCAGATCCTGGGCCCCGAAGCCAAGGTAGCCTCAACCGAGCTACGGGCAAGCCACGCGGGCCGATGCCTTTTTTGCATCATGCTGTGACATGATGCTTTTCCATGTAGTCTCAGGGCAGATGGCACACACACACACACTGTCTGTCTGTCTGTCTGTCTGCCTGCCTGACTAACTGACTGGCTATCTATCTGGCTATCTGGCTGTCTGGCTGTCTGTCTGTCTGTCTGTCTCTGTGTGTGTGTGTGTGTGTGTGTGCGTGCGTGCGTGCGTGCGTGCGTGCGTGCGTGCGTGCGTGCGTGCGTGCGTGCGTGCGTGTGCGCGTGCGTGCCTGCGCGTGCGTGCGTGCGTGTGTGCGTGTGCGTGCGAGATGAGGGGGGATTGTGTAGCGAGCTAAGGTACTTGCTTCTGCGCCGGCAGCAGGTGGACGGAGCCATGTGAGCTGCCATTTAACTCCAATGAATCTTTTCAGTTTGACAGGCTGGTGAGACTTGACTTGATGGTGGCAGAATAGACGAGGAAGCAGGCCACACTGTACAGGTGCCTGCGTGCGACAAAGCAGGGCTGCGCTGCGTGTGTGTGTGTGTGTGTGTGTGTGTGTGTGTGTGTGTGTGTGTGTGTGTGTGTGTGTGTGTGTGTGTGTGTGTGTGTGTGTGTGTTTGCGCATGTTTGCGCTGTTTACAGGTGCAGATGTCAGAGCAGCACATCAAAACAACAGTTCAATCGTTTTGCGGCTCACAGTTCTATGCTTCGATCCAGGGACATGGCAGCCAACTTTGGTCAAGTGTTACGACCCATGAATACAGCAGTAGAGGCAGAGTCAGGACTTGAATGAGGGTTGCATGGGTCGGGAGCAGAAGCGTCGCCAAGAAGCTCGAAAAGCCAAGCAGCTTGTTGAGCAAGGCCAAGTGGAACGCAGGCGGGCGGAAACATCTGTTCCAGGTTTGTGCACAGCCTGGGCCGGCTGAGGGGAATGGGATGGGGATGAAGGGGATATCACAATTCAGAGGCTCCCAGAGCTCCAGAGGCCCAAAGTTTTCGGGCAGGAGGTCTCCTGTCTTAAACGGATGCTCGCCTTCGGAAGCTGCTACGGTGGGAGGTGCCTGGTAGGTGGTAGTGACGTTTCTTGTTATTCCGATGTGCCCCCGATGTGCCCCCGATGTGTCCCCATGCAGAACGATGTCCATGAAGGTTGCCCACCACTGAGGAGGCGCAGGCTCTGATTTCATGCATTGACAGAGGTGAGGTCCAGCATTTTGGCATTACTACTCTGGCCGCTTTAGAATTGAATGGGCGCCACGAAGCGCCCTGGTGCTGCGGCGTGCGCGAAATCTCATTGGTCGACTTTGCTGCGTGGCGAGGCCGTGACAGTTTTGTGTCGGCCTTGGTCAGTGCGAAGGCCGACCCGACAGAGAAAGCCGTCAACACGCTGGAGCGGTTGCCGAAACCCTATGTGGCTTGGCTTGCACGGGCCGCTGCCAAGGCAAGGCACACAGCAAACACCCTAAACGCGCAGACTGAGATCGCGGATGCAGCACCTCAACCAACCTGTGTGTGCGGCGAAGGGGCACAGTGGGTATTTTCGCCCTGTGGCCACCGCTGCTGCTATCGATGTCCCTGGCGAGCCTTCCATGGCTTTAGCCTCGGGCAACTGCCCGAACTCTTGTGCCCTCTGTGCGGAGCGGTCTTCCAGGATCCCGCTCTGAACTTCACTGGACAGCGGCGCGGCATTATCAGGCATGGTCCACTTCCCGGCGCTGCTGCAGCTTGCGCAACGTGTGGGTGCTTGAATGCACGCGAGTGGTCCTGCTGCATTAATTGCAACTTCATGGTCGAACAAGTGCCTGTCTACCAGGTCCAGAAAGAGGCCGAGAAGGAGGTGTCGTGCTTTGAGTACTTCTTGCCTTGGCTTAGCACAAACTGGCAGAGGGCCATGCGAAGGCGGCGGACTTTGAAGAAGTGGCATAAGTTGCCCAACGAGATTCCTCAAAATGTGGAAGAACGCTTGGAGCTCCAAGCCACTCTCGCAGCTCTCGCGCAACCCCGAGTCACCGATGGCTTGTGCTTGGACTCCTGGATGTGTGATACGCGTGCACCCTGGACGGCCTGGACCCGTGCCGGCTTCGCCTGCTTCTTTGCTTCGAAAGCTTCGCAAGTTTCGACTTCGCCGCCGAAGCCGGTGAAGCGCCTGGCGGGCGCCTTCCGTGCCTTGAGCGTCTGGGAGGCGGCTTGCGAGAGGCTGGGCGCCACACGCGCGAACCGTTCCGAACGCTTCCGTTCGGCGGCAGAAGTTGGAGACGCCAGGCGCGTCGAAGCGATGCTGAGAGCCGGTGTTGATGTGGACTCTGCGAACGAATATGGCCAGACTCCCATCTTCCTGGCCGCTTTCGAAGGTCATCTCGACGTGGTTGAGGCACGGCACAAGAAAAGGTCAAATATGTGTTGAGTTCAATGATGTGTTCACCCCTCACTTCAGTCCTGGCCCTGCAGCTGCTTCTTGCCTGGGGCGCTGATCCTGGCAAGCCGTGTCATGGTGGTAGTCTTCCGATCACTGCAGCAGTGGCGCGGGGCAACTCTGCGATTGCAAGTTGCCTTGCTGAGGGTACCCGGCCATAAGATCAGAACGACTTTGTGTGTGTGTGTCCCGCCGTCAAGCAATCAAGCAATGGAGGCAACGTCATACGACAGACACGAAAGAATGCATAGGCCATAAGACCCGTGGGCCGTGGGCCAGATGCTTCAATTGCGATGTGTGATTTTAGTTCCTCGCAGAGCACTTAGGAGCGGCTCCCTTGGCTCCATCTGTACTGCCTTCAGCAGAGAGGCGCAAGATGGGGCTCATGTAGCAACAATAGCATACTTCAATATACTTCAGCATACAACGCACTTGTGCATCGTTGCGTGTCATTGCATGTCATTGCATGTCATTGCATGTCACATGTCATTGCAACTTGTCAAGCCAAGGGGTGCGGCAGTGAGACTACCGTTGCCAGAGAACCTGACGCAGCTCGGAGCCATGTATGTGAGGACCTTGGTGCACTGCGCGTTTCTGTCAACCCTCATTCTAGAATGTTCTAGAACATGGCACCGTTGCAGGTAGATGGTGCGCTCGATGAAGCCTTCCTGACATGGCTCCAGGACACTTTCGATAGTGTTTGTGCTGATCTATGCAGTGCCATCCAAAGCAACAGGGCAATGTCTGCGCAGTGCATGAGTTTCTTGCAAGTCATGGGACTCATGACGAGGAGCTTTGGAAGTCCCTTCCGCCAGCTCCCTTTGCCCATGAGGTTTTTGCCTCATTACTGGCATCTTGGCGACTTTTGCCCAGTTTGTATCAGTGAGTGCTGAGGGCGATGCGCAGTTGGCGGAAGAGGTCCAAGCCTGCGTGAAGGGGACGTCGGAATATGTCGGACCTGGTACCAAAGTCTTTCCTCACAGGACTCCAGCGTGCAACCACAGAAGCCGTCGCGGGCTAAGAGCGGAGCAAGCTCGGAGTGGATAATTCGTACCACCATGCAAAGAGCTAAGAATCCCAGGTGCAATCGATCAAAGGCTCGAGGGCGTGGAGTGGATCGGAGTCGCCAAGATTCCGCCCCACAACGAAGCTACTACTTCGATGCAGAGGGCCTTGTGGCCACACAGCTTGCAGCGGCACTTGCAGGAGTGGTGGAACAGTGTACTTGCTCAGAGGCGGTTCCGCAGATGCGCTTTCTGCATTACGCCCAAGCCGGGGGCTATCTCCCGCCACACACAGACCTTGCGAGGCCAGATCCGCTGCGCATCTTAAAGTTGGTCCGTTGCAAGTCCTCCTGTAGAACGCTGTAATGCCCTGCATAGAGTGGATTGAGACTTCCCAGGCGTGATTGGCGCACTGGGGGCCGAACGAGCCACACCTTCATTTTGTACCTGGAGGGGTCTACGGTGCAGGGAGGTGGTGAAACAGTGCTTCTCGAGAGCCTTTTGGGCGAGGTGCTTGCCGAAGCAGGAAGCTTACTGGATCACGTTGGCTTGCGCGCACGGGGAACACACTTGCGAGTTGAGCCAACATGAAGTTGCTGTTTGCTGAGCTTCCAAGGTGAGCCCGGTTCGTGGAAGGCTCCTGATATTTCCACACGAGTGTGCACACAAGGCCACTCCTGCTCCATAAGCACATGGACAGCCGCTGAAGCCTGTTTTGCATGTTTCTTTCGGCATACTGTAAGCCATGACCCTCACACATGCAAGGCAATGCCCGTGCTGCAGCCAAAGCTTCTGCTCCGCGGCGAGATGAGATGATGGAGTGCAGAGAAAGCCCTTTGCCATTTTCGAATGTCTTTGAAGGGTTGTGACATGTCTCCCCACGGTGCAAGTTGAAAGACCTTTGTAATGACAGCAGGAACTGCCCATCAAAAGACCCCCGGCCGCCAATATCATGAGACGTGTCCGAGCCCACTTCACCCACAAGCCATCGACTTCCTTGTGGGTCACTTTCTCCGGACTCTTGCAGCCCAAGCCTCCATGCTGATGGTCCGCCATGCCCCAAGGTTCTTGTTGGCCGATTCAGCAAGAAAGCGCGAGGGTGCTTATTCAGGACACCCACGAGACACTAGACTCCTTCAGAACACAGGTACAAGGTACGCAGCCTCAACTGTTTCAGTAACCTTCTCGGTACGTGAGACCTGTTCACACACGTGTAGGTCGCCAAATTACCTGTTCACGCAGAATCCGGGAACTCACATAAGTTAAGCGTGAGATAGTTCTGAGCCTTTCGACGCAATGCCTCGTGGGCCGGGAAAGAGGCCCAGCACACGAGCCAATTTGACATGTGCATTCTCTCGTGATTCACTTGATTCACTGTGCAGAAGCAACTACAATTTGGACTATTCCCGTCGAGCACTCAGCCGTCGTTCACCGTTGTTCTCTTACTTAGTGTTTTTGACACTGTTGACAGCAGGCTTCGATGGAGTCGAAGGCCAAGACCAGGCGCCCCATTGTCACCCCAAACCTCTGCAAAGCAGATGCGCAGTTGTCCAAATAAGTCTTTGTGGCCTTGGCTCCGAATTCGGTTGAGAAACACATGCGGAAAAATCATGAGAATGCCATGGCCAGTTGGATGCAGTAGTTTGAAGGAAGAACGAGCACTCTTGGTGCCCGGGCGGTTCAAACGATCCAACAAGGAGCCCCAGCCGCACCCCTCTCTCCTTGGAAAGACGTGCCAGGTCCTCCAGCCGCAAAAAACCACGAGTTTTTCCGAAGGTAACAAAAGGCCCAAGGGGCCAAGCACGTGGCGAAGGCCTGAGGCCGAAAAAGAACGAAGGCCAAACGGCGAAATGCGAAGAGCAAACCAAAGGCCACGTCGCACTTGACCGATAACAACTCATCGATGCAGATATTTGGTGTGCACTAGTAGGAACATCATGTGCATACGGGCGATCACTTGAGAGACTTGCGAGATGTGACACAGATGGCGTGATTTTCCTGGGAGTTCGCGATAGCTCGCGTGGGCAGGCAGAATTAAAGACATGTTAAACACCCCGCGCATCCGCGCGAGTACCAAGATGTGCCAGCAGCATTAGCATTGAGGTTGGAACAGCTAGATGCCAAGGTGGCAAACTGAACCCTCAACGTTTTGACTGTAGCGCAGGTGGCCGTAGCAATGCCTTCTGTATGGGACACGGTCTCAGCTGCCAGCCCCCTGTCCAGGAGCGGCAAACAGACGAGGCGGCAGCACCTGCTTCTTGGCTGCGCTGGCTGCTGATGGGATCGAGGCATGTTTCTGGTGTTTCGTTCTTAAGGCCGCTGATGACTTTGCGGCCCTTCAGCTGCATCTTGCTTTCAATTCTCAGTCCCTCTGTGTTTCTGTCGTGGTTTCTCAAAGTGTGCGGATGTGGTGAAGGTTGCGCTCCGCAACATGCCGTCCCCAGCCAAGCGTTGAGATTGTCTCATGTTTGAAAACCTGAGAAACGATTCTCTCTTCTTCCAAATCGGAAGGCCAGAGCTTCAGGAAGCTTACAGGCTTACCATGCTAAGTGCTGAGCTGAGCATTTGACTTACGCTTGGCACAGTCATTGGCTTCACGACAAGTGCGCTGCTTTCCGGAAGCACTAGTCGTGGGAGAGGTGGACAGGCTAGGGGTGAAGTAGGAGATGCTTTTTTGACGAGTGGTACTCGATGCTTTGGCACCAGCAAGATGGAATGCCGTGGGTCCTGCCGTGGGTTCGGAATTAGCAACATGTTGGGGAGGCGCTTGTGACCCCCGACCGCAGTCTTGCAGGTCGTTCAACTGGAGATGAAGCTGCCCAGAAGCGAGCGAACGAGCTCGTACTTCAGGTCCCAGCTTTTGCACTGACCATGTGAAGTGCCATGAGCCCTGCAGAAGGCCGTCGAGAAGGGAGGCTGGGCTGTTGTGCGATTGTAGAATTGTAGTCAAGCAGTGCAATGAAAAACCTGGCCGACTGAAATCCATGGTCAGGCCCGCAAGTCCGCGAAACATTCCTGAAAGAGTTGTCCGGGCATCTGCCGGAGGCAGCGCAACACTCTACTCGTATTTCACAGCATTCGACTTCGGTTGCTCACCAGGGAACGATCCAAGCAACAGACGACTTGCTGTCACCACTGGATGGGGCGTGGCCTGCTCGGGCAGTCCAGGTGATAGTCTGATAGTAGCAAGACACAACATGAGACGGATCCAGCAATGTCTGTGTGTGTGTGGCTCGAGCCTTTGACACGAAGTCTTGTTAAGGTTCGGGCACGTTTCTTTCTAACCTAGCCGGACCTAGCCCTTTTCAAAAAGATGTGCTATAGCCTCCGAAGCACTCATGGCACGCATGAAGCAAGTCTCCGGCCTGCATGCCCTTACCGCGGATGGATGGCTTGGCCTGCGCCTCCTGCGTTGAGCCTTGTTCGGTCTGGCCCAGTAAAAGCGAGTGTCGCATTGGGGTCCAGAGATATGAATAGTTATGAAGCTATGTGCAAGAACAAAGCCCACCACAGGATCGTCTGTCAGGGAACGGGGAACAGAACGGAACAGACATTCCAATATGTGTAAGTCGAAAACGGATTTGTGATCAGACTTAGGCTTGGTGTCTCCCATCACCATCTCCTTTTGTTTCAGCTATCTTTCCTTCTTGGATTGTGTCACATCCTCGCATGATCTCCTCTTGTCTCCCTTGAAACCTCATCTTATTCTCCTTCACAGTGGTGTCGCAGTCCGGCTATATGATGGGATGACGAAGCCCCGTCATGGAGAGCAATGATTTCGCAGGTGTTCACTTGTTGGGTCAAGGATGGTGTAGCTTTTGTTGGATCGCACCTGATCATGCCGTTTATCCAACCTGCAGGTGTTTCAAGGGCTTTAGCAGGTCCAGCGCTTTGCAGAGGCCCAGGTCGACGCAAGTCCCTCAATTTGCCCATTCGTAGAGGCCGTCGGGCCGTCGACTGCAATGAGAACATCCCAGTCACAGTAACTCGAGGTGATTTTTTCTGCCTGCTGTGTGCATTCTGACGTGTCAAGGAAAGCAGAGTCCGTGCCAGTATGCTCTTCCCACAAATGCGCTCGTGGCCGAGCCGATTCTTTTTGCTCTGAGCTTGCAGATGCTGCTTTCGATATCGTATGCAGGAGTTCCAGGGTTCATCTGCAGTCCTCCAGCTCACCATTTCCAAGACTCTCATGCACAAGCTGCATTTTGGCAGCTCCTCTGCGCAGTCTTCTGTGGCTCCCAAGGTCGTCGTGGCACCTCAGCATGATCAAGTGAGCCAAGCGTTTTCCAGACCAGAATGTGGCATCAGATCAGGACTTGTGATTTGACTGTCAGCGGCGTTTCTTGCGTTTCCAGTTCTGAAGTTCTGGCATGCGCCGGAAGGATTCTCAGGTGCACAGGCTTCGCAGCACAAACCTCGGGTTCTTGGAGGACATGGGAATCGGTGTGCGGACTGAAAGTTTTTGTAAATTATCAACGCTCCTGCGTGCCGCCTCGGCAAAGGGGACGTGGGATTTGCGCGTTGCATTCTTAGGTTAGGGACAAAGCCTCTTGAGTTTCACAGGCGAGAGAAAATAAGTGTGATTAGCCTGGCCGATCCTGGGCAAGTGGGGTTCCAAGGCCAAGCGAGAAGCTGGTCCAAAATTCTTGCCACAGCCAAAACGAAGAGCTGAACGGTAGAAAATGTGAGAAAGGAAAGAAAGGGAAGGAGTTGAAGGAGACCGCAGGACCACACAACCCCTTGTGACCGCTGAGGGAATCATCGGGAACCCCGTCAGGGACTTAGACTTAGAGAGTTCCTTCGAGTCCCTCTGGAAGTCTTTGACGGGAAGTCGGCATCGTGGTGCGAGGCCCTATGACGCACTCTGTTCCTTTCTTGTTTTTGATGACTTTTTGATGTTGTCACAACAGAGCTGAGTGAGGCAGAGCTGCCAGACAAGCGGGGCAGTCTCACTGGTTTATTGGAGGCATCCTTAAGCAATCTGATCGAATGCGCCACCATAACTCGTAGAGCATGTTCTATTCTATCAGCGGGGCGAGGTGCTTTCCTAAGCGCCCTGTTTCCTCAGTATGCAGGCCATAGGAAATGTTACCATGTCCCGTGCACAGTTTCAGTGAGGACGCTGTGACGATTGTGGCACTTTGGGGCTTGCGCAATAGGGCTGAATGAAGAAGCAGAGCTTAATGGAGGCATCTGAGAAGGTTGAGGAAGTCAACATGGACCTTAGGGTCCAGTTCTATGCCTGCTTAGAGCTTTCTATGCAACGTTACGTCCTTGAAAACTTTCCCGCCCTTCCCGATGGATCCGCATACCAGGAGCTGCGCTTGGTGTCGGGTGCGCGCTGATCGCTCGTTCCACGAAGCGACGTCGAGGCTTCGAATCGTTTGACAGTCTGCTGAAGCACCAGCATAAGCACCATGGTCTGTGATTCTGAGGGCACGTGCAAAGGGCGTCGCTGCCAGACTTACTGCAGTCAACGCTGGGAAAGAAGGACTGATCGCTTGGCCCTGCGCAGACATGAGAATGCTTCACAACATGTACTGCAGCAGGTGGATTGATAGTCCAAGTTCAGCGGGATGTGGAGATAAAGGGTGATAAGTGATGAGGCTTAAAACGGGGCGTGCGTAATGTGTGTGTGTGTGTGAAGCTGGATTGCTTTTTGTTCCTGGCCAAGGAGCTCAAGCAGGTGATCAATTGGACAATCGCGAAGCGAGGCTGTGGTGGGCACATGCCGTGTGCACATGCCATCGGCATCAAGGTCCGTCCCCAGTGCTTTGCATAGGCCGCCAAGAGACCAAAGATATGCTCGACAACATGAAAACTCTGGGATTCTCCTGGGCGTGGGCCTCGTTTGTGTTTGCTCAAATTCTATTGTTGAGCAGATGGGTTGTGGAACAATGCCTTCGCTTGCAAGGCAACAAGAGCTGGCATCTCCTTGGGGGTCGATGCCGCTGGGATCCGCTTGGGGTGGGAGGGGAAACAGACGTAGCCCAGGCGTAGGAAGCCTAGCAATGCCAAGGACATGATGGTCCCCGCAAAGAAGGCTTCGCTCTGCGATGGCTCGCAGCAGCGACAGCTTCAAGCAGAGGTCAGCTATGGTCAGCTTCACGAAGCCAATCACCAGCAAGATTATGACAACCGCAATGACGACTGCAACTGGCAGGCCAGATACCGCAACGGTGAGATCACAGTGAATGAGAAGTTCTTGAACGTAACTGAAGAGTGGACACGAACAAGCGAAGAAGTGAAGAACGAAGCCGTCTCCAACTTCAAGGCCTCTCTCACTTCCTCAGTCTGCTTCAGTCTTCAGGGATCCGTTGTGGATCCTCATATGATGCGGATCCTGCTGTGCTGTGGAGTTTACAGTGGCCTCAGGAAAACGATCCAAACAACCCAGTCCATACCTAAGCTGCATCACATGCAACACCCGGCTGGGCATGGGGCGCAAGCTGTGTTTTTGTCAGTGATGGGCTGAGGTTTATATGATGTCCACGAGCGGCGCGCGGGGAAACATTTCACAGGTAAGACAACTGCTGGCCATGCGTGGCCTAATGGCAGATGCCAAGGGCAGCTTGGATCCAGCAAAGACCTGTGGCAGTGTAGCACATGCAGCAAGCGTGGCAAGTTCGCCAGCACATGCGCAAAGTCTGTGTCGTGTCAGGTCAACTGATTGATGTGCCCTGCTTGAAAGAGAAGGTTTGTGATTCTTGTGGCACTCAACAGATAAGCAGCTGTGCTCGTGGTGGTCGGTCTCCGGAGGTGATGACCTTCCCATGGGCGGTCCAAAGGCGGTCCAAAGGAGGTTCCAAAGGAGCACCGGAGCACGCCTTTGGAGGTCCAAAGGAGGTCCAGAGAGAATAGTCTGTGGGAGGGCCCGCACGATGAGATACTACCGAAGCAGCCCTTGGCCGTAGCATCCGTGCCCGCACAATAACAACGTCCACTATCGAGGATAACGTCCATGCCACAAGGCGGCTAAGGCTGTATCGCAATTGCTTTTTGAATGAAGGCGTTCCCAGGCGTTCCCACCAAAGACATGACAGCCCAATTGGATCTGAGGATGTACGCGTCAAATCCCTCTCTGCTAGACTACAACACTTGAACAGTAGACCCCACAGCAACAACCTTAACCTCCAGCGCGAGCCCCGTCACCGCTTTGATGAACCCCGCATTCCTTCGGACCCACGCCTTGTGCAGCACTTTGCTTCGACGTCGGCTGCTGGCAGCCAGCTTGTTTTGTTTCAAGGGCCAGTATATAGGTTCGGCCAGTCCTACAAGAAGGAGTGGGTTGTAGGGTTTTGGGTATCAAGGCGGGGGACGAGGTCTTGCGCAAAGGGCTTTGGCTCATTGACAATTTCACGGATTGCTGCGCGGACTCGCCGATCGCGGATTTGCGCGCGGATTCGCGGGAGGACGTTGTCAGGATAGCTCTCCAGCCTTGACTTTACGCAGAGCAAAGCGCCCCTTAGCAAGCTGCAAATCGCTGAAGCAGAGACATGCAGGTCACCTGCAGGTCAGCTTAGAGCTCAACCGTTCAACAACGAATGCTGAGTTCGGACATCTAAGGTGCCCATTCAGCACTGCCTGCGCGAGGGGATGACGGTTACAGACATGCTGATTTCAGGAGCTCGCGCTTTGCAAGTTCAGTTGTACGTTCTCGTAGCAGATGCAAGCTGGAGGCCATGGTGCTCGAAAGGCGAAGTCTGCATTGCTCATTTGTGCATGTTATGCATGTTGATGGGATGCTAGAAAATTGCGAGAGCTTTTCAGGGGGTTATCGACACTGCATTGAGAACGGCCGACTCTGGATATTTATACCGTCGATTGGACTTCACCGCCTCGCCAGTTGTTGCCGCTTAGCTCATGTTGCTGCTTGTGGGGGGCTCCGGACTTTCGGGGGCTTCGGGGCTGCTGGGTCTCGCAAGACTTTTTGCACTATCTTGCACTTCCTTGCACCATCTTGCGTCTCAGGTGCGAGCGGAGGACTGTGGCACGCCGGATGCTGTTCCAATGGAGCTTCAGGGCTTGCGTGCCGCCGTAGCATCTTTCAAAGACCGCATTCGCGGGCGAGTTCTGGGCAAGCCTGTGCTACACCCAGAAACGAGTGAACTTCTCTTTGATGCCGGGCAGCTTGCCTGAATTGAAGCAGCCATGTCGCCTATGTTGGCAGTGTGACCAGAGGGTGGTTCTGGAAGACTTGTCCCAATCTTTTTACATCTTTTTACTTTCGGAAACGGCCATTTTCTGGATCTCGACTTCCGGCTGCTTGACCGCGATGTATCAAGCATGTGCTGGCTTCATGCTCGGTGGACGAAGCCTTGTGCTAGCGTGGCAGATGCCAGTCTTCCGCTGGCATGCCACTTAGGGAATGAGCACCCTGCAGTTTTTTCCGAATGAACGTGTGCATGACCAATCTCTTTTCTCTAATCACTTTCTGCGTATGTCTGCATGCCGTTCGAGACCATGGGTCCTTAGCCTTCCCCCTAATTACTGCATGTGCTGTTGCTTCCCGGATCTCCTCACCTGCACACACGGCCTGTACACATCTGCTATGCCGAGGAAGGCAGCCCTGTGGAATTGTAAAGCTTGTTTTGTGCTGAGCCTGGGCTCGGGGTACAATCGAATTATTGAAGAACTTCAAAGAAAGCACCAACAAGACATTCAACACAGGCAGCGGTGTTTTCCTCAGTTTGCAATCGCAATCTTGGAGACGATCAGTGATTAAGAGCGGCATTTTTTCGCACGGAGTAATTTGCTGGTGACCCCTTGCGCTTTCTTGCGCTTTCTTGCGGTAGGGTCGGGGGGAGGGGGGGGAAGGGAAGACCTCAATGGAGCCTCAGCATGCCAATATGCACTGTCGATGCCTGTCGGCCTGTGGCTGGAGGCATCAGCGAGTGAACGTTCTGATGTTCGCCCACAGCTCGAACTGTCCCGAGCTTCCGCAAGTTGTCCTACATCTAGGGCCCTAGGCGTGCCAGAGCACCCCAAGGAGAATCACGGCAGAGCCGAAACCTTGCCCCATGACTAACTCAACTGAGGCACGCCCTCAAACGATTTCGAACAGAGGGGATCAGTTCAATCGGCTTCAAAAGGCTGTGAAAGTGCTGTGAAGCAGTGAAGCTGTAGCTGGCTTTGGCTTGAGAGTTTTGCTGTGATGGAAAGGCACGTCCTCCTCTCTCTTGCGGCTCTTAACGGCTCTTCCCTCCTCCCCATGGAATCCACTGTGCGGTAGTCGCCGGGAATCTCAGTAGTCTCTGAACGACTTGACGGTCTGCATGAACACAGCGGGCGTCAGGCACATGCTTACTTCCGAAGATGCTGGTCGGATCGAGGCAGTCTGGCGCTTGCTGAGTGCGACGATGGATGTACCCCCGGTTTATGTTCGAACACCTCTGGGGTGCCGACTCCCCGATGGAATCTGTGCAAAGTGCTATGGCGAAGATCTGTCAACGCCGGGGGAGCCGGTCAGTCCTGGACATCCTTCTGGAACAATAGCAGCACAAAGCATGGGCGAACCTGGCACTCAGCTCACAATGCGAACTTTCCACACTGGTGGAGCATTCGAAGGTCGGATGTGCTGTGTGAAATTAGGTGCTGTGACCAGTTGATGAAGTCGTACACGACTTTTCTTTTCACCATTGCAGGTTCTGCTGGTGAAGGGGTGGTTGCCAAGCATGCTGGCTACGCGCACCTGCGTTGCGACGATGGGGCCACAATATCCCATGAGGACATCTCTCACACGGTGCCTGGTCTTGATTGGGACATGTTGCATCGGGTTTGAGCGCTTCTAGCAACTATTGTCCGAGGGCCGATTCGTCAGCGAGTGGAGGCGATCTCCGCAAGGTGACGTGGGTTGTGTGCTGGCGCAGGCCAGGCAGGCTATGCCAGGCGTTTGCGAGGTTGTAGGCCTTTAGGTGCGATGCGACACCGTGCCAAACTTCGTGAAATCTGATGCCCCGCCATGTGTGTGAGGAGGCAACTTTGGAGATCGTTGACAGTGAGAATGGGAGTGTACTACAGACGGAGCAGCTCAAGATTGGCTCGTACGTCAAAGTCCTCCATGGTGCCCTGAGCATAATCCGCAGGGCTGATCTCGGCAATTCTCGATTCTTGTGATGTGTTGTTCTCATGAGCAAGGTGCTTCAGTGAGCTTTGGGCAAGTCCTGTATCAGAAGCCGGTCAAATCTTCACACAGCCATTATGCTGCAACAACACATTGGATGTGCACCGTGCACTTCGCTTCACCATCACCTCCTGGAAAGACCTTTCTTGCAAGGCCCGAATGAGGAGGACATTGAGACGTTGGACAAGCCCATCAACTCCGATGAGGACGGTGAGGTCATCTTGCAAGATGCCGATGCGCAGGGCAGCTGCATCGACGAAGGTGGAAAGTTGGCTTCTGGGATGTAACAGAGTCACGTTCGCTTGCATTGCTGGGGTTCCTTTCAGTGTGATTTGGAGGAATGTCAATATGCATGCTGCCATGGACAGCAGACTCTTTCTGTGTCTGCGTGTGTGTCGTTGTGTGTCATCGTGAGCGCCAACTCCCACACTTGGAGAGTAATGTACTGATGAGGGTCAGCAGCCACCAGTGGCTTCACGCAATTCAGCCTCGAGGTTCACTCTCCTTGAAGAGTTCTTCTTTCTTCCTTCTTCCTCGCCCACGCACATTCACCATGCACGCATGACAACGTCATTTGCACAGCAGCTGCTGGAGCATGCTTAGATGTGCTTAGATTTTTTGTCAGGTGCAGGGGGACACAGTACAATTTCACAGAAAGGCACTTTCCACATTTCAGCGCCGGGCACTTGCTTCTAGGGCCAACCTCTACTTGAATTGTGGCCCAAAAGAAGTTAGAAGGCACATGACACATGAACGGCGCAACCATCATCCCCAGCAGGGGCAAAGCAACGCTTGAAATTTGATGCCCCAATTGCCCGTCGGGGGCTCCACACAGAACACCTGGGACTCCTAGATTTTCGAAGCGACTGACCTGGCTCTGCTGCTGCCACAAACCTGCACTCGCAAACTTTAATGCCTCTGTGAAGTCCGCTTGCTTCAGCAAGAACCTATGAGATGAGATGCTCCAGCACATTTACATGTGAGAAACCATCCGTTCTCTACACGTCTCTGTAGGAACATGTCCTGAAGTGTGTTAAGCTGAAGCAAGGGACTCGAAGTTGTTGTTCTGCGGGCCACTGTGCCCCATGCGCCTCAAACCATACACAATGCATCGCGACTCAGTATGGCGCTGCGTACTTAACTTAATCAATCACGATCTTGCTTCCGGAAACATACAGTAGTCTCAAGATCCAGTGGCTGACCAAGAGACCTTCGTACCAGAAGGCTGAGTGTGAGACGGACCGAGGTTTGGGTGTTGCAGGGCACTGCACTGGACTTCCAGCATGAAGGTTCCAGTTTGGCAGCTTCTCGGCTCACAACTCGACCAGCAAATAGGCAGTGAGATGACGGCTCGGAATCATCGGTTGATCCACACGACTTTTGATGAAGTCTGAGTGAAAGTGGTGACGTTTCTGTGTGGAGGTGAAAGAAGGGGATGCTGTTGAAGCTGGGCAGCCTCTTGCGCAAGAGTGGGCAGCAAGTAGATGTGAAGGAGTTCCTCGCTTTCAGGCGCAAAGAGTGATAAAAAGTGATGAGTATCGTCAAGAAGTAGTTTTGTGCATTCTTATGCTCTGCAGGAACCACCGCGATCTGCTTCTGAGGACCTCAGGGACGACTGAGAGCTTGAAAGCAAAATCAGCCGACCGTGCTCTGGCGACAGATTCGGCAGGATTCGCTCTCATTACGCACAGACTTTGACTTCTTTGAGCTCGCAGCGGACCGGACCACAGAGTACACCAAAGACCCCGAAATGCCAGCGTCGTTACGTGAGGACCGTCGCAACATCCACTGTCCGAGTTTGCCGTTGCGAGTGTGAAGACTTGCTCGGTGTCATTTAACCATCACTGGCATGGGTGCAACTGGAGGACCTCCAAGACTTGCCGGCTACGGTGAGACCTTACCTCAAGCAGGCTGTACTTGTGTATTTGACTCGACTCGTGTTTTTGCAGAGGATGCGGGGTGGTGATGTTTGTTCTCACTGTTGAGGCCGTCTCGCGAGCCCTCAGCGCGGCAAGTAACCTTCGCACTGCAAGACCCGAAGCTCCGAAGTCTTCGAGTGTGTTCGCACAGGTGGGAAAATTATAGCCATAGTGGGGCAGCTTGGTCGCTGAGTTGAATAAGAAGAGCTGGAATAGCAGATCCAGTGAACTGCTCGGCGGATGTGCAGCGAACACCAAGTAAGATGCAAAATCCCAAAAAAGGGAGCAGCAGTGCAGGTTTCCTTCGGTGAAAGGCCTGAGCTTCGCGTCCTGTGCAGTCCACCATCCTTACAAGCAGGCCATGACGTGTTTTGCAATGTCTTGCACACCTTGAGCCAGAACAAGCTGTCAACGCATGTGAACGCGCTCACGCGCCTGCTGCACGTCGGCTCAGCCCGGCCTGAGACTTCTTCACAATTTCCAGTCCGCACATGGCTGCAGATGAAGGGGCGACTGCGGGAGGAAAACGATTCGCCGCAGAGCATCGGGGACCCGTCATCCTGGAGATTTGAGAAACTGCGGCGAAAGGGGGATCGGCTGGAAGACCCCTGAAGCCTTGTTTGCCTTGATTAGCAGTAACGGCTTGCAGCGTCAGCAGGCTGAGCAAAACCTTCGGTGCACTTGTTGTCTGTGCTGTGCTTGTTGCCAAGTGAAGCTAGGTTTTATTGCCTCATTCATTCCCCCCAGCACGTGATAAATGAGCGTTGATCTAAAGGTCTTTGTATGGCATTTAGTAGGCAGTGACCCACATGACATTAAGATATGCCTCCGCGAAAGATCCGCGTTGGGATTGCGAAAGTATGTTTTTTCGCGAAAGTTCTTACGTAGCCCCGGTCTTGTTCTATCTTGCCAGCAGCTTCCAGGCTTCAGTTCCTTGCTGGACTGCCCGGATGGCTCCGAAATACTCGCAGAGCCAAGGGGATCCGGAAGCGGTTCTCAGGGTTGGATATTTGGCGAAAGTTCCGCGTGAGTTCCGCGTAAGCCCCGCGTAAGTCGAGAAAGCCAGTCCAAGGACAGCGCTCATCTGAGGTGCGTGTTGGCTGTTACTGGGATTCATATCTCTGAAATAGTGAAACCAATCCATTGCCGAAGGAACTGCAAGGCCCTGTATTGGTTCTGGACTTGAACCCTAAGCCTGGAACCCTGGACCCTAAACCCGGATGCTACCTAAATCGGAAAACAAGACCATGAATCACGCACCCATGGTTCAGAAAACAGCAAGGAACGAATCAGAAAACGGCGAGGTTGGAATCAGCATGCATGGACACCTAACCTAACCTAACCTGACCTAACCTAACCTAATCTAACCGAACCTAACTAACCTAACCTAACCTAACCTAAGCCAACATGATAGGTTTAAGGGTGTGCGTTTAGGGTTTAGGTTTAGGGATTTCCCCCAACACACATTTATTGAAGATAGGTCTACTAAGTACCCCCCCTTTATGATAGGCATCGATAGACCCCTATACAGACCCCTATGGTAACAAATTTGTCACTCGCGCTCGAGCAGCAAGGTTTGCTTTATTTAAATAAGGGGTTTTTAGGGTTTAGGGTTTAGGGGTTTTCAGGGTTTAGGGTTTAGGGTATTTTAGGGTGCAGGTCTTGGGGTGTTTTAGGGTTGAGGGCTTAGGGGGTTTTAGGGTTTAGGTTTCTTTTTTCGGTTTAGGGCTCAGGTTTTGTTTTGGGTTGAGGGCTTGAGGCTTTAGGTTTTTTTTTCGGATTTAGGGCTCAGGGTTTTCTAGGGTTTAGGGTGTAAGGTTTTTTGCAGGGTTTTTTGGGGGTTTAGAGTTTAGGGGTTTTTAGGGTTTAGGTTTTTTTGGTTTAGGCCTCAGGGTTTTTTAGGCTTTAGGGGGTTTTAAGGTTTAGGGTTGGGCTTTTGGGGTTTAGGGCTTCGGGGTTTTTTAGGGTTTAGGGGTTTTTAGGGCTTAGGGTTTTTGAGGGATTAGGGGTTTTTGAGGTTTAGGGTTTCGGGAGTTTTTGCCACCCTTCCCATTTGCAAACGCAACACTCGCATGATGGGTTCGAAAAAGAATAAAGCTGGGGGGGGTTGGGGGAGGGGGGGCAGGTGGGCGCAGCCCGCCCCATTTGCAAACACAAGGCTCGCATGATGGGTGGTGTGAAAAAACATGCCTATGTTTAGCGGTTTTAGCGTTTCCGGTTTAGGGTTTTTTACGGTTTGGATTTATTAGGGTTTTAGGTTTTCGGGGTTTGAAGTTAAGGGGTTTCTAGGGTTTAGGTTTTTTTGGGTTTAGGGTTCAGGGGGTTCTTAGGGTGTATTGCTTAGGGCTTTTAGGGAAAAAACAGTGAGCCCACTCTTGCTGGTTTCTTATTCGTGCCTTGGTGTTTTCTGCTTTGCGCCGCCGTGCTTTCTGATTTGCACTCCTGTTTGCTGAGGTATGCTTGGCTGATTTGCCTGCTACCCCCCCCTAAACCCTAAACCCCAGCCCTTGACGCTCAAATTTGGCTTGTTGAAGCTTAGGGATCTATAGACCTTGATCTTGGCTAATAGCATAAACCTGCACCGCGAAGGGTCCGCGAAAGTTTTGCGAAAGTCAATTTTTTGTCCGCGAAGACGGTTCTTTCGGGATGAAAGAATGTAGATCAGAGATCAAATGTGGCAGAGGTGTGGGGGGAAGGGTTGGGAGGCCGACAGGCGAATGCTGCAGCATGGTGCTGGTGGCGTAGCCTTCGTGCTTTTGTTCCCTGTTTTGCACAGCACGATCAGGGTCGGCCATCTTCCCAACAAGCCGCAGTATCGGAGAGAACTGTGTGGCGCCAAGCGGTGGGCTCGTTCTTCACGTGGAATGGGAAGGCGGCGTGTGAGGGTCCTTAAATCCTCTCTCCCTCTCTCCCTCTCTCCCTCTCTCCCTCTCTCCCTCTCTCCCTCTCTCCCTCTCTCCCTCTCTCCCTCTCTCCCTCTCTCTACCTCTCTTCACCTTCTCTCACACTTCTCTCTCTCCCTCTCTCCCTCTTACTAACTATTCTCTCCCTGCTCCCTAGCTACCTCTTATCTCCCTTATCTACCTCTATCCACTACTTCCATCTCTCCCTTCCCTCTCTCTCACTACTTCGACTGTCTCCCTCCTTATCAGCTACCACCGATTCCCTCTTCTCCCTATTACCATATCTCACCTCCAGCCCTCTCTCCTCTAGACTCTTATATTTTATCCCTCCCTTAACCCCTCTATATCTGTCGCCCTATCTGCCCCACCCTCTCTCTCTCTCTCCTCTCAAATATATCACCTCTAACCCCCCTTTTCACCTTTTTTTTCCCTACTCTCTCCTCTCTAGATCCTATTATATCTATCTCACTATTATACCTATCCCTATCTCTATCCCTCCTACTCTCGTCCCATCATCCCTTACTTCTACATCTCTCCACCTCTCTCCCTATATCCCGATCTCCCTCTTTCTCTCTACTCCTGATATCATATCTACCTCTCTCCATCTCTTCAACTACTCTCTCCCGCTCTCCCTCGCCTCCCTCTCCCCCTCTCCTCTTACCTCTCTCCCTCTATCACGCTCTCCCTCTATCCCTCTCCCCTCTCTACCTTCTCCCTGCTCAATCTCTCTCCCTGATACTCACTCTCTACCTCTCTCCCTCTCTCCCTATCTCACCTCTATCCTCTCTCCCCTCTCTCACATCTCTCCCTCTCTCCCCTTCTATCCTATCTCACTTCTATCACTCTTCCCTATACTCCCTCTCCCTATTCACTCTTTATCAAGTCCCTCGCTCCCGTCTCTCTCCCTCTCTCTCCCCTCTCTTCAATTCTAACTCTCTAAATATCTACCTCTTACCATCTCGCCCTCCTCCATCTATACCCTCTTCAATATCTCCCTCCCTCTCTCCCTCTCTCCCTCCCCTTCTCCCTCTCTCTGTCCCTCTCTCCCTCCCTCTCTCTGTCCCTCTCTCCCTCCCATTCTCCCTCTCTCTGTCCCTCTCTCCCTCCCATTCTCCCTCTGCCCCACATCGGGCCAGGCAGACTGGCGGTTCTTTGGTCACCTGAAGAGAGCATCTCCATTCTGAACAAGCAGAAACGGCAGGTGCACAGCCCCGATCGCTTTGGACATGGAAGCGTCTCTCTTGCGTGCAGGCCATCCAGGACAATGGACAAGTCAAGCTTGGAAGGCGAGACCTTCGTGGACATAGCCGTCGACATAGCGGCATAGTTCCTCCAATTCATCCTTCTCCGAATCTGTGTCACAAATCATAAGTTTTGGGCTCGGACAACGCTGCAAAGGGTTAAAACCAATCCCAAAGACTTAAAAATACCGCGCGTCGACAGCCTCGGTCCGGCCCGGAAGTCTACAAAGCCTGTGAAATGTTAAATGTTTGGGTCACAACGCGCTCGGCCTCGGAGTCGAGAGTTGAAGCTTTTTTTGTTGTTCAGTATTTTTTGTTTGCTGACCTTTTTGGCTTCTTTGGAAACTTTGATGCCCATGGCCAGGGCCGCTGCAATCTTCAGGCATCGTCTTTGGCCCGCCCAGTGTACCTGTTTTCCGAGGACCTGTTTTGACAAGGTCTCCGAGTGTACCCTAGGAGAGTAGGCGTGGATAGCTAAATACTCGGAACATAAACCTAGGCCGTGAAGCCTGCTGGCCCGGCTAAACTTTGATGAAACTTATGCCGGATGCCTCCAAGCCAGGACTAGCTGCAACAAACTTGCGCTGAAATGCATGACAAATGCCCGACAGGCCGCTTTTGTTCAAACGAGTCGCTTCTGCTCCACCAGCGACTGTGCAGCCAGATGAAAAGGATGTGTTGGACCCTATGCTGCAGTTTATGATAAATTTTGTTGTGGTGTGTTGTTGATTGATGCCTCCTGCGCTGTGCCGCAAGAGCCGCTGGCTTCTAGGTCCGCCGCTGCAAAGATCGGGTGCGGGACTCTGTTTTCAATTGTAGAGCCATGTGACAGTTCTGTTTTGCTCCCGAGTCTACTCTCCTTGAGTCTGTTCTCTCGTGCAACAAAGTTGAGGTGTATTATTCCAGAGATATCGCTTCCCTCGATGTGGTGGAGGATTCTTCGTGGGAGTGTTTTGGGCTCAGATGCTGACGACTCTGTTCCTGGTTTTCTTGGCTTGTGCGCGTCCCAGTTGTCCCAGTCCCTCCGAACCTTCGTGGTCCAAGGTGCCGTCAAGCCAGGTGAGGTCTTCTTGGCACCCAGCAAGTACTTTGCAGAGGGATCTTGGTGGGATGCTGCCGAAGATGATGGAGCTTCCGGGCGACAACTTAGTGCATTGTTTTTGTCAGCACATTCCTACACTAGCTGGGTAGCAAGCTTGGCAAACGTATGGAGAGGTCTATTTGTACTCGCGAGCTGTGCCCCCAAGCCATCCGGTCATACCAGAGCTGCCCACAACCAAAAATGGTTCAAGCTGGATCATCGCCACTGGTCTGCAGGAGAGGTCAGGAGCGTCCAGTTCATGATTTGATTTGTGAGTTGCTTTTGCCATCGACTTGCAGCTCTCGGTGCATGTGGACAAAGTGGACAATCTGGAGGGTCGACTGCTGACTGCTGTGAGGCAGAGATTCTGGATGACCCGCGTGGGTCTGATTCTGTGCGAGTTCTGCTACGCCATCTGCCCAGACCATTTGCTAACGCCCGCCAAAAAGTGTGATGGCAGCCATGTAGTCGAACATAGTTGAGTGGTGCTCGCTTCTGAGGTCGTACGAAGCTGCTTGAGCTGCCAGCAGAACCTTGCTCTTTGCCGTCCGAGTCTCACACAATGTCGTTCTGGACCTCGATGTACAAGAATGGCTGCATGCCTGCAAGTGGCAAGCGGCTCGAATCGATACCCAGCATCTTTCATCTCATGGTGTCCTTGTCGCAAGCCAGGTGAGATTGTCGAGTCGGCGGAGCCAGTGGTGTTGGCCTACAAGGTCTCTGCCAGTATCGGCAGGCATTATCATGACATGCACCATGATCGCACGCAGCTCGAGACTTACAAGACTTAGCCGTTTGGCAGGTCCGAAACCAAGCCAGTTCCACATATCTTAGGCATTGCACGAGTGCTGTACCACTCCGATCCTCTGCATCTTGGCATTCACCCGGATCACCGCGATGTGATGTTGGACGTTGCTTTTGGGATCGCTGGCCGCCTAGCAGCTGATGTCTTATGCATCAGGGCGAGTCGCGCGGCCCACCAACAGCCGCTTTGCATGGAACACCACTCGATGTTGCGCGTGCCCCTCGTTAGCACGAGCCGTTTGACAGCTTCTCTACCCCGTGAGCGGTTCTCGAATGCAGTTTGTGCAATGAGGAATGGGGTCCAAGCAGTCTCTGCGTAATCCAGCATTCTCCACTGGGACAAGCGAGAGCAGCTGTGCCCAACAGTTCGTGGCAAGAGGCGGAGCCGCGACACTCATCCTACTTAGCCTAACTGGGCCTAACTGATTGCTACTGCAGTTCGTTGATTGATTCTCGCCAGCAACCCGTCTTCTCTTGCCTTTTGAAGCAGCCCGGCACAGTAAGGATACATTTCTTGCGATGCATCAGACCAACTGCTTATCGCTCGTCGAACATTGCCTTCGAACGCCAGTGGATCTTGGTGCGGCATGAGGTTAGCTAGATAGATCGAGGCACAGATCAGTCTGGTGTGTAGAGCTTCGCCCTTGCCCTTTGCTTGGTACAGCCAAACTTCCAACACTCTTGACACATGGGTACATGCATGGACAAGGGCAGCAAAACGCTGAATGATTTGATTGTGAGTGCAGTGGGATGTATTTGCGTTGTCACGCGATCCAGGACTCGTGTGCAGAGCGGAGCTTCTTGACGATGGGGAGGAAGGAACTCGGAGGACCAGAGCCCAGTTCTCCGTAGTCATGGCATTTAAATGGCACACGCCGAACCTCGCATGTGTGAGTGTGTGGAAACACATTCCACATCCTGGACAAGCCTCACAAGCTAAACGAGCAGCATGGGAAGTTTCACATACTTTTGCAAGTGCTGTGTGTTGCCTTGACTGAGCAAAAACAACATGGTTGCGCAGGCTTGCGCATCATTAGTGCCAGTGTCCCGCCACTCTTGTGACGCTAGCACGTTCGCTAGGAAAGCGTGGGCATCAGATGCGAATATACTACTTGCTCACCTCCTGTGTGGGACTCCCCACCTACAATCATTCCTCGACACATGAGACATGACTATATATGGCCTGGAAGACGACGATGAGCTTTCAAGATCAGGGCCGTCACGAACAAGCCGCACCATATGCGCAACCACCGGTCTCCGGCTGGAGCCTTGCAGGTGCGGAAGGTGGGCCTAAACCCCAAAACCCCAACAAGAACAGGCAGACAGGGGGAAAGAGGCCTAAACTCAAAACCAACAGGCAGAAGGGAACAAATCCCTACCGGATCCATACCTTCCATCAAGCAAAGTGCTTCGAACAAGCACCATCCATCCAAGACAGCAGGGCCTCATCAAAAGCATGAATCGTGCTTCCGATGTATTGGCCCATGGAGCATTGCTTGTCGGAGCATGCAGTGGTGAAGCGTTGAAGCATTCAGTTTTTGGCATGCGCAACAGTCATCGTGGAGCTTTGTGTGAGACATGTGCAGCATTGGTGCCGAGGGGAGACCAGTGAACAAACTTCTTTATCGAAAGCGGTTGTGCTTGCTTTCTTTCGCTCTCTCTTTCTCTCGCTCTCTCTCTCTCTCTCTCTGTCTCCTCCAAGAACCTTCAAGCTTCTTCATTTACAGTTCCGTTCGTTCATTCTCTTCTTCCCAATCACTATGTGTTTCTTCCACTTCCTTGTCTCTTCCCTTTCCTACATTTCGAAGCGAGCATCGGCATGGGTACTGGCATCCGACTTATCATAGTATGGTGAGACACGCTGACAATGGCTGTGATGGCGCAACCTCACTGTCCTGACAAAAGATTGGAAGCAGGGCTGCTCTTCCTATTGCTGCCTGACCCCCCCAAGCCCCAACTCGGGGCAGCAAAAACGTGGATGCTGGCAGGGTTAATGACAGCCTGCAGGTACTGTATGTTTGCCCAGAAGGTATCGGTGGGAAGTTGTTTGTGTTTTTTTCAAAAACCAGTCTCGCGGAGCAGAAAACTTAGTGCTGCACATGCCCCTTCATTCATGTGTCTATGATTGTTTATTGGGCCCACGTGGACCGGCGGAAGAGCGGTATGGATTTTATGGCATGGGTACTCTTCACAGACTCTGACATGTTTTTGCCTGCTCGAATGGCATTTATTTGTCCGCTCAGGCTAACTGCCGTGGTCTTGAGTGACCAAGATGTAATGAGGGTCCCATGCCACGAGCTTAGTTGAGGAGAGCAGAGATGCACTGTTGTCCCATGTAGTCTCTCCCTCTCTCTCTCTCTCGGCAAAACGCAGTGTGCAAAGAGCATGAACCCAGGTCAGGCAGATCCGTTGGTCTGTTTGGGAGATCTGGTTCGGCAGCACGACCGTCTGAGTCCTGAAGATGTATCTCCCGCAGCAGGACAAGCGGCTCCGCCGGAGCTGTAGAAGTTCAGATGTATCATTTTAAAGCCAAACAAAGAATTCCCCCTGCCTTGTTGGAATCATCTCTGCCAGCCAAGGTGGTGTCTGTGCAAGCTTCGATGGACACTTGCCTAGAGTTGTTCATGTGTCATAGTCAGAAAGATTATGTGCAGAAGTGGCTAAGGATGGGGGCGCTGTCGTTCTGCTTCGCAAAGCCAGCTGCTACCTAGTGACCCAGAAGGGCTCCATCCTGGCACCCTGGCTTTTTTCATTGCAGATCCAATGCTGCCCAAGCACTGCCCAATGCTACCGTGCATTGGGTTCTGAGCCACGAATAGCACGGGCTTGTAGATATTGCATCGGGGGCAGATGCATCATCTCGCACAGCAGAAGGTGACACCACAAATTCTAAGAGCTTGAAAAAGGTGCGCAACGGCAGCATCGCCCAGATGGGAGACTGCTTGGCCACCGAGCCGCTGGCGGTTCCACGGACATCGGACATCGTCCAAGGCCTCCCGCGCATCGACCGGCTCTTCGAGGCGAAGAAGAAAAGAAGAGCAATTTTTGAATGGCAAATGACAAAAAACAAGCTTGAGAGGAAGAACAAAGAGCATCTTTGCACAATTTCTACACACCATGCACGTTTGTCAAGCTTGTCAAAAGAAGTGCGACACATGTGTTAGCCATGTGTTCCCAATTCTCATGTTTTCGGGACTCTGGAGGCCGCCAACAAGCAGCTCGAAGCTCGCCTGGACAGGATCTTTGAAGAGGCAGCGGTCGGCAGTGGTGGTGTGCTCGTGTTCGTGCTGAGTGTGGAGGGAGGATGGAGATGTGAGTCCTGCTGCCAAACGGAGGAGGCGAGGCGGCGCAGCAGCTTGGATGCTGCATATGCAGCTCGCCAAAGGCCGTGTAGCTCTTCAGGGATGCATGAGCTCAAAGAACGTCACAGAACGTGATGGAGCATCGCAAAGATGTGCGACATGTGCAAATCGCAAGAGGTTTGAGCAGGAGCTCTTGGCAGACATTCAGTCTGCCTATGGTGAACAGGGCGAAGCTTGGACTGCAATAACTATTTGGACAGTGTCTCGTAATATAAGTTCAGCTTATGAGAATCCATGCTATTTAGGTGAACATCAGCAGCAAGCACATTGAGGTGTGCGGGCACGGTTGGATGTTCCAGTGTATATTCCGACAGACGCGTGGCAATAACTCCGTCTGAAACGGAATTCGTACTCAGATGGGGAGCAACTGGTTTGGATCTTGAGTGCAGGTGGTCGTGCGCAGGATGACGGAAACACAGCTGCGGATAAAGATTCAGCGAGACGGACGTTTCCGAGAGCGGGTTGCGGGTTGTCCATGTGCGCGACAGTGCTCGCGTGCGCTGTGCTGGAGAAGCGCGTTAAGCTGATTGAGGGTCTGGCAGAGACGGTCTTTTTCCTTGAGCATATTTGCGCCCAAGGAGAAGTGCATAATAGAAGAAGGAATAAGTGGCTTGCCACCTGGCACTTTAATGAACTACGTTGAGCTCGAAGGGCTCTGTGCTCTGCAACCAAGTGGAGAGGCCCGTTGCAAACGTTGCGACGCTTCGAACTTGTGACTTGTAGCTTCGTGTATAGCCGTATAGCCTTTGCCCAACTGAGCATAGCAAGTATCACCTAGTTGTCAATCCGGAGGTGAGGGTGAGACCTACCGTCCGTGGGCTCACCGCGATCGGCCGGGATGGTAGCCACGTGTTGGTGGCCATGGGGTTCCGAGAAGTGGACAACGTCGTCGCCAGCGCCATTTTCACTGGTGCAGGCCAGGCGCATGCAGCACTCAGAGCCTGGAGATTTCTTTATGCAGACTTCGCCTGACCCCACTGACGCCAAAGGCCAACGACACTATTCTCGCAGTATGTTTCTCTCAGTTTGCTCGCAACAGCTGGAGGCCGCTATGGCTTTGAGGGTGTCAAGGAGAACCTCATGATTGGGAAAGCAGTTAGCGTTGGAAGCAGCTCTTCCAGAAACATTATCTGGCCAATGTGTAGCCGACAGCCGCAAACAAAAAGAAGGGTTTTGAATATCCTTGTGCTCCGAGGCAAGACGGCCTCTTCAGCAACATCGGCCGATTGTGAGATTGACTTCGATCGTATTCCTGATTGGGCTGAAAAGGCAGCATGCAGCTGAATTGGCTCTTGCAGCAGTGTATGTACATAGTTTGAGGGCGCGCTGCCCGATTCAGAGCGAGCTGCGAAGAGTCATATTGTGCATCCGGAACGAACACACATCACAGGATCTTGTTGAGTTGAACGTGTTGAACGTGTTTGGACCATGACAGATCCAGGTCGGAGCCGCTGCCCGAGGATCGTTCGCATCCATGCACGTTGCTTGCCGTTGCAGTGTGTGCTTGCCTGTGACTTTTTCGGCCCTCCCTCCAGCCTTCTGCAGAGGACGCGGTCTCCGCCGGATCTCTCGCAAAGAGAATCGACGGAATGAAGGCCGAGACCATGAAGTATACACGGCTTGAAGGGAGCACGGTCCACGGTGCAAGGTCCTTGCAACTGCACGAGGGCCGGTCGGAGCTCTCACAACTCTCACGAAGTATGTCACTGCCTTGTAGGACCTCCGGACCCCCTATCGCGACCTTGTGCATTGCTCCCACATGTGCGAGCAAACAAAGGGATTTGCTTAGACGAGTTAAGAGCTATTCGGCGGCCTTTGGAAGCTTCTTCTGGAGGGTTTTGGAAGCTCCTGGACGCTTCTGGAATGGTCAAGAGGGGGTCGTACTTTTCAGTCTTAAGAGGCAAAATATACTCTTCGGAGACCAACCCCTTTTGGCTGACACTTTGGTCCCCTCCTTGAGAGGGAAAGTTGCTTTCAAAGAAACCCTCATTTTGGGCTCTGGCCTCTGGAACCTCGCAAGGGGCCGTAAGGGGCCTCCCCTGACAGTCGCACGATGGGCCTGTGATGCTGACGTTCGACGCATGTCGCGGTATCACTGGTATCAGGACGCGGCTGTTCGATAAGCAGCTCAAACCTTCGGGGCAATTGTTTTCTCCTAATTCTGCATGGCCGACTATTGCAAACATGTGGTCGGCCCACCACCAGCACATGCTGCTGTAGCGAGCTAGAGCGCCATTTCAGGCTCAAATGGAGGCGGGAAGAGAGGTGGGCCATGCATGGACCATACGTTGACACAGCAGTTTTGCATGAAACATGCATTGGGGTGGTGACATACATTCCTGAGTGCTGCAGGCCACACGAAGACAACTCGATGCTTTGCAGCAGCAGCAGGACTGGGGTCTTCACGGGACGTTTCGCTGAGCGTCCGCTTTTCCTTGCATGCTTTGCTGTGATTGTTGTGTTTATGGTGCGGAGTCGGAAGCCAGCCGAAGTCCGCTGGCAAGTATTCAGCAAGTCTTCGAGCCGAAGTTGTGGGAGACTTCGATGCGGACGCAGCTAAACGCTAAAGTCCTCTCTGAACCTCTATTGGTGTCGCAGATCTAGGTTTGACCTTGGTGATCACCCTGGGACCAAAGAATGGAATTCCGGGTTCGGCTGAGAATCGTGGCCAGGGGGACGAACCTGTCGGGCAGATCCGACCCGCGCAGTGGGACCAAGCTCATTCGCCACAGTCTGGCGCAATCAATTCAGCAACCCATCCAACCCCCATGGCCGCTGATCATCAACATGCGGAACGACACCGACATTGGAAGGCTTTCTCTTCCTTAGCCAGCACGTCACATGTGCGTACCGATTAACCTCAATAACGAGCCTGGTCAGCTGACCAACCTGTTCAAAGAAAGTCCAAAATCCACCCTATCAAGCCTGCCTACTCCTCCCTCCCACTCGCAGCCGAAGTCAGAGGTCTCATGCGACAGACATCTGGTCTCACTTGGCATCGCACAACACTGAAAAATAGGAAGGTGGACTAGCTTTACCAAATTTCCGAGTGTGCACAGTGTGCATGACAAGAACCGCGCGGCACTTCATGTACCATCGGGTCCAGACCTGGCCTCTCAGCAAGACATCTTCGGTCAGTGAACGCTCTGGACTCCAGCCCAAGTGGTGTAGCAGAAGTAGCTGCTCTCCGAGGCTTAAATCAGGAACTGACGTGCTCCCGTTGTCACGGCTCGGCGTCTTCGACCAGTAGTGTTTAGAAGCCTGATGTGATGTGGCAAAATTCGGCATGGCTGTGCCGCTTCAAGGAGAGCTTGGAGAAGATCTCCAGTTTGTGCCCCTAGAGTCGAGTGTGGTGGCCCTCAAGGGGTGACGTGTGCACTCGAATGCAAGGTCCAGAAGACTTTGTGAATTTCATGACGAAGGCGCTGGATGTATGAAAAGTGTGGCACACTGTTGCACTGCTGCACAGATTTTTGCGCACAGGAAGGCGGTGTGTCCCAAGAGGACTTGCAGAGGCGAATTCGTGGCAGTTGTCGTTCGGTGCAGGGCCTCTGCAGTGTAAATGCATGGGCGTATGTAGGGCGAATGTAGGCATCTAGAGGAATCTGCAGGATGCTGACGGGCGACCCAAAGCACATGGAGGAAGCGTAGCACGTGCAGCACATTGCAGCACACATCATACATACTCTTACTGCTCTAATTATTACTGCAGCTTCTTCAAAGTCTTCGTCGGTGCATGAAAGGACCTAGTTGCAAAGATGTTGAACAAAGCTGCAGATCCAGGCACCGGGCAAAAGGGTCCATGTATGTGGGGAATAGTGCCGACTCGTGCCGACCGCATTGCACCGTGCCTTCTAATCGCAGGGGTGGCAGTACCAGCTCACGATGGCTCAATATTTTTCGTCTTCAGCTTTCAGGATGAATCAACGAAGAAAATAATGCTAGCCTCGGTTCTTGTTGCAGCTCCAGAGTGCCACAGCATCTCGTTTTCCACCATTGTAGCATCACAGCATGTCATTGGAAGCGCAACAAGGTTTTCAGCTCCGAGCCCTCAGCAGAGTGTGCCGGCTTTGCCATGGCTCTTCCATTTCCAGCAGAAGCAAGTGCAACTGAAGTGGTCCATGCTGTCCAGAACATGGAGGCAGCGAACCGTGTAGCATCTTGCCGTACATTGGTCTGCAGGTTTCATGTCAGCAGCTGTCTTTGCACGAAGCTCAGGTATGCTGACTCAGCATCCAGTACCTTGCCAAGATTGGATGAGCTCTCGGCAAGAAATAGGCCAAGGACGAGCCGCTTTCAAACGAAATCGCTGCATGCTCTTCCCGTCAGATTGCTTAGCCTCAGCCGCAGAGCTCATCCAACATGATGCAGACGCCTGGCAAGCTGAGATTGAGACGCGCAGCTTTGCTTTGAGCTCTTAGTGTCGGATCTGCAGAGTGCTTACACGAACTCCTTCCGCAACACCTTACGAGTGCGTTGCAAGAATCTGCACGTCCGGTCTGCTCCAGCACGCCGTCCGCCAGGTAGCTCTTGCGTGAGTCGCTCAACAAAGTCGGACAGCTTGGAGCGCAGCATGCAGCAAACGCTGGGCAATCCTCGAGGATGTTGAAGGCCTTCGACAATTCGCTTCTAGAAGCTTCGGTGACGCGTTCCCTGACAGAAAAGTTGACATGGTAGCCACAACATATTGCCAACCTTTTTTGGGCGATAGCCATACCGTGCTGGCAGCGTGAGCTGCTGATGGCCTTCCTCAGATCAAGAGCGTCGAGTTCAGCTTTCTGCTCTTCTCCCCAGGGCCTTTCCAACAGCCTATGGACACAAGGAAAGCCACAGCCTTTGGGCTCGCAACTTGTGCACGACATGGCCTCTGCGGCAGAGTAGAAGCTGGCTGAATCCGATTCCCAGGCGACTTCCAGCACGTTGTGAGGTCTTGCAAAGACGAAGGTACTCCACTGGCCTCTGACGGCTGCCCTGGCGATCGAATGTACAGCCAAGGCAAGTCAGTTGCAGTCACAAGACGCCTCCACTATCGCCTGGTCTTTTGCCAAAGCTGGAGCTTTTCATTCTGTGCTGTTCAGTGCGCTTGGAGAATCAGCCAGCCGAGATCTTTCACAGTTTTAGCCGCAAGCCCCATCTAACTTGGCGCAGGCGTATACAGCAGCGAGTACTCTCGAGGTGCCTTTGTCAAGTGCCACAGTGGCAGAAGCCAAGCTGGAGATTATGGAGCTCGACGCGCAGAACCTTTCCAATGCTGCACGAGGCTTGGCGACCCCGACTATCAAGCGAGAACCGGTGCTCGACTCGACAATCCAAGCTGCCTTGACACAATTGGCCCATCTCAATGCCCAGAATTCAGCCAACACTGTTTGAAGGCTCGGTACGTTGCTGTTTCTGCACGAGTCATTCTCACAGGCACATGCAGAGGCAGCTGCTGCCCAAATGGCCAGTCGTATTCCACAGGAAATCGCGAATGTGGCGCAGGGACACACGACGGTGGATGCCGCGGAGGAGTCTTCAATGCACAGAATCGGAAATGAGGGGTCGAAACGTGCTACCGAGCCCAAGCCCTTCAACCTTGCCATCCTGGCTTGGTGATCCGGAAGGCTCCTGGCGCAACAGTAGGCAGCACTGGAGGTGCCATCGTAGATGTCCCAGAAAAGAGTATCAGAGTCTGGATCACAAGAACCATCCAATACAGCTTGATGTCCTGCTACACTAGGTGCGCATGACCAGTCTTTGTTCCATGCGATTTCGCATGGCGCGATCGAAGAGCACGAAGCCTTCCTGCCTCAGCACTTGTCAAACACCGCGCAAAAGCCTGGCGAGACGTTTGTGTGGAGCGACTTGCTGATGAATGCGTTGCGCTCTGCCGCTGAGCGCGTTACTGGCTTGAGATTTGGAGACATGCATGCGCTCTTCTGGTCCTTAGCTCATGGCTTGAGTTGGCCGCATCTATGTGAAGCATTCGAGAGCTACGTCGTGCACCATTTCTCGCGTTCCTCGCTGGATGTTCTTGACATAGGCGTGATGCTCGCTCCTTGTGAGGCATGTCGTTCTGCCTCGTGCGAGCGTCGAGTGTGGAAGCTGATCGCTTCTTCGGCTCCACTGCGGCGAGATATGCAAGAGATTGTGGCAGGAACCGCAGGATACGATTTCAACCCGGCTGCTTACATCGACAGGCACCGTGTCGCAGTGGATTTTCCAGGGGCGCAAGTCGCGAGGCATGGCGGCCATGCTCAGCACAAGCTGTCTATGTTGGTGCAGTATGTCGAAGCACGGATAGTTCGCCCTGCCACAGGCCAGGACGTGCTTGCCGCAATAGTGGACTTTTCGATGCAGAAGCTGAACTATTGGCTCAAAGTGGCAGGAGATGCGAAGGGTACGTTGATCGACCGCCTCCTGGCTCGTGCCACAGACGCTCGACACCGCATTCGGCTTGAGTTTGGTGCCTATGTCGGCTTCTCAACTCTTCGACTGGCTTTGGCCAATTTGCATGTGCCAGCCCCAAGTGCGTGGCGTGTCTTGAGCCTGGAGGTGGACCCACTACATGTCTGCGTGTCGCGGCACATGCTCAATCTGGGGGAACAAGCACAGCTTGCAGAGGTTTGTGCGGGACAAGTGAAGGATCTTCTGCCCAGAATGCTGGAAGACTTTGGCAGCTGTGCGGCTGGCCTTGTTTTCATGGACCACAGAGGGACTCGATTCCATTCGGAGTTCTGCATCCTGGAACGCGGGAAGCTCTTCAGCCCGAGTGCAGACATCCTGTGCGACAATGTGCTCCATCCCGGGGCGCCTCTTTACCTGTGGCAAGAATCCCAGCAATCCCAGCAGTTGCAGCGAGAGCTCTGCATCTGGTCCCTGTCTGAGTTTGGAGGCGACAGCCGCATTGAAGACTGGATGGCTTACGAGATGTACCAGCCGTTTCACCGCGAAAGAAAACATCTGCAGTAATTGTAATTGCTTGTAGACTGCTTGTTGTTCCTGATTCTGCAGTGATGTACGATGCGGTAAGCATGTCCCTGTAGCTCGCTGAATCCCACTGCCAGGTGAGAGTGCAGTAGCGCCACGTTCTCAGTGTCTGCTGAGAGCAGACGGGGGGGGGGAGGGAGGGAGGGGGGTGCAGATGATCAAGGGCCACCGATGCCAAATCATGCGCATGGCGTCCAGCACTTCACATACGTGATGTCCAGTCAGCCGATGTGTTCCACCGTGGCTGAGTCATAGTTAGGATAGTTAGGCAACGCTTAGTCCCTGTTGTCATGACGATCGGAGAGTTGTGCTGATTTTGCTCGTCTTAGGTGAGGGCCTGCGTGACTGATCCAAACTACTCAGTCACACCGTACTAACAAAAGCCCTGCGGCTTCTTGCAAACAACGGCTGACCTCCAAGGCTTGCTGGTGCAGAGGAAGCCATCAAAAGTGCAGAAGAACTTCACACTCGCGATTCCTGCATGGTTGTGTGTGGCCGTGTGTTTCCTTTGCTAGTTGCAACCGGTCGTCCCCTGCTGCTTGGCGGATGAAGTGCTTGCAGGCATTTGCGGTGAAACGACGAGTCCAAGCACTGAGAAGAAGGCGCGATGTGAAAACCGCATGCCCACATGGCCCTTATCTCTCGAACTCTGAGTTTGCCCTTAAATTGCCTTAGATATGGTGCACGGCTATGCACGGCTTTGGCGAGCTCCCAGCAGCCGGCAGAGCCGGCACACAGCTTTCAGAGATCGCTTAAAGACGTCGCAGAGACCTCTCAGAGACCCTGTTGGGGGTCGGAGGGAGACGTGTCCTTATGTCTTTTCAAATCCACTCTTCTCCCCAGCCTTGCCCTAGACGTCGGCTGACGCTTCGGAGCGCCGCCACGGGGCTCGTAGCCAGATCGGTGATTGATATGCCAATGGGGGGGGCTACTGGGGACCCCTACCTCACAGAATCGCACATGGCTGCAGCGTTTGTGTCTTTCTTCTTTTCACAAAGGCGGTGTCCGTTTCGTGTGGTGCTGTACGCAGAGGGTGGCCTGGGGTAGACCTGTACAGGATTAAATCTAGCCGCCTCAGCCCTCGGTGGATTTGCGACTGGCATCATGTCCATACAGTGTTACACGCCAGCCAATTATCTTTTTTCTGCTCTACGTCTGTTCACATGGCGAGGCGATCTCTACTGTGAAGTCGGTCCCAGAGGCTATTTTTTCTGCCTGAAGAAGCACAGCTCCATTGGTACAGTCTGATCGGGCAGGTGATCCTACCGACGCATCGACTACAGTATGAGAAGGACGTAGAGGGCAGATACAGGGCCAGCGCCTTGTTTCAGAGTTGTCTCTCGCAATCGAAGTCCAGGTTCCACTTTGTCCAAGCATCTGATCTCACCAGATCCCACCTAGGGAATGGAGCTTATCTGCGAGCTCCCGGGTGTCAGCGACATGGGTTGCATCGCCGGGCTCTTGCTTCACTCTTAAACGAATTTTATACGAGATTTGATTTGCATTCGGCCCAGTTATCAGGTCTTGGACATTGCCGAAAAGCACCTGCGGCTGAATACGGTCGTTCGGCCCTCGGATGTGAAGCATGAATTATGTGGATGTCGTGGATGTCATGGATGTCTGTAATGGCCAGGACCCTGCGCCCAAGTATGCCATCAACGCAGGGCCTTTTCCAGCACGGGGGCACAGCTCTCCTTGTAGCAAAGTGTGAGTTTATTGGAGCGACGTCCGCGACAATCCGCGACAGGTTCTCATTGAGCCATCTGGTGCCAAAGCAAAGCCGTCAGCCCAGACAAGGTTTTTTTACGTCATTACTCAACACTGTGTGTGTTCAGTTCGGCAGCCACCCCTGGCGTGTTACATCGTGGCGCCGGCATGCTAGTGGGTCAGCGAGGAGGTTTCTGGGAGTCCTGGCGTGCTCGGCTCCAGATTTGCTGGTTCATGATGGCTTTTAGAGGTCTTGAGATCTGCAAGGGGTTAAGTGCAAGTGTGGGAGTACTGGGGGTCAGGCTTTGGGACGTAGATGCCTTGAACCAAAGAACCGCATCGACGAAGCTCCGTTCACGCCTGTCAGGTTCAGCAAGAAGAGGCATGAGTTGAGTGTTCGAGTGCCAGCCAAAGCATGACATTGGGAAGTGCCGCCGTCAAGATGCAAAGTTTCACTGCTATAGCTGACATGCCCTCAGTCTCATTTACTTGCTTCGTCCCCGACAGGCATGTTCACTTATCGTTTGGATTGTTTGGATGTTCTGTTTCGTTGTGTGAATGCAGAGGGATGTTCAAGTCTTGCATGACATGTGCATGGGCTGAATACAGCCTCCGAGCTTCGCCGCTTGCGCCTCATGCTCAGCAAACCCAGCATTGCATGACCTGTGCATGATTGTGCATGCCTGCACGACGCCGATGTCCAGTGGTCTGGCCGTGGCACTTGAGCTGCTGAAAAGAGTTCGATCCGCTGCTTTCTGGCTTCTACAGCATCTTGATGCATGCAGCGAGAAGCGGCGCTCAACGTTTTGCGAGCCTTGGCCTGGAGTGGAGTTGGAGTGCACAGAGATTGGCCCGGCATGCTTTGTAGATCCGGGTGCGCTGGAGACCGGTGTTGATAAATGAGGCGGCGGGCACCACGACGCCCATGGCGGGTTGCGTGGATGCACAATGTTGGTGTCGAGCATATCCCGATTCGCGATGCTGTCTCTGCCCGTCGGTCTGCTGTTTTCAATGGTGCTCACGTTTGCGTGATGCTCCCCGGATGATACTGCCGCCACTGCCGAGGCATGCCACCGTCACGCAGCACAGGCAGGTCCTCGGTGTGCCATTCGCAGTTTTGTGTTGGCGAGTGAAAGTGACATCGCACCCATGTGCAGAACCAAGCCATAACCAATGACTTCCTCCCGGAATTTGGGGCCTTCAGGCCTTTTGCGGGGCTTTGGAACTTCCGAGACTGTTGAAGCCTTCTCTTCTTTTTGGGGCCTCCCAGGGCCTTTTGGGGCCTCATTGAAATGAGCCCCTTATCTATGAATCTATGATCGCCAAGAAGAGAATGTGTAGAAATGCGTAGGCAGAGAAGGAAGGTCTCACGCAGGCGAGGAGCCGGGCAGCTGCCGGCTCTCCAATCCATATGGCCATCCATCAGCATCAAACAAGTAAGCAGTCCAACAGAAACCCTCTTGTTCTGTTGTTCCGTGATTTGCGATCCTTGCTGAGCTCACAGCATGTGCCAGGTGGAAGGTGAGATATGGTCAGCATTGCACCAGCACCTTGCTGAAGCAGACCGCAATTGCTGAACTGTCTCCTCACGCAGCTGCTGCTGACCAGGACCCGGTGGGAGGGCGGTTGTGGGCAATCGACTGCTTGCGCTAAGCCGCTTGTGGCGCAATTTTGTTGCTAATCACTCCGTGTGCCCTCGGTGGCTCAAGAATGCTCGGGAAGCTCGTTCTAGATTCTAGGTCCTTAACCTTCAAATCAAAAGTTCGACGAGCAAAGATCCTGCTTGAAGTTCCAAGAAGTCCTGAGGCATCTTTTTGTCCGCTCTGCCTCTCCACCATACCAAAATCCTCACAGCCATCAGGCACACGTCACTGGTATCCAGGAGGGGTGTCAGGAGTGGGAAGGCGTCGCGCAACTTTCGTCGGCCAGACTTTGGCGAAGTGTTTTGCGGTCGGCTCGAACCCCACCATCTTGAGTCATGGCTTTGGTGCATAGAAGGGGACCTGTGAATCATGGGTTTGGTGCATTCTACACAGCATAGGTCACAAACCAGGCGAGAATCTTTCGACACATCTGGATACCACTTCTCCCAGCCGAGAAGGGCTTTCGGAATCGTTTGGTTGGTTGGTTGGTTGGTTGGTTGGTTGGTTGGTTGGTTGGTTGGTTGGTTGGTTGGTGTGTGTGTGTGTGTGTGTGTGTGTGTGTGTGTGCGCGTGTGTGCGTGTGTGCGTGTGTGCGTGTGCACTGCTGCATTTGGGGGATTTTGAGGGTGTGTAGATGTGTATAGGTTTGGAGGGCCTACTATACGCTCGGCTGCGCGCTCCGAACTCCAGCTGCACCACTCTCATTTCACAATCCCCGCACGTCACTCTCCACTTACTCCAGCGGACCAGGAGTAGCTGCCTAGCGCCTGCACGCATGCCCACTGCATGCCCCCTGCATGACCTGTTCGCCGCCAACCCCACTACAAGGGAATACCGGGACCACGAAACTCGCCCGAGCAACAGAAAGCAACAAGAGGATGTGATACCAGAGGGAGAGTCAGCCTTCCCCACGAACTACACAGCCACCAGCGAAACCTCCGGGGGGAAGCAACGGCACCAGCAGCCGCTCCCGACCAGGGTCTGAGGGGGCAGTCAGATTTCACCTTTGAGCTACTTCGGTCTTCTTCTCACATCCTTGTATAAGTCAGAACAGCCAAACATCGCCCGTCACTTACTTCACCTGCCTTTGCCCCTTTTACCCCACATCCAATGTGCTTGGCGAGAGCCAAATTCTGCCTCCAGCCACTTGTAGATTGTAGATGATGGCATACAGGTCCTGGATGATGGCATACACGTCCTGTGACCGCTTGTATAGATCTCGACGTGGAAGAGCAACCTTCATCTCGATGTGGAAGAGCAACCTTCTGTAAGTTTTTGCATGAGAATACCGTGTTAGGGTGAAGACAATGTTCGTAAAGTAGAGCCACCAGGCGTGAGTAGGAGCAACGTGACAAGTATACTCGCTGAGCACCAGGAAGCTTTGGCTGCTTTGACATACGTGCTTCAAGACAGCGACTATGACGTGCGGAAGAGCGCCTTCGCGGCGCTCAGCCACTGTTTGAAGAATGCAGCATCGGATCTCTTGGATGCTAGGCAGCAGTATTCTTGTGGCCTCTCGGTGTAGAGAGCTCGTGGAGTTTCTGACGACTGACGTGTGCCTAGCGAGGCCTGCTTGATCTTGAGCTGCTGCTTACAAGATGAGCGGTCCTGCGTGAGGCAGAGTCCAGCGCATTGAGTCGCAATTGCTATAGCAGTTTGCTGCATTATTTCAGAAGCAGTCAAAATCATGAGCTCACATGATTCACTAATGGTGCACCAGGTTGGCTGCAGCGGAGGCCAAGCGAAAAGGATGTTGAGTGGCGTTGCCAAAACTTGTGCAAGAGACAGGTGCTTGTGCAACTCGGTACCACTGGAAATTCGATGGCACCCGTCTTCATCGCCAACACCTGGCTTGACGATCCCAGGCAGCACGTGAGGTCTCGGCCTCGGAGATGAGACGTCCGGACACGTCCAACATCAGCTGCCCGCTATAGGGTTCTGATCTTTCAGCGTAAGACAATTGTTTTGCCTCAGCACATGATGTACGAGGTGTTGGTGCAATTGGGTCCACAGCTCGCATTGATGCAGGTGCTTGGCAGTGCAGATTCTGGGGAGGTGTGTTGGGCACGGCGTTAACGAAGCATTGGATGCCGCGGTGGGACATTTGCAAGATCACCGGCTTCTCGGCACGACATGTCGATGTTGCGGTGCGCTGGAATGGAGGCTTTCGGCAATGGAGCTCCTGTAGTGTACGCACTGAGTCACACTCCTTTCATTGGCCTGCTTGGGCGTCAACGCTGTTTTTCTGTTGGGTTGGGGTCGTGCCAACGCCTTGTAGGGTCCTGAGCTTACCTTCAGTGACACGCGTAATCAAGAGTGGCCCCATCAGTCAGAATATGTCAGAATCGGACGATATCGGACTCGTCGCATGAACTGGTGTGTCCAAACTGTTGCCAATGCCACATGCCCGAACTGTTGTGGGGCATGCTCTTCCAGGCTCTGACACGTACGTTGAACACATCCAACTCAGTCTATGTAAGGCGTGTGCATTGTGCTTTAGGTGTTTCATGGTGTTTCCATAATTGTCCATAGATGTTGCGACCAGCGCTCAAGGTTTTTTGTGCGCAAGGGAGCCGTCGAAGTTATGGGCAACGGCACCGTGGCACCGAATATTCTCTGTGGAGCTGGCACTTTTTTTGGCATCCAAGGTTTAGGATGTCGTTGCAGAATGGGGGCAGCTTTTGAGTGTTTCCAATCTTCAGAATCATGTGAGGCTTTCATAGGCTTTCATAGGCTTTCTATGTCTTGTCTTGTTTGACATCTGAACATCCAAGGGGCATTACAAGGCAACAGAAAGGCGGCAGAATTCCTGCATGCATGCTTACAAGACGAATCCGTAAGTGTTCGAGATGTGGCTCGGCGCTGGCATGTGCGAGTGGTGTGCAATGCAGCCTCCTGGCTGTGGGGAGAGGATGCGAGAAGAGAACTCGGTTTGGAGATTCTGTCTGCACTGGCTAAGCTGGGCAACCGGGATGCAATTCTGGCAGCAGTTGACGGGTTGCAGAGTCCGTCATCTAAGTGCAGAGAGGCTGCTGTAGACATCCTGGGGGGCGGAGCATTGCAAGAACATCCGTTGGCAATGATCGCGCTGGAGATGTGTGTTCGAGACGAGGATCAGGATATGTCCACAGAGGAAAAGATCTTGAAAGCAAGGCATCTGCTGTCCACTGCATCCCGGAACATTCTGCATGCCCTCGACGCTCATCTCGAAGCGGATGAAGAGAAGAGCTTCGTTTCACAACGTGAAGCGGAAGACCAACGCGATGCTGCGCCAGAGTTTGTGCGGCAGGTGTGTCAACGAATGGCTACAGAAGGCGGGGCAGGTCTTTCAAGTTCTGCAGGGAAACCCACCACCCTTTCACGAGCAACGGCGAAACTGCACATCCACGCCCTCGCCACATTCGCCATCTCATGAGCTCAAGAATGCGGGAGAATCTTGATGGTTGGACCCAGAATTTTCAATCGTGGCTTGAAGCTGGGCTGATGCCTGCAGAACACAATATTAATGTCTGGCCCAAGATGAAAGGATCCATCCAAGAATCCGAAGCACAAACGCCGGACCTCCCCATTCCCAAACCGGACCTAGGCCGGAAACACAAACCGAATGTCCTGCTGGAGATGCAGCTGTCCACCGAAGTCGTAGACATCAGGACATGAGGACTTTCTGGTCACAATCGTCCAGATACCAAGCCTGCAGTAAACGAATTAAAGCAAGTATCTGCACCGCAAGCAAACAAAGGAAATCCCCAACTGGACCAAGTGTGCACGGGAACGCGCTTCACCCACAAGGGTGCCGAGTATGTCTTTGCTGGACGATGCTGAACCTCAAGAGCCTACCCCAAAGATGGGCAGAAGATCCGAAGCGCCTTTTCAGTTCAGTTGCAGCCTCACCAGTCTTCTCATGACAGTGGGGTTCTCTGCAGGCCCGGCGTGTGCAGTGCAGTCCATCCTCGAGCTGACCATGGGTGCTCAAGAAGCTTGGACAGGCACGAGATTAGGCGTTAATTCGCCGTTATTTCTTGCTCCAGCACTTTCAGAAAGCGATGGACAAATGGACGGGACATAGAGCATAGAGGGACCACTGTTTGCTACGGTAGATGTGGAGCGGTATGGATGGTCGGATTGTCAGATGGTTGTGAGTCACATCTTGTAACAGTTGGGGTTCGTTTTAAAATCAGAGCTATGGGACATGGCCCAGCCGACACATGACTCACATGACCAGGCACACAAGACAGCGGACACTAAGCGGCAACTCTAGCTACTCAATAAGCGAGCAGCAGAGGGCAGTGAGCAACTGCACTGCCTGAGCAAGCATTCAAGGGAGGTGTCAGGTATGCAACTGTACCGGCATATCCCTTCAAGATGCACCTCATGAACGAAAGACGGGGGAAGATGGGGGGAGCTGTCAGGTGGGCAAGTGTAGCAAGGCAGCTTCATCAAGCTGGAAGCCAAGGGAAGTGTCGGGCAGCTTCCCCGGAATGCGGGCTCAATGTACAGGATCCGTGGCCCAGGTAAAGCAGTGGTAGAGCAGGTTCTGGAGAATTTCAACATCTACCAATGCTGCCAGATTAGATGCATGTGTTCTGGATGATGAAATTCTATCCCTGCTTTCCATGTGCAAACGGCATCACCCATGCATTGTCTGCATCCTGCTTCTGAGTCTGCATGACAAGAAACCCCAATCATGTGATGTCTGTCACTTCTCAGGCCACACAGGGCCACGTTGTACTGTAGCCCTTGGCATGCTCATGTTTGACTCACCACAAGACCATCTGCAGGAAAATGGGAATGTTGTACATTGTACGGCATGTTTAAGTGTACTCTGTTATATGGATACAAGCGCCCTTAAACGTGAAATCAAATCCAATATTCGTCCGGCACAGGTGACTGGACAGCGTCTACTACAAGAAAAGCCTGCGATACATCTGCGGCGCTGAATGTGCTTTCTCGACGCGAGTACGGTAGGACAGGGCAATCACCAAATCGTTGCAAATGTAGATGCGTCGCTGGGGCACCGCAGGCAAAAGTGCCAAGATTCACAGTGCCTGAAGGATGCCTTGCCATCGGTTTCCTGTGCTGATGGATTCAGACTCCTATACGAGGGCATCGGCTATACAGGTTTTGCATGCTGCGGCCGAACAAGGCAGTCAACAAGCCCCGGCTGCTATCAGCAACAGTTTGGAGGCCACCGGCAATCTACACTGAGCCTACTGTAGACATGTGAAGGTGCCCCACAGTGTCATGCCTTTGCCGCAAACAGACCGTTGGGTTTCTCTCTTTGTCTCCCTTCATGGCATTTCATGGCGGGTGGGTCTCATGGCGGGTGGGTCTGGCGGATTTTCAATGGCCGGCGTCTCCCTGGTATCCCTTTTTGGAAAATTCTGGTCTACTCTACACGCTACACTGTTTGGGGTTTTGCAGCCCGTTCAGACGTTTAAATGCTGCAGTGCTGCAGGACCAAAGTGCCGATGTGCGGGAGGAGGCGGCGGAGGTCCTAGGCAGCATCCCCACGCAGCCTTTGCTGATGGAAAGCATGGCCAAACACCTGGCAAGTGATCGGTCAGAGGTGAGACAGGTCGCGGTAGAGCTGCTCTGCAGAAACAGCGACGAAGATGGGGTTCGTGAGGTAGCCCTGCAGTCTCTCAAGAGCCTGCATGCTGAAACCAGACAGTCTGCGATCCGAGTATTGAGTTGTGTTGCTGCGGGCAACCAGGAGGCCATGCATGCTTTGCAGAGCAGTCTGTGCGATCAGCAGATGGAAGTTCGACAAGAGGCTCTTGCTGCACTTTGCACACTCGGCCGACGTGGCACTGAAAGCGCTCCGAGTGATTGGACGTCCTGAATTTTCAGGAGCCTCTGTGCCTTGGACCTGTCACATGCGCATGTTCGTGAAGCCGGGTTTTGTGATGGTCCGATTTCAATTTCCTGGAAATTTTGTTTCCAGGTTGGGGCCTTAGGGCTCAAGAGTAGAGAAGCTCTTGTGGCATAGCACTCCACAACACCCCATGGACACCCCATAACACCCCGCATCCTGCAGTCTGAAGGTCGCAGTCGCCAGGCTGTTTCTTGTGTCTCCAAACCCCCACGCCCTGACCACCCCAAGTCCTGAACACCTGGCAGAATCTATCGGCACGAAGTGACCACCAGCTGAGGTGCAGTGATCCATCGTGGGCACCAGCGCAAATTCCTATCTTTCGGATGCGAACAGCACACAGAGCCGCCCTTCAAAACGACTCGGTTGAGGCACTGCCCGTAGACATCCGTAGACACACACCGAATGAACGAGGAATCTAGGTTGAGGACCTTCTCCTCTCATAGAAGTTACAAGGCACCCTACGGTGTGAATCTGACCCTGTGTTGTGAATGCTCGCTGATGTAGAGCAGCTGACGCAGAAGATTCACAGACTTAACACTAACTTGCACTAACCCACACTCTGTTTTTGCATGGAATGTGGCAGGGAGCGGATGGCAGCTCCAACAGAGTGCCATGGAACGGGAGGTTCTACCTGAATCGTGTCACCCCGTGAAGGTTGTGCAGGGCCCACTTCAAACTTTTCGCGAAACCTCCGCCACGGGAGAAGACATTGTCAAGAGTGCAGTTGTTGGGCACGAAATCTGTTTTCTGCAATCTGTTTTCTGCTCTTCGCCGTGACATGGCTATGGGCAAAAAATCAAGACTTGACGCGTGTGAGTCTAAGTGTGTGAGGCCCTTGAGCCCTTTATTTGCAGGTCAGTGCCGGGACATGAGAGATCAAACCTTCGTGCGCTCCGCAGCTTAGGCTCTGTGTATTGAGACTCCTTTAGACTCTACACACAGCTCAGTGTGGAGAGATGCAGCGGCGCTCCAGAAGGGGCGTGCTTGTACTGTCAGCGCTGCTTTGTGGATGGAAGATTGCTCCAAGCTTCCTCGTCCCCAAGCCAAAGGCTGACCTGACTGACCTAGATCGGCAGGCTGATCTCATGTCAGGGCGACGCGATGTCATCACCGCAGTGACGCTGCTTGGAATTCCAGATGTCGCCTGGGCAAAGCGAGGAGGAGCCAGTTCTTCTGATGAAGGACTGCCAACACAGCAGTCCATGCCAGGTGAGATCGAGACTGAAGAGTCCATCAGTGAAGACTGGAAGCCTGTTGACATCGGAGAGTCGACCCTTGTAGATCCCAACGATCCCAAGTACAAGCAAATGTCCATGCTTGCCAGAGATATCGAGAAGCAAAAGGCAAAGAATGAGGAGTTCGAGAAGATGACTCCGGAGGAGTGCTGACAGCTTTCAGGCGCTTCGCGCCGTGGGCCATGGCCACGCGTTTCGCTTCGCGCAAACCTTCACAAACAACGCGAGCCTTGAGACGGGCAATCGACAGCTTTAAGAGAGTAACATGAATCAAGCTTTGTTGTTAAATCTGCCACGGCTCGCATTGCAGTTGTCTAAAGTTAGCTGCAATTCTTTTGCGCAGAGGAGAAGCAGCAGAAGATGTGTGAGCTGCTCGGCCGGGGATGTTCCAGCATTTGAGACCTACTGGCAGATGAACACTACTGGCACGCCACAGCAGTTGCGTAGTTGACTGCAAGACATGCAGCGCCCTGTCCTGTGACATCCCTTATTCCCCAATGCAACGCATAGGACCTGGGAGTTGTTCCCTGTTGTTTCCATGTCGGGAACACGTAGCTGTGTGATTCCTACGCCGTACGCCATGGTGACGTGCAAAGAGGCCAAATGATGTTTGCACAAGCGGGGTTTCCTCCCCTGGGTTTGTGGTGTGCTGTGCAAGATTCTCCCAGCAATGTTATTAACTGCTGCCGTCTTCCATGTCAGATCCATGACTGAGCGCCATCAGCACAGACAACTTGAGGTGCAGCAGTCACAGTTAGTCATACATTCAAAAGACTGCAGTGACTTTCCACAGATGTGGTCGCATCTTGGGTAAGCCAACAAGATTTCAAGCTGCTCGTGCCGTAGCGCCGAATTTCACTGGGGCCGCGATGTCCGGGCGCGCAGCCGATTCTGATATCGAGTCGAGTACGTCAAGTGACTCTCCTCCGCATAAGCGAATAGTTGGCAAGGCAGTTCAGAATCTTTTTTGGGCCGATGTGAAGCACCGAGTTGTGAAGAAGAGTCGCCACCTGGCTCTAGCAACGCGAACGTTGCTTCAGGCCCACAACACCTCAAGCTCCGGACGACTGACAAATAAGTTCGACAAACGAGTTGGAGGGCGTCTACAGTCATTTGAGAAGCACTTGGACAAACACACCAAAGAAACTTCGCTACTGCGGGAGCATGCAAAACTCAAGCTGCTTGAAACATCGGCACCACTTCGAGCTGAGTTTATGGAGAAGTTGCGTGAGCTCATGAAGGAACGTGTCACTGCAGATCCCGACATGTGGGAGTGCGTCAAGGGCTGCTACGAGTCTCTGATTGATATCATCTGGGAAGATGTTGAAAAGGAAATCGAGCTGAACGTGGAGCTGGCTTGGCTGAAATCAGCGGAGTGCCAGGAGAGAGCACATGCTTACTAGTCCACTTTTTTTTGGCTTCGGAGCTTTCAGAGGAAACCAAAGGGGCCCGAAGCAAGTTTAGGGTTTAGGGATTAGGGTTTAGGGTTTAGGGTTTAGGGTTTAGCAACGCAAGACTCAAGACCCATGCAGCAGCGCAAGACGAGAAAAGATTTTCAGCGCCAAGCAGCACTACCGAACATCCCTCTTTCTGCCCTTCCCGCCAGCCCACCTTCGCCCCCTTAAATGGAATCGAATTGTTCGCTTGCGGGGTTATGAAGCGCAAATGTCAGGCGCTCCATGCGCTTACTTGGCGCCTCAAAGGCCCTTTGTAGGCCCTTTCAGGCTTCAATTTGGTTTTCGGGCGCAAGCTTACGCAATGAATGTTTCCTGCGGAAGATTGCTTCTTCAACATAAATCAAGTCTGCAAGAACGGGAGACTGTGGGCCGGATTGACCCAGGAAGGCCGGAAGAACGAAAGCTCGTGCCTGTACTTCGTGCATGCCATTACTGGATCTTTCAGCCACCCTTAAACACACCTCAAATCTAAACCCCGATGGCGCAGTTCTTTTGCCTGACGCCTAAGGTGTGAAACGTGCGCTTCAACTGTAGACCCAAGGTCAGCGCTCTTACATCCCCCAAGCAGGTAGCCTCCCAACCCATGAACCCCGAATGCATACAGCTTATCCTGGCCACTGCCACAATCAAAACGAAAATTTCAGTACTGCAGGAGATCAGTCCCCACTCCGCCAGGAGCAGTCGGGTCCTGCATCAACCTGGTCGTGCTACTGCTGGCTGCGGCGAAAGGTGCTGAGACATTACTTGCCATACGATCGGTCACTTTTTGGCAAACTCAAAGACCCCCTGTACCTTGCACTGACACTGATCATGCTCATCCCAAACGCTGGTTTTCGGGTCAGCGTCTTGTCCCTCATCCTGACACTTATTCTGTTCCCAGGACCGCCCGATGAGTTTCAGCTAATCAATTTCATCATGTTGTCCAAAGGCACACAGTTCATCACCGGTGGCCTTCTCTCGATGTCACAAGGGGCCGTGATCTATTTCAAGTGTTTCACCTGGCACGATGCTGACCTTGGACAATGCATCGCCGAACATGGCCCAGGCAGGGTTTCATCGCTGGCTGGGGCAATGGCCGACTACTTGGGCAGCATTGCTCTAGTTTGGATTGCATTTCTGGCGCTTCCATATTCACGCGAGCACCGCGAGGAGAAGCGAGTGGCAGCTTTAGGAAGGAGTCGAGGCAGCAGTTCTGAACCCAGAGCGAGAGACACAGCGGAGGCGTCTTCAAAGGCTTCAAAGGATTCAAAGTCAAAAGACACCGGCAAGGGTGGTCGAGGTCCAGGCCGAGGTGGTCGATTGGCAATGCTTCTGAGATATGACGTGACTTGCTTTGCTCTATCCTTGCTTGTGTTGCTTCTGCTGACGTTAAGTACATTTGAGCTAAAGGATCGAGAGGTTACGCTATGGCGCCATCTCCAGGAGAACATCTTCTGGTGCAAAGTCTTCTATTCCTTGCTCTCGATGCCCTTCTTCCTTTTCACCATTCAGCCGCTCCAACAGGTCTTAACCCATGCTGCTCCAACTGGATTTAACGCTCTAGGGGCCTGCGTCCCGTTCCATTTGCCGGAGCCATGATGACAGCTGTCTAGAAAAAGATGCGTGGACCTCCGTTGTGCTCCATTGCTCCATTGCCCATATTTGCCCATCACATGACACAAGTCTGGCCGCAGCTTGTGTTTCGCGCTTACAAACTTGGATTGCCACTGATTGACGGTCAGTTGTAGTCGCCTCCACACAACTCAGGGAGCCAGAACATGTGCTGACATCTGAGCACCATCTGACCCTGGCTGACACCCGTGTCGCACTAAATGAAGCGTCGCCATGCAGAGACACCAAGTGGATCGAGAGGCGGCGAGCAGACATGAGCAGTGTGGGTCACAAAACTTTTATTCACATCAATTTTACTAGTTCTCCATCCAAAGAGCCCAGAACAAGTGTCACAACGTGGTTGAGAGTGCGCTTCAGGCCGCAGCTCCAAGCGTTCTGGAGGACGAGGAGGAAGAGGCAGTAGGGCAGATGTCTAGGATTGTAACGACACTTGTTGTACCGTGGACAGGAATTTGCCAGCAAGTGCTTTAGTCCCCAGTACAAGCTGCAGCATGTGCACGTGTGACTTCAACCTGCTTTGACGTTCTTGAAGTGTCTCGGGACAGCTGCAGTCCTTTGATATGCCGGTTGCCTCAGGTGCCAAGCTTACCAAGCCGGCCCTTTCGCGGCGTGGCCGAGGCTGCGCATCATGGGAGCTGGTCAAGAGAGCAGATGCTTCAAGTTCCGTGTCATGCCTCAACCACTGCAAGTTGTCGCTTACGCACCTCCGCTGTTGTGTTTTTGTTGTGATTTGTTGGCTGTGTCGCTCCTCGATGTAGAAGGTGGTGACCCTCCTGCGGTTCCGAATCGCTTTGCAAGACAAATTGCCACACCAAATGCTAAAATTAGGTGATCGATGATCCTCTCACAACTGTCGGTACTTCGGTAGTGTATCTGTTTAAGGATGGTCCATTTTTTTCAGCTTTGCTACTGCCAGTAACCAGTAAGCAGGGGTACATCGTGTGCAACCTATTCTGAGGCTTCCGCATCGTGTTGGATGTTCTGTTGGGTTCTGTGTGCCCCAGGCGGCTCGCGACATGCAATGCAGCCATGGATCAGCCGCCTACCCCCACCCCCTGCTGCCGTCGACGTGTAATCATCCCATGGCCCATCACCCTGAGTTCATTGGTAGTGGTGTCTTACCAAGGTTTGACATTGACGATCCTTGAAGCAAAGTGAACTCTGGTTGGTTTTTAGGAGAAACCGCCTATGCGTTCCTGAAGTCAGGTTTTCATGTTTGTCTGGCGACAGTGATGGGGCGGAGCAGGGGCAGGGATGGAAGGAGTGGACGACAGCGGGGTTGCAAATGGGTTGGGAGCCATTGGCTCTTGAATGGAATGCTCTTGATCTAGATGCCCGTCGGCCTCGGCGCATGGTTGAACAGATGTGAACAGACGCTTCTTGTTGAGCAGGCCAGCCAGCGAAGCCTGCGAAGCCAGCGAAGCCAGCGAAGGAGCATGCACCGCGCCGGCCCTTAGCAGAACTGTTGGACTATCTGCGTTCCTGTTCAAAGGCACTTGATAGTTTGGATGATGCAGAGCGAACCTTGCTTGGAGCACGTGCTATTGAAGAGATGGCGGACCGCGTATTGGTCGTCGCTGCAGACCAAAAGGGATCAAAGGCGCTGGAGCGTCTGCTTCAACACACGAATGAACAGACGTTTGCTGTGTTGATTACTGATCTCCTGGCATCGATGACCGACTTGGCATCCAATCAATATGCATCTCACGTGTTGCAGGCCGCTTTTATTTCCTGGGCAGAGCGGCTGGGAAATCCCACCGCTCCCCCTATGGACCCCATGATCGAAATGTGTGCGAAACTTGACCAGGAGAGCCGGTGGTTTGGACTTGTTACGAATCCGTGCAGTGCTCATGTGGTTCGTGCATTACTGCTGGCTTTGGGCGGATTCGTGGACTCCAAAGGAGGGAAAGGGCAGGAGGCGGCTCGGGCTGGGTTGCTGCCAGCTGCACGGAAAGATGTGCCCGAAACTATTGCGGATTGTCGGCGCAGAGCTGCTGCAAGCCTCATCAAACTCCTCCGACACGATTCTCAATCAGCTCAGTCTCGTAGCAGCACATCCCTAGCTTTGAACGCCCACGCCAGCCCTGTTATCCAGTTGCTCTTGCGCGTCTTGCGGGAGTGTGGTGACCACTCGCTTCTTTCAGAGGCTTGCGCTGCCATAGTCTTACCAGCAAAGACCAGAAAGGAGACAGGCATTAAGAACTCTCGGTCGGTTTCGGAGATCGAGGAGCTAGTTGCTTCGGCAGCTGGCTCCAGGGTCCTAGAGGCCGTCATCGAAGCCGCAGGGAAAGAGCTGTACGCAGACCTCTTCACGCACTTCTTCCGTTCTCGGATCTCGGACCTTGCCATGGGCAACCAGTCCTCTTTCGGACCATTTCTGGTGCAAAAGCTGGCTGACGGGCTGCGCGAGGCACCGCAGCTGCAGCTGGCTTTGTCTGAGCTGGACTTTGCCGCTTGCTTGGGACATGCATCAGGCCCGTCGCAGCATGTGGTTGTCTTAAAGTTTCTGGAGGCAGCATTGCGCCTTCGAGCAGGCTTCAAGCAAGCTGCCGGTGCTGTTTTTCGGGCTTTAGGATTGCAGGCTTCCGCGCAGTACCACCAGGCCTGGCCTTCCCTCTTGTCTCTGAACGCTGTCAGTGAGGTGGACAGCTTGTGTCAAGACGGGCAAGAGGGTGAGCAGCGAAAGCTGCGCAGGCTGCCAGCTGGAGGGCCCTTGATTCTCACTGTCCTGCTGCGCTTTCCTGCAGAATCGGTGCCTCCCATCACGTCAGGCCTCAGCAAGCTGCTTAAGAGCCAGGGCGCACTGGCCGCTCTCGCGGTGGACCCACGTGCTGCACGGGTTCTGGAAGCAGCGCTGGCTCCATCGTCTGCGCTTGGGGGAGCCCGACTGAAGCTGGCCAAGGCTTTCAAAGGCACAATGAGCACATTGGGACCACACCCAGTGGGTGGCTGGGTTTGTGCAGCCTTGTGGAGAGCCAGTCTGGGTGATACCTCGCTCAGAACTGCCTTTGCCAACGAGCTTTTGAGTGTTGAGGATCAGCTTCGGAAGAACAACTTCGCAGTTTGGAAGGTTTGTGGGCTCCATCAGGTCAAGCAGCGAAGTGAGGAATGGACCCAACAACAGAAGAAGGCCGGCAAGATCCATGCGCTCTTTGAGGACATCTTGGATGGAGATGCAGAGGCGGCCAAAGCTGCTGTGAAGAAGAAGGTGCGTGCACAAGAGGATGAGAAGATGTCAAAGGCACAGGAAGATCCCATTGTAGCTCGGACATGCATCTCAGCTTTTGTCAGGTGACGAGGATCACTGACTCACTGCCTGCTTCCCAAGGTACAGATGCTTCTCGGCTGATTCCATGAAACGTCCTCTGAAAACGATCTGCTGGGGCGGGTTGTCCTCTGCTACCTGGTCACCTCCAAGAGATGCTCGCGGTCATCACCAAATCTTCGCGTCAAGCTTCGCGTCAAGCTTCGGCAGGTGCCTTGCAGTACTTGACTTGATCGACACCCAACCGAGGGCTGTGCTGAGTCACAGTGAGCCCAGAGCCTGAAGTGAATGGCCATGGCCTGAGCGTTGAACGTGACACTGGGCCCTCGTGAGCCCTAATGGCTCAGGCAGACAAGGTGCAGAAATCAAAAAGATGTACGCAGAAGCTTCTTGACACGCAACGTCCTCCCCAACGGAAGGAGTTACCAGTTCCAACCTGTGATTCCAGCATAAATAGGCATCGCAGCACGTATGCGCCAATCTGAAATTTCACAGGTTGCGCGACCATTCCAGTAGTGTGACTGAGCGAGACGGGTATGTAGTCAAAGTCTTCATGGACAAGCTTCTCCAAGTTGTCCACAGCAGAATCAGCGGTTGTCAGAGTCAAATGTCCATGTCCTTGCACGGTACTGTCAGAGTGCCTGCAATCTCGAGCGGCTCTTTGTCTCGGGTGTGGCCGGCTTAGGGAGATGCCTCGAGTCATTTCCGAGTCGAGTTGTTGGAAGTCTTGCTCGACCTTATCTTTTTCCTGTACCTCTGTGAACCCTTGACAACTTGACGGCCTGGTACTGGGACATTTTTGGTGATGCTTGTTCTTTGGCATCGGTGGCTACTAGCGCTCACCTCTTTCTGCCAAGCCCTCAGACGTCTTTCAATGCACTTTTTTGCCTGTGCATTCAGTCTTTGCTGGGGTGGTCACGCGCGCCCATTCGACCACATGTCGCATGTAAAGTTGTCGCCGGAATGTTGTTTTCATGCGTTCGCATGTTGCTGTGACCCTGAAGTCAGCGTTGTTTGTCGTAGTTTCCTTTGTTTTTCCTTCATTTGCAGAAGGTTTGTTGCTCGACTCCTTAACGCCCACTCTCAGTCCTCATGGCATGGTTGCCTGTGCTGTCCGCGACCTCCTTCTTGTGTTTGCAGTTTACTGCTCGACCCACCGAGTCCCATGAGCCGCGTATGGCCACTCTCTCAGACAAATCTTGCTTGATGGCCTGCTGATGCCCTTTGCCTTGGTGGTTTGTTTCCTGTAAGCGTATTCTGCTCGAAGGTTGCTTTCCTGTCGTCACATCTTGGAGCCAAGACCATTGCTATCAAGTTTCTGTTGTTTTGAAACTGTTTTTTGTCGTCAGAGTTCCAGGGGCCATGGGCGTCAATCCTGTCCAGTGGTCCGAGTCCAGTGGTGCCATTCTGCCTGCTTTCAATGTACATGTTGTTGCCGCTGCTGCTGCATCCATTGGCATCTGTTCTTTCTCTGATTGCGGTTCTGACTGTGCAGGCCGGGTCAGCGGCCCAGACAGCATCACAGCCACCATAGCTACAAAACTATGTTGCCATTGTAGGTGATGTATAATTTTCGCACTTTTGAACTGCCCTACATGCCAAGTTTAGTTGCCACCCAAAACCTTCCAACTTGCGTACAGGTTCCGAAGTATGTCTTTCAGTGCAAAAACTCCTAGACCTGAGCCAGCCTGCTACAGCAATGTGGGCTCACGCGCGCTATCGGATTGGTGCGCGGGTGCTGCCTTTGCGTCTTCCCGTTTTGCAATGGCGATCCTTGACAAGAGCGTTGGCTATTGCTTGTCGGAGGTTTCTGCTGTTCCTGCATGTTGCAGAACTACTAAGGATTCCCTGGCAAGGGGCTAAGCATTTCCAAAATGACTGCGCTGAGCACTGGTTTGGTTTTTGCCGCCAGCTGGCCGGCTCCATGTCGCTGCGAAGCTGAAGCCACTCGGACACATTTGGACACATTTGGACACATTTGGACACATTTGGACACTGCGTTTGCCAAGCTGTGCCAAGGCTATGCCAAGCTGTGCCTTGCCTGTCCTTGCTTTGTCTATTTCAAGTCTTTGCTGAGGACACGGCTCTGGCATTAACACCTGACGATGAGGAGCTTCTGCTCTCAGCTCTTGATGCTGCCATGCTCACCTTGCGCGAATGGTCACAGGCACAGTCGGTGGTTGCTTTCTTTGCGTTCTTGCTTGTTGCGTGCAGAGGAATCCCGAACTCAGAAAGCAAGATTCAAACAATGTCAAGTCTCACTTTGGAAAGTGGCGGGGTGTTTCTCCATTTCAGGAACCGATAGAATATATCAAGCCTCATGTACAAAACTGCAGCACTAAGCAGTAGCATACGACTCAGGTTATTTTCCAGGATCCCAAGCTTGCTTCCTCGCTCGCTCTAGCTTCCGACCCCCTCATGAAATTCATAAATTGATGTCTTCCAATTTCCAACCATGCGGGAGTCGACTTCCTAAGTCCAGAGATTTCGAATCAGCAGTCCAGCAGTTGCTTCCGAATCAGAATTGGTCCGAATGGCTCTTAGGCTTCGTCTCCGAGTCCTTTCAATTTGCGTGTGCCCTGAGCTTTCGCCATCTTGTCACACGCAAGGCACCGGCATCTTGGTGGGATGACAGTGGCCGCCTTGGCTTTTGCCCCACCTTTTTTGACTTCTTGACCATAAGAGGATAGGAGCACAAGAGCAGAATTCCCTGGAAGGTAAGCGCATCAACCTGTCTGATTTACATGACGCGGTGCACTGCACCAAAAAGATGGACGGGTTTCCTGTGAAGTTACACATGGTAAGTGCGGTGTGGGATGATACATCCCTCAGCGAGTTGCTGCTGCTCACGGAAGCATCGGAAGATTGCTTGAAGTTGAGCTTTGATCCTGCTCTGGATTCGATTCAAACTTGCAGACGCATTGTGCGAGGGAACGATCGCCAAGTGCGCCTTATCCGCACCATCACAAAACCGATGCTCTTGGGTCTGATATCTGCTCGTGAAGTTGATTCTGTTGTACGAGATCCAGCTGCACAGCCTGATGGATCAATTATCGGAGGAGCACTTGGTTTGCAGTCTCCGCTGCTCATTGAAAAGGTGCAGAGCGACATGAGCAATGGTTTGGGAACCTTATCGTCTAGACCTCCAACACCGGGAAGAACCCGTGCAATAGATCACACCAGCATCCTGGAAGCCTAAGCTTTGTATGAAGCGCGACTTTCGTGACTTTACTCACTTGAAATGCCGCGCCCGTTTAGGGCATATGCATTCGGCGGCCAAGGCGGCTACATCTTGGAGCCTTTGGATTCAGGCGACTCAAGGGAGCCATAGGGAGCCGCGCCTTAAAGAAAGTTACCGGATTGACCCTTCCAATTGAGTGCTCGCTCTCCGGGCACATTTCTAGAAGACTGTCTTGGGCAGGTGCTCGCTCGTCCGAAGCCAGGGGCAAGTGGAAGGTTTACTACATTCTGCTCAGTGAAGCTGGTGGAGGCGTGCCTACTTGGGCAGCTGAGAAGGGAGTATCAAAAGCCATCGTGGCCACTCATGGCAGATGTTTAGCAAGACTTTGTGAGACTATGAAACACACTACCAACTGGAGTCAATTTTTTGGGTACTGTTTTTTTCAGAGTGTTTTGTTTTTGTGTTTTTTGTGGTCTGCTGGTCCTTTGGAAAGCTGGTCCTCTGCTTCTACAAGTGTTGATGCTTCGCTCCAGTTTTCAAAGATGGTTTGAATCTCTCTCGTTTATCAAAGTTGCTCTTTGTCGATCTTCTCTGGTGTTCTTTGCTTCACGGTTGTCCTCATTCTTGGTTGTTGCCTTCGTTCTTCCTGTTTTGGACACCTCGACCCAAATAGAAAGGAGATTGGCCCACCCATCGTCAGACTAGTCTGTTTGCGGGTGGGGGGGAGGCGCAGACGATTCGGTTTGCAAGTGGGGGCCCCCCAGCCCTGCCCCCAACCAAGCCCCCCTTAGCTTTTTGGGACCGACAACACCGCCTACGGGGCCTACGACCAATAAGCGAAGCTTGCACATTCTACAGAGCCGCCTGCCGAATGCAAGCAATCTCCTGAGCCTCCCTGGCCGGCGAAGTAAAGCAACATTAAATGTAAAGTTGCCCTCCTGAGCCGCCTTGGCTGCTTCTGAAGTCTGAAGGCAAGATATCGATGCAATTGCATTGAAGCAACATGTCGGCACAATTTGTCCGCCTGAACCTCCATAGCCTGCCTACTAATCAGACAACAATCCTGCGCAGTTGCCCGTCTGAACCTTCCGGCGTGCTGCTTATTACGGCAACATTGCCTCTTGAGCCTCGCTGGTTTGTTTATTGAAATAATATTTCCGGTACAGTTGGCTGTCTGCTCATCCCGGGCATGTAAAATACATAGCTGCTTCGCATAAACCTACCGAGGAAATGGATTAAAGGAAAGAGGAAATAGAGGTTTGCCGATCAGTTTAGCACAGGTATTCCTATGACATCCAAAGAAGCCGACCCCCCGTCCCAAACAAGGTACAAAGCACAGTACCCAAAACATCCACCTTTACCAACCTGAACGCAGCTAGTTGTTGCTTCTGGCAACATCTCACGGATTCCTTTGCTTGGTGCCGATCTTCAGGATTGGTTTGCGTTCGCTCGCCGGCAGCAGCACATATGGCGAAACAGCTCGTGTTGATAGACGTGCTGGCATGACCAGCTTCGACAGCCACAGCCCACGGCGGCAAAGGCAACTTGATGCTGAGCTTGAGCCGGAATGTGTCAGCGCTGTGCCAGAACCTCGAGTCATAATCCTCACAGAGCGCGTGGAGCCCGGTCTGCTTTCTGCGACACATCTCTGAGACTCTGAGAGTAGTTCCCTTTCCTCCTCCTCCTCCTCCTCGATTTGGGCTAAGTATATCGGATGCAGGAAGATGATGGGTAATTAGTCGGAAGCCAATTTTTTGAATTGATGAGGGTGAGCCGCGTGCAAAAACATGCTCCCTTGCAGTCTTCTGCTCAACGCAGACCTAGCAGTTGGCCAGCCATGGGAAACAGATGCTGTGCTCCCGATGAGTCTCGTGCGGAGGTAGGTTGAGGGACCGACTCAGATAGACAACGCTGGCAAGCTTGGTAAGATTGATCACAGCAAAAACCGCATAGTTGGGGAAAGCCAATGCAGGTCGTGCACATCCAAGCCCAGGCAGGTCCATTGAGCTTGGTCGAGGGAAGTTTCTGAAACTGCGGCTTCTGCGACTTGAAAGCGCTCTGAAGGATGACGAGCGCTTGGCCAAAGAGGTGAAAGCGGAAGAGAAATTGGCGAGTGCTGAGGCCGCTGAGGCTGCTGAGGCGACTGCAAAAGAAGGGACACTCGAGTCAGCAGAGCCACCACCAAAGCCACAGATGCATGCCTGCAGAGGTAAGCAGCTGTGTTCTTCCTTTCCTTCTTCGTTCTTCTATGTTCATGTTCATGAGGAAGGTGCCTGCAAACATCTAAGGGGCCTCAAGATCACTTTCCTCAATGAGAAAGATGAGGCCACATCGAAGAAGTCTAACTCAAAGGCATACGGTATTGACACATTCGCCGGTTCGAAAACAAGCAGTTGCTTGCACTTGCCCATGCATCTTGCCTGGCTTGCTGATCCCAGGCTGTCGATGTTGTCTTTGAGACGAAGCCTTTGGGATTCAAAGTTGTCCTGAGCTCAGGGGAGGCAAAGCAGGCGCATGGGCATACCACAAGGACTTTTTGCAATGCTGCCCTGCCTGCAAGGCATCGGACAAGAATCCGCTGACGCCTTGATGGACTTAGCCTTCGGCAGCTGAGCTAGTTGTTCCATGCGGTTTCCAACAGCACGTTGGGACGCGGGAAGTGTAACTCTGTAAGGACTGTGACGGCCATCACGGGTGGTTGCGTCAAGGAGAAGGGTCTTGACGTGAAGGCCCGTGCGCTGGCGTGCTCTTGGCACATCGTACGGCCATTTAGCTATACCATGTCTCAGCATTACATGGCCATTACACTGCCAAGAGTGCTTCAAAGGTCACCCTTTGCAAAGCAGTGCGCGTCTGTGGAGGTTGGCTGGAAGATCACAGCGATCGACGGCAGCAACGTGCTCGACATGGCTGCTCAGGAAGCCATGGACAAGTTCGTGGCCTCTGTCAAGGAAAGCTTGCCAGGCTTCAGGATCACTTTCCTCAACGAGAGAAACGAAGCTGCTGAGCAAGCAAGATCTTGGCAATGTGTATTTCACAGTTGGATCAGATCCATTAGCTTCGGAGCGAAAGTTTCATGCAAGCTTTCCAGCACGTAATGCCTTTTACTCCAGCTTTGGTTGACACCTTCCATGAAAACGGAGAATTTCATGAGAGTCGACCTTTCTCTGTGATGCGACGCTGTCTTCGGATTCTTGGAACATATGGACAGGTTGGCCCGGGGTTCTACGTAGAACCACAGAACGTGTTGTCCCAGGCAGAGACATCCAGCTTTTGCCATTGGTTCTTGCAACTTCGTAAATGAAGAGACTTTGATCGCGAAGACTGTGTCGAGGGTTTGATTGTTCCCGTGGACTTACAGCCCTCCGCCACTCGTTGGGTGACCTAGTCTTGGACGCCGTGTCGGCGGGCTCTGGTCGCACAATTATCCACCGTTGGTGCATTGAAATCCTTCCAGGGTGCCAGAGTCAGGTAAACGGGCTACGTGTGAGCGCGCAGTTCACAGGGTCTTGCATTTCTCGTAACGCTGAGAGTTTTTTCACTGGCTGGTGGTAAGTCCTTCCTTTGATTGTCTGTTTAATCAACTGTAGCAAGTCACCACACCTTTAAGTCGTGCTTGGACAGTTCTGCTCCAAAGAAGCGTCAGGGCCACAAGCGCACACCTATGTGGATCGTCCGCAACGTCTCGAGTGAGTGAGTGAGTGAGTAGGTGGGTGGATGGGTGGGGTGGGTGAGTGAATGGACGAGTGAGTGCATGAGTGAGCGGGCGAGTTGATGAGTTGATGGTGGTCCCAGTACTGGTGCCCACATCAATACATCGTGACGTACTGTTTCTCACAGGTGCTGCTTAGTTTCACATTCTTGGCCCTGCTTCTTCCCCTTAACACGAGACTGGTCGATCCCAGGCTGTCGATGTTGTCTTTGAGACGAAGCCTTTGGGATTCAAACTCGTCCGGAGCTCAGGGGGATGCAACGCCGCTCCATGGAGGGGGATTCTTGCAATGCTGCCCTGCCTGCAAGGCATCGGACAAGAAGCCGCTGACGCCTTGATGGACTTAGCCTTCGGCAGCTGAGCCAGTTGTTCCATGCGGTTTCCAACAGCACGTTGGGACGCGGGAAGTGTAACTCTGTAAGGACTGTGACGGCCATCACGGGTGGTTGCGTCAAGGAGAAGGGTCTTGACGTGAAGGCCCGTGCGCTGGCGTGCTCTTGGCACATCGTACGGCCATTTAGCTATACCATGTCTCAGCAGTACATGGCATGCTAGCTGCTAGCTTAGACCGTCAAGAAGGATTCAAGGCGACATTTTCGCAGAGCAGTGTGCGTATTTGGAGGTTGGCTGGAAGGTCACAGCGGTCGACGGCCACAATGTGCTTGACATGGCCCCGCAGGCAGCGCTGGACAAGTTCTTGTCTTCTCTAAAGACGTCCTTGCCATAAGAGGAGGACAGTATTGTTTCTCACCGACCTTAGCGTTAAATTCGGACCTGTTCGCTGCTGGCCTCGATGCAAGACCATGGCGTCTCAGATTTAGTGATGTCAGCACAGCTCAAAAAGCTCAAAAAGCTTGAAGGCAAGCTCGACCTGTCAAGTTTTCAATTCACCTGGTGCCCCGGGTTTCCGAAGACTTGTGTTTGTGAAAGCAGCATGTATTGCAGCAGAAAGTATCTACTATTTCGCATACTTGTTGATGACATGCACGGCCCATGCTTTGATTCTAGAGCCGCAGAGCCAAAGCGCCTTCTGCACAAAGTTTTCACTGAGTGCGTGAGAGCTGAGCTTCACTTCGAAGGGGTGTTGCATTGTAACGGCCCATGCTCGCTGACTGCAGTCTCTGCTGCGGACTGCTTGGTCCCTTGTACACGGCCTTGTAGCTTTGTACACAAAAAGACTGTGGTCTCGCACTGTGCTTCCGTTGATATCTAAGCCTGGCATCTGGCTAAGACTTGGATTCCAGCAGTGCCTGCGAATGAGAAAGAAAAATGCCAGCCAGATGTGTCACTTTAGCCGCTTTAGCCTATGGAAATCAGCCTTTGGCTTGCCGCTGTCCCACCTCCGAGCCCGAAAGCACGTGGGAGGCAGATGCAACAGTACTTTTGTTCATTCTTAATTGCGCGAAAAGATGCCTGGCAATGGCCGCATGCCTTGGCCTTCCGTGACTCAAGTGTATTAAATCTTCTTCCGCCGTAAGCTTGGAGTCTGTCAGCTTGGCTCAACTGCACGACATGCCATGAGTGGGTTCTGATGGTTCGTGGGCTGTTGAAGCTGACCGTTGAGGTGATGTTGGCAACATGAAATGCAAATGTCAACCATCAAGCACGGGCAGTGGCATCAACAACAACTCACCACCGGCTCGCAAAATATCTGTCACGCCATGCATTTCCACCGTCCAGAGAATGGCAACGATGTGGTAGCCAGGCGTTAGCATGTTGTCACGTCGGAGAAGCTGATTGCTCTTCCCGGGTTAAGTCGGTTAGGTTATGGCTATGCAGACTCTTGGCTCTGGGACGTAACTACCTAGAAACTGAATCCAATACGTCGATCATAGTTTGAAGGACCCTGCCTCGCAAATCAGGCTAGTGATGCTCCGGTGTCGACTGGTTGGCCACGAAACGGTGGGCCTTGTTGCCAGTATGCGAAGAAACTTGCTGTATCCTGCTGTTTCTATGCCAGGACGAAACACTGCAGCGCGATTTCAGTTGGGCCAGAAATGAAGCCTTGAGGTCCGCGGTGCTCTGGTGGGAGTTCGGGACGGGTTGCAATGACTTGCGATGTTTCGGAACTGCGAACATGGTTTGGCGGACAAGGTTCACTCCACCTGTTTTTTGTTTTGGCGATTCGTACCGTTTAAGATTGCCGGGCATGGGCTGGAAGGTTGGGGTCAATACCTGGTCTAGGCGCATTGTTAATGGGCATGTGTGTTCATTGCTTCTGTTTGGGGCCTGGGCCTTCATCCTTCATCTTGTCACCGCAGCGCTGGCATCACCTACTTGCCCATAGTCCTCGAGTCGCAGGGTGGCTTTGCGAGGCGCTTGCAGTCCTGCATCGCCTCGCTCAAGCTACCGCTGTTGTCGAGGGGCGTGGGGTCCTCACAATTTCGCAGACGCCTCCTTGATCAGATCAGCGTTGCCCTTGCCTGCACCAATGGGCGTGCCATCCGGCGTAGACGCGATTCCTTGCCCGCAGACACCTGGCTCAGGGCTGTCTGCGCCGATTTGTTCGTGGAGCCGTGTTCAATCCTCCGGCTCGTCGTCCTGCGGTTCTGATCCATCATGCTGTGAGTCCTGCTTACAGGGTCGGATCGTCTGTGCATGATTATAGACTATATAGCGTTTGAGGTTTGTCTGCTGAAGGTCACCAGCCCCCTCGCTTCGCACTGCCCGGGAGTAGGGACATGCACTTGTTGGGATCTGGTGCTCCGATTTCGTGCGCTAGCTACGTCTTCCTCGTAGGTGGGTTGGCGTAGCAGACAGATGGCTTCTTGTCACGTCTTCCTCATAAGTCGGTTGGCGTGCCTTCTTGAGTACGTGCCGACACGCGCGCATGCTTGAGCGCCTCATCACAGATGTGGGGTTCACTTGTGGAGGTGGTCCTACCTTGAAGCCCTCAATTCTCGGCCCCTGCACCTCTTCTTGCTTTCGCCTGCAACCTGCACTAGATTGAAATATGCCATCATGTCTAGCAAAGACCCTGGCATTGATTTCGCCTTTTCGGCTGTGATCACCTCTACACCCCGAATCGCGCGACTCTCGTGTCCAAGGCAAATCCAATCTGTTATCTTCGCGTCGCAAGAGAACAAGCGCAATCAACCTCAATAATCTATCTTAGGGCTCGCTCTGACTTTCTGTTGCCCAAGTTGTCACAAGTTGACGTTAGACTACGGTTAGCTCTTGCTCCAGAATTGCCAGTCAGCTTACAGTGGGGTGGCAAGAGCTAACAACAAGGGTTGTGACTAGTGAGCTCGCGTGCAGCCTAAAGACAGCTGGTGCGCCTTAGATTAGATTTCACACTCTCATAGTGAATGTCCGACCTTGCCCTTAACAGCTGGCGAACTGCTGCCAAAGAGGGATCATGGCGAACCTTAGCATCAAAAAAACTCTGAGACCAAGAGCCCGATCATGCCGGGAGAAAACAGGTATGTCACGACAGATGTGGTGGATGCTGTTTGCAAGCTGGCGGAGCTGTGCATGCGAAAGGCCCCTTCAGAATTTTTTTGGTGCAGCTTTTCCCCAGAGTCGTTGCTAACAGGCATCGCTGGAGCGCTACGCAGAGCGCAAGCAACCTCTCGTTTTTCTGCCGCAGGCTTAGCTTTCGATCTGCTCGTCTCACCCCGCTCCACCTGCCCCTCCTTGACTCGTTGAGGTATAACTGTACCATTGGACTTCCGCTTCACCACTCCCGCAAAATCTCTGAGGACTCTGCATGGCCTTGGAAACGGCAACTAGCAACCAAGCGAGTTGCTCCATGTTGAGTTCAAGTTCGTTCAACTGCAGTTGTGGGTTTGGTTCGCCGATCTCGCAGGAGTCTCGGGCTTTCATGAGTCAGGTGCTGCAGCCGTTGCTGCAAGAAGCTTGTCTTATCAGGTACGACTGGTTTTGGCGTTACAAGCAAGTGGTGATGGAACCGTTGTTTTCAATATGGGATTCAGTCAGAGAGCCAGTAGAGCCAGTTGCGGCTAATTTCTTAGAGGTATTTTGTATTCCTGGGCCCCGCAGATCTCCGAAGCCTCAGGCTCCGGAGAGGGTCCAAGGAGTGTGGAAGGCGCCAAGCGACCCATGTTTCCATGAATTGTGAACGAAAGACTCATATGACTACAACTTCCTGAACTTGTACAAAAGGTTTGCCTTCACTCTGCATGGTTGGAGTCTCTTGCTCAGCAGTTCACGGACAATCCTTTGTCCACGCATGCTGCCGCGTCCATACCAGAGCCCGGCTTGCTGTGCTATCTTAATTTGTCTTGCCCCTGCTACTTATAAGGCAGAATACACGAGACTGGGATGGTGCCAGTACCCTGGTCAAACATGCCGACATGCTTTGTGTGCAGATGTGCAAATCCAAGGCGCAAGGCGGTCACATCACAGGAGCATCCAGTGGATACAAGGCACGCTGCTTGACATGGCGGTCGGCGGTGATGCTACTACCCATGTGCCCTGTTGCATCCCCTGGCTCTGCAATTTTGATCGGCAATGCGAAGATCCGACGCCCGACGGCTTTGAAGGATGAACCGCAAACGGCACATGCACCGACTGCCACATGCCTTCCACAAGCTTTGACATCAACTGCCAAGTTTCGCGGATGCTGCAGCAGCCTTCATGAACTTGCAGTACTCGTAGCTGGTATGTACAAGCCTGTGGGCTCACGCACGATCACAGGGCCTGCTAGGTGGCCACGCAGCTGCGTACAACGCACAGTAACATACAGATCAGCCCAAATGCACGCTGCCGCAGGCCTCGAGCACCACATTGAATGACTTCCTAGCCGTGAAGTGCAGTCCGAACTCCGAACACAGCCGACGCAAGCACAGCCTGCAACAGCACAATGCTCCGTGACTCAAGACGGCAACAATTCCTTGTTTTCTCTCGTGATTCCTCATGTTTCACCTCAGACAGGTGTTGCCTCCTACAAAGAATTTGTCCTTTGCCAACTGAGGGAGAAGTGTCGGCGCTGTACTCGATCACTAATCACAGTTATGCAATCCTTGCTGTCCTTGCTGGGTGGGCTGCTCGATGCCGGTCCTGTCGCATCTCTGAGAAGCTACCGGCTTTTGCAGTTGTTTCTTTCAGCGCTGGAGGGTGTAGTTACAATGTTTGCATGGATTGGCTCTAGATTAGCAGTTACACCTTGGTGGTGTCCAGCTCCTCTACAGTAGCAGCTAGCGGCTGGCTCTCCCCGAAAACAGGCATCTTTAGGTTGAGCTGTTGCGTATGCCCAAGCATGTCGAAAGTTGAAGTTGTTCGATGCCCAGCATGCACCACAAGATGTTCCATTGGCCCACAGACCCAGCTGTATTCAGCTTGCAGTTGGCGGGGTAAAGACCGGCGCGGCTCCAGCAACTCAATTCCATTTCGAACCTGAATTGCAGGTGTCCATGGCTGAAGTGCTGACCTCAGTGGATGTGCATGCAGCTCATTGGTGCTGTCACAGGGAAGTGTGTGAACGACCTCGTTTTGAATTCGTTTGGTTTCGAAGGAGCTCGAGAACAGCTCGGTTCAAAACTGTTTGCTTCGGCGGTTTGGCGCATGCGGTTCTTACACTGAGGCCGCCAGATTAGGCACGAGGCAGAGAGGCTGCAAGTGACGAACTTCCTTATTTGAACTGCTGCAGGGTGATGGAAGAATCAGGGATCTGTTCACTTTCGCTGGTAGTTGCAAGCGAGAGCAAAGGTAAGCGCCGTTCCAGGTACAGTTCAGGTGTGTCCCTTTGTATCCTGCGTCGCACGTACTTGTGGCTGGGGCATAGCTGTAGCAATGGCAATTTGAGGCAGTGGTGAGGAGTTAAGAATGGACCGCTCTGCCCAGGATGCAAGCGTCATTGAAGAGAACATTCCCAATATGGGCCGCGACCTTTGTCACCTCAAGAAGTATGCCCGGTACAGGCTGTTGGCAAACTCAGTTCGAGAGTTTCAGAGGGAGTGTTGTCAGGCTTCGATGCCGCAGGATGAACTCAGAGTTGCAGAGGGTGCGATGCCACAAAATCGGTCGCGACATGTGGCATGCTTGGGTTGCTTGGGTTGAGCGCAGGAGCATCTATCCGAGCAACCGCCGGCAATGAATCTCACGATGGCTCCAGGTCTCCTAAAGCACACTTCCCAACTTAAACCGCTTTTTCACTTCCATCGTGCGCTGTAGTCGGCAGTGGTAGCGTCACGCAGTCACGCGGTCTGCTATAGTTACTAGGACAGGCACCTCTCGAAAGTAGATTTCTTGCATGGCAAAGCCAAAGCAAAGTCGTCGGACAAACTTGGAGGCTTTGTTGCATGATCTGTTCAGAGCCTTTTTCGGGCACGCCTGACATTGGAAGGTCTCTCGGTCAAAGACACCGAAGCATCCGAAAACAGCAGACGAAGCCGAAGGCAGCAAAGCTGGCGCCAGCTTGAGCCAGGCTTGATTTCCGCATTTCAGACTAGATTTAACTTGTCGAAGGGTCAAGAAAGCCACAGAGTGCTTGTAAACGCTTGCGCGCGCCGCCTCGGCAGCTGGGCCGGCCCAATCTGCGCGACGCACATGCCGTGTGGAAAGCCGCCGCGGGTCGGGGAAAAGAGATGCCGGAGAGCAGCCCACCTTTGCACCAGCAGCGTCAGTGAGCTCGGGGGACGTACGAAGGGGAGGCTGGCGTCCGGGGGGTCAGAAGGGGTTCCAGAAGGCGACGTTCGAAAGTTTAGGCTTCCAAATCGAAGCAGTGTCCCATGGGTCCCGGCAGCAGGACGGCCTTTGCGAGCGACCTGCTGTGAGATCAGGGAACGGCACTTGGTCCAGTCCAGCCTCCAAAAGCCCAAGTTTCCACTCTCCAAGCCTTGAGCGGCCTCCACATTGAAACTAAGATACATGACTTACCACCACCTACCCGCCTGTTCTGACACGAAAGTGCAACTCTCATCAGACATGCGGGCTGCCCAGCTTTCGGCGCGCGTCAGGCCGACATTTGATCTCGTTGCACTGACCAGAACGCAAGATGTCCGTGATGCTCCGACGTGTTTTGTCGTTTGTGTCTGATCGGATTGCACCCCCCCCCCCCACCCCCCAAATTGGCAGGAAGGGTTAGGGCACTTAGGGGCGTTCTATCTCTCGGCCGGAGGCCGAATTTTCCTCATATTCCTCACAGCTTGGGACGGCTGTTTTGATCAGATTTCAGAGCGACACCCAAAGCGACCCAAGCCCCCTAACCCCCCATGTGGCTCCTGGCTCGTGTAAATCCAATACCTCTTCTTCGAAGATCGCATCACTATCGTGGGAAGGGTTTGCAGCAGTCGTCTCGAAACACAGCAGACCAGCGGGGCGACACCCCAAGCTTTTCTGGTAACATGCATGGCGTTACAAGGGGTCTAGATGGGCGCTCAAATGAGATGTATCCGGGTTCATGATGAGTTTAGGGCTAGGCTTCGGGTGTCTGGGGATAGTTTTTAGAGCCTTTGTCGCTTTGTGCAGAGTCTCGAGTCGCTGATCTTGGCGGAGGTTAGCACGCGCGACCTGGAAGCGATCGTCTTCGGTGAGAGGCCACCGACACCCGGGAAAGGCGCGGTTTGTTCAGTTCACTGCAAGATGGCAAGGAAGGAGCAAGCAACTCAACGTGCGATCTCCAAGGTGAGGAAGAAGAAGAAGCATCTCACGATGCTGAGCCCAAACAGGACCACTAGGGAATCGGTGATTTGTTTTTGTTCGCGCCGGTTGGCATATGTAGGCCTCTGAGGCTTTTCTGTCTTGAGGTGTTTGTGCTAGCTGCTAGCTGCTTTCAGCAGGCAACGGTGTGGCCCAGCGCCAGAAACATACTCTCGCAATGATCAGAGTGGGACTGCAGCCTCGAGAGAGTAAGTTCTAGCTTTGTCTTTGTTGGGGAGCTGCATGGCAAGGGGAATGGGGGAGCAAGCTCTGCTTACAATCGCTTACTCGATTCATCGGTGCGTCTACCGGCGCAGTGGCCACTTGCAGGGATGGCTGCAACATGAGCCTAAGATGACAAGACAACTCAGTGAATGTGAAGAGTTGCACCAAAGGTGGGCTTCCTGCACGGCTGGGGAAAGTTGTGTTGTTGTGGCAAGTTACCGCAATCCAAGTCCTTCCGCTGTTATGGCGTTGGCCAGCGCCAGACACCTAAGAAGACGCCTGAGTGATCAGTCACCAACTGTCGACCCGAAGCACAACAAAGTTTCCGCAGTGTCCATCAACAACCCGGCAAATTCATGTTATGGGAGTCCACATGAGCTTTGAAGTGAGTCTGGAAGCTGCTTGATGGCAGGCAGGATTTTGTCTGGACCGCTTTTAGGCAGGCTTCATGAGGCCAATCCACACCCGCTTGGTCCAACTAACCAGCTCTGTAGAGTGGTTTGCCTTATCAGCGCAGCTTTCATTCTGCACGGAGGAAGCACGTGCAGCGTCTGCTCGAGCCACAGCTTTCAGTCCAATGCAATACAATCAAACAGTTTCTTTGAGTGCAATCCGGGGTCTCGAAACCACGGGTTTAGACCCTCATCTTCAAACATGTGTGTTGTGTTGGGTCATAGTCTTCGTTTGTCTTGATTTTGCTTTGTTATTATTTGCGTGTGTGTGAACGAATTTAGTGCGCGTATTTATGTCTTCGTTTCGCGCATATATTTCTCTTCGTATTTCGTTCACTTGTATCTTTCGATCGCGCGTTTCACTCAATTTAATACGAAGCGAACATTAAAGGGCCAATTAACAAAATTATAAGGACACGCATGAATATTATTAATTGTGGGCCTTTAAGTGAACGAAAAAAGAGCGGCCAAAAAGAATAGAAAATTAGGCCGCATTGTGATTTTGTTATTATTGTCCCGTGCGCTCATTACATTCACGCCTTTATTAATACAATATAAGGAGCGCACTAATGTCAACCATTCACTCCCTTGTTCCCAAAGCCGCAATCATCCAACTCACTGATCACATGCTCACTTCAGGTGTCCTGTTTCGTCTTTCGCGATCTATTCTTGGACGATTCCTCCTTACCAAACAAAACCAACACACACACACACAGACACACAGACAGACAGACAGGCAGGCAGGCAGGCAGGCAGACAGACAGAGAGAAAGAGAGAGACAGACACACGCACACGCACGAGAACGAACACAACAGAAAAAAGCACACTGATCCCAGATACCCTCAGCCCTCAATACCCTCAATGCTTACATACCTTAAATGCCGTAACCACCCGCAACCCCTAACGCCTTAAACCTTAAGATTCAAACCCTAATCCAATCGCAAGCCCCAAACCACGTGCGCAAAGTCGCAATGTCACCTTCGCCCTCACCCCTCACCCCCTAGCCCCTCACCCGTCACCTGTCACCCCTCACCCCCAACCCCCTCCTCAACCCTCGCATCCCCACGCCATCCCCCCAACCTACACCCCACCCAGGTGTAAAAACCTGCTAGACGGTTTAGAATCGTGTGTGCAGCATGTCAGTGCGTGCGTGCGTGCGTGCGTGCGTGCGTGCGTGCGTGGGTGCGTGGGTGGGTGGGTGGGTGGGTGGGTGGGTGGGTGTGAGTGTGTGTGTGTGTGTGTGTGTGTGTGTGTGTGTGTGTGTGCGTGCGTGTGTGTGTGTGTGTGTGTGGGCGCGCGCGCGTGTGTGTGTGTGTGTGTGTGGCAGGAGGGAAGCCAAATGGAGTTGTAGTCTTCCAAGATTTAGTGAGATTTATTTTAACAAGGGATCCATATAGAATTTTGCTGAGTAGAGTTGCACGGCGCAAATAGACAAGTCACCTGCCGAACGCTCAACAACACAAGTCCACTACACACAGGCATCCATAGACGAACCTCTTGTTAATAGAACCTATTTCCACAGTGCCACCAAAGTACCACTATAGTACCCTCCCTGAGTGTCTTCAGAGTGTCCCTCCTAGCAAAAACATGTAGCAGCATCGGCTCGCTTCGCTCGCCTCAATCTTACTGACAACCTTTCTCAATTTGTTTTGTAGAGTACCGAACCCTGAACCCAACAACACATCCCTCAGCCGAAGCCCGCGTAGGCTTACAGGGCTTGGAGTTTAGGTCTTAGGGATTTCTCTCATCAAAGACAAAATGGCGCGAGCGATGACATGCCAAGAAAGCCTTCTAAGCAAATCACTCCTGCCAGTCTGTATTTGTGGGGGCGCCAGGGCCCACCAACCATATCGCACAACTTTCAATCTACACAGGGTTTTGTCAGCCGCTCAAATCAAAAAGTGTAATCCTCTTGCGTTGGAGGCCCTAAACTTGAACCTACTGTTGTGTTTTGTTTTTTTTGTTCTGTTTTGTTTTGTTTTATGTGTGTGTGTGTGTGTGTGCGTTGTTTGCCCACCCTCAATGTGGGAATGATAAGTTTAAATCATTCACGCCCATCGCCTCCTCGCCGGGTGTCCCGCCCGGTCTTCTGGGCCTGGTCCCTGGAGTGCCCAGTCTTCACACTGACAAGAACAGATATTTCCGCGGATTTTCTTTCTGCAAGGTGCTTGCAACATATTGTCTGCAGATTGAGTCCCGCGACAGAAGCCTGCAGCGAAGTAGCCGTAGTTGCGCCGTAGGTACCTGTCTGAAGACGACGGGATGGCTCCCACATCAGGTCCTATAGCTGCAGGGTGGGGATGACCGACATGAAATGACATGAAACACGTGGCTTTATCCGTTTTTGATTTGTTTGATAGAAATCAATATTCTGAACCTTGGATAGAAATCACTAACAGTTGGAATCTGCCTTTGCAGAGTTTCCACTGAGATTGACTGAGGCATGGTCAGATCCAGATGATGTTGCGCTTCAAGTCCCTCTGGCCAGATCCAGAGTTACGCATGCATGACTCAGTTGTCAGTCAGAAACGGCTTCTTCTGTTGTTGTTTGGCCATTCTGCCTGCTCTTGTCTCTCACAGACATGCTAAATGGCACTGAGGTGGGCGATCGGCACAAGAAGCGATTACGTCAGGTAGACTCGCAGGTGACCGGCCAGGAGACTGTGCCTTAGATGCGTGTCGCACGACTCATATTGATCGGTGGGCTTGTCCCATGTGTCTATGTGGCTAAATTCAGCTGCAGGTATGAACGACTTCTGCGTCAAAGATTCTTGAAGTTGAATGGATCTGCGCGACCCAGATGAATCTGACATGTAAAGGACATGCCTGCAAATGTTTTGTTTTGGACGGTCAGAAGAAGCGCTGAGGCACTGGGCAACAGAGGTTCCATCCGAGGCCGGGGAGCGGGCAAGAGATGCGTTAGTGCAAACATGTGCAAACGCCAGCTTTGAGGCCCAGCTTTCGGACTCCGACGAAGAAGTCGCGAGCACCCGAAACCCTGTCGCAGCCTCCGCAGGCAGGACTCCGGCAGGACATATCAGTCTCCAAACGGGAAACCTGCTAGGCTTGCAACCACGCGTGTCCCAGCCCAATACAACTTGAGCAAAGAAGCATCGATCTAGATCCCGCGGTGTTTCGGGCAGTGAGGTTGGACATCAAGCGCTTGCGTGAGTTACCGCTGCTGGCCTTGGTGCCCAGACTCGTGAACGAAGTAGTAAGTAGTCTCCGGGACTCTCCAGGACTGAACGCAGAAGAGATAAGAAGAGGAGAAACCGTCAACTTCGACAAACATGCGCATCCTTCAGCCTAGGCCGCTGGCCAAAAGAAAGCTCCAGGCGCTGTGGAGGCTTTGCGGTCCATTTCGGAGTTCACGTCAGCCATCGATTTCAGATTTGCGCAGTGCCGTGCTGTGCCGTGCTGTGCAGGCACTTCAGTTTCATCCAACTTCCGAGTTGCTGCTGACTGCTGGTCGTGACAAGACGCGGGCGACTGAATGACACTCATGATGAGTCATGAGGGCATTTGCAAAGCGCGTTCGCGAATTGACAAAGTGGGAACGCGGCGCTAGACTATGCCAACAGACCTCCACTGAAGCATGGCCTGGCAGCCGAAGCTGCAAACGCAGGGCAAACCCAAAGTGATTGACCAATATTGACCAATGCTAGAGGCCAGTCAAAGAATAGCAAGTTGGCAAGTTTGGCATTCTCAGTAGTCTGCTGCATTGCTGCATCCCATAGGAGAGCCTTTCTTGCTGGTTTCAGGGCACCCTTACATATTCCCCGTGCAAGAAGTTTCAGACGCAAATTCAGCCTCAATCATCAGGGCTCAGCGCACCATTTTGGCAGTAGGCAGTTGGCCCATGCTGCCAAGGTTGCGGCTCTTTGCTGTAGACGGTGAGGAGAACCCCAAGGCCATGCACTGCAGGGCCCGTTGGTTGCAGGATGTTGCAGTTGCATCGTCTTGCAAAAGGTGGCATCGTACTACTTCAAGAATTATCCCATCCTTGATGCAAAGTTCACACCAACTGGTGATCAGGCTTGCGGCTGCTCAGGTTGATTTTTAGGCCTGCTCTTTCCAGCCCAGGTTTTAATGACCAGCACCGCCAGTCAGCTGTGGGGCTTCTGTCCTGCATTGTTTACCAGTGGTTTGCCAGTCGTTTCTACGTGTATGTGTGTGTGTATGGATTGTATGTGGCGTGAGGTCTAGATGTCAGCAGCGGAGAGTCCTTCGAAATGCGCGAGGAGCTCATGCTCTCATGCTCTCACGCTTCGGCTGGGCTTTTTAGATTTTTGATGTTGTATGCAACATGGTGTTACACAAGATTGAGAATGTTGATACGATTGTTCTTTCTTTGGAAGCTTCTTCCCTGTGCTTCCCACTCCTTGGAAACTTGCTTTCAGCATCTAGACCGTGGCGAAGCAGTCGTGTCCTACGGCTTGGATGTTTGCGATGGATGAGTACTCGTGGCTTCAAGGTAGTCCACACCGCAGTGCTCCACGGTGTTTGGCCATGGGTCAAGTGCTCAAGGACCCGAGACGACTTTGTGACTGCATTGAAGAGTTGTAGAGGTCCTGCCTCGACTACGTTGCAATCTTCACAAATGCGGCTGCCTTGACACTGTCCAGGAATACTGCACGACTTGAACACTTAACTTAAGCGCGCTGCTGAATCCAGGTATGGCTATCTCGGGGATGCTGGGGCCATTAGTCTCTGCGACCTCAAGACCAAGCATACCATTAGGACTTCGGCAGCTTGATGAACATGGCATCCCTGGAATAGAGGAACACGCCGACGCAGAGTGCGGGCAGTGCTTAAAGAGATTTTACTCACAACCGCGATGCCAAGAGTATTGTTTCTTTTAAGTGTGGTCAAAAGGCGATGCATTCTCTCAAAACTCGCCATACGAGCAATGCGTTTGCAAATGGATGGGCACGCCTTTGCGGCTTGACTGTTGCTACCAGCTGAGCCCTTCCAAACCAAGATCTCGTGCAGCGTCGTTCTATTCAGGGTTAAGCCATTTGCGTGCAGTCTTCACACTGGCTTCTCCCATGGAAGTTTTCGGAGAAGAAAAGTGTCTGCCGGTCGCAAGACTAGATGCTTGCGGCACTTGGGGCCCAGGGGCCTTGACACATGTAGCACATCCTGTTTTAACACTCTATTTGTTTCAACCAGCTTTAGCTGGGGGTTGTTAATTAAAGAAAGGGCTTCTGTGACGTGCAGTCGGGGCTGCTCTGAAGTTGTCTCCCAATCAGACGCAGAGGTAGCCAAGCTCGAAGAATCCAAGAATGCATTGGGGCCTGGTCCTCTGCATTCCAGCCCCTTTCAGTTTTCCTGCGAAGCGTCGAAATTATTTCCAGAATGCTTCAGGTTTTGTGTCTGTCCCATACAAATACAAGAGAAAACCACAGAATCTATGAACCCGACTAACCCCAGACTGCCCAGACTTCAGCACAAGGAGAAACCGTTGCCAAATGAACTTTTCGGACGTCACGACGGCAAGTTCACGTGGCCTAAGAGCAACCCAAGAGGCACGACCTGTTCAGAGTGCTCACCGCCCAATAAGCAAGACTTGTTCACAGTGCCTGCTTTGGCCTCCGGCTTTCGATGAATCATCGTCGCACCGAGAAAGATATCAAATCAACCTGTGATGATGATTTGGTTTGTTTTGGCGCGGCCTGGGCGTTGGCAGGAAAAGCACACATTCAAAGAGGCTTGGTAGACAGCAGACTGCCGGGAGGCATCTTGTCAGACCTAAATGCCATTGGTCTGCTTTCAGCCTTTAAACACCAGGCTCTCATCCTGCACTTTTTCATAAGACATCTACGCACGGGCGAAGGTGCCAGATGCACTGGGAACGTTCCTCTTCATTCCGGGCCCCTTTTCGGAATCCTGCGAGATGCCGAAATCGTCACAATTTTCAGGGTGCCGCATCCATGAACCGGCCAGCCGCGGACTTCACGAGGAGAAGCCATATCCAAGTGCATGTTTCGTGGCAAGAAGTTGCATTGTTTGTAGGATGGCATGCGGGGGTCCTCAATTGCTGTTTGGGGTCGAGGCTTTCGACACACAAAACTGCGGAACGCACGATTTGCGGGTTCTTTATATGATTTTTTATGTATTTGTTCCCTGCCTTTTCTTGCCCAGCTACGTCGCAATGAAAGTTCAAGATGTCGATGCGTCATTTGACATTTCTCTTTGTTTCTTGCGGTAAGTTTTTTGTCAGAGGCAAGGGTATTGGAAACTTTGAGCCACCATAATATAACTATCTCTCTATCTATCTATCTATCTATCCATCTATAGATGTAGACGAACACAACCGCGCATGTTTTAACTACTGTTTCTTGGTGCATACACGGGTTTTGCTTGATCCACGCGGCTGAATAGATGCCAGCCCGAACTCGTCAAGCGTTGCATCGCGTATCCTTAGTTTGCACGCAAAGTAATTCGAAATGACGAGATGATGGAGGATAATACTTCGGGATTTATCTGGATTGCTGAACTCCTCGTCGTGCCTGGTCCTTGCAGGACCTTCCGGATGAGCTCGCCTGGAGCAGCACTCGTCTTCTCGCCCCATCAGGCATTAGACCTGGCAAACTCAGATCTTGCCGTGCTGGTATGTCACTGCGAGGCTTGCTTGTATTCCGCAGATGAGGAGACGGACTCTCAGAGCATCTCAGAGCATTTTGGAAATAGCAGGTCAAGTTCGGTGAGCCTGCCAGGTGCAACATTTACGAATGGGACATCGCTTCAGGACGTTGCCGACAGAAGGTCAAGGCCAGGATCCATCAGAGTGATGTCCATTCCACTTCATTCCACTTCATTCCGCTGCTTTCGCTGTTCTTCTTCCTTCATCTTCCTTCTGAAGGAGCCCTGGAGCGTTGGCATTCGGTGCCTGGCCATCAGCGCAGATGGCAAGCCCAAGCTTGCTGTTGGCAGCGCGCTTCACCCTTGGAGTCTTCGTGTGAGCTCCAAAGTCAAGATTCATCAGATTTCCAGCAGCGGCTTGTACTCGCAACGTCTAAAATCTAAAATAGAGCCTCGGCTGAAAATGAGCGCTTCCAAACTCTGAAAAAAAGGACTGGCAACATTGACTTTCTTGAGCTCAGTCCACATCTATCGGGACTGCTCCTCGCCCAGTCGGTGTGAGGAACTCATAGTATATGTCTGACAGTATATCTTATGTATGGTCTTTGTAGACTTACTCAGACGTGTTCAGGCCAAGCCACAGCATTGGAAATCTCACGACGAGGATTGATGCGCTCAGGCACGATGCTATGTTTTTGGAGAGTTCGGTTCTGCAGGCATGGGCGGCACACCATGCCACACCATGCCACACCTGCTCCACCGCGCTCTAACCCTTTAGCTTCTGCACAACATTATGGCTTACTGCATCGATATTGCCTCCAGAGTCTCTCCTGAAATAGGACTATGAGAAATCCAAATTGTCTTGCAATATAGGGAAGCACAATACGCTCCTGGATTGCATTGCTGCGTAGGTTCAACACCGACGGCCAGATTCTCGCAGCAGCTTCGCGCCTCAAACCTGGTGCGTTGGGAACTCAGATGTGGCTTTGGCAATGTATTGGCATCGGCAGCGCTTTCTGCAACACTGCAGTCGTCGGACCAACGCAAAGCAGGCTGAAGCTGATACACACCGGGACAATGACCGTGTTTCAGAACTGGCCTACGCAAAGGACACCATTGAACCGAGCAGAAGCCTCAGTAGCCCGCTTGCCATCTTGGAGTTTGGAGGGGGCATTAGCAGTTTGTTGAGGCTGCAGCACGCACCATCAGTGGACAGATCAGGGGACGTCCAGTTTTTGTTTGGAGTTTAGGGCGGCATCGCTCATGCACAGACTGCCAAAACTAAAAGGGAAGAAGGTGGATGCGTGCAACACAATTGCCAAACATTGCAATCACGTGACCGCATTCCACAGGTGTTGCGTGTTGCAAGCGCATCTTCATGCAGCCGAGGTGTCTGCGTTGGACTTCTCCCACCATGGAGGTATCCTCGCCATTGGCAACGAAACTGGTCGGGTAGATCTGGCACATTTGTTGACACAAGTCATAAGAGGCTCTTGTGTTGGCACACCCTTCGATTTTTGTTGCGAAGACACAACTCCATTGCATCTTGTTGACAACAACCAAAACTCCTCACTTCCGCTCAACGGTTGGACTCGATTCAGGACCACTTCCCTTATCCCAAGTGCCATCTGAGAGCACTTTTGCGACCTCTTTTCATGATCAGGTCGAACAAGTGTAACCAGCAGTACTCAGCAATCACGCAGAAGCGTTTAGAGGAGCAGGAGTATGAGGACGAGAGAAATTTTTGCTGCGACCGAACCCTCCACCCACCCTCATCCCACGCACACTTGCACATCCAGGATCGGAAGGCGTCACGGCTGCTCTCCACGGACGAGAGGCGGAGGAGAAACGAGGAGAACGGCAAGAATGGTGGAAATGGAGGGACATGGGATAGGAGGACCAGGAGAGTCAGGAGACAGGAGCATGGAGAAGCATACGACGAACTGATTGCTGGGCTTTACACAAAGCTGGGCACACTTCTCGTTTTGGTTCGGGTGATCTGGACTTTCTGGATGGTCGGTGCAGGGCTGTAGCCGGCTGCATGGCCCTGCTGGCTTCTCAGGAGCTCCTTTAAGAAGCTAAGACTTCCCTCGGTGATTCCTCTGAGTGCAATGATCTTCCACCTTTGACACCGTATGAACTATCCATCTCAGAACTGTGATGTGCCAGCACACCCTGACGTTGCTACAGCGCCAGGTTCTGCTCTTCAGGCTGCAAAGTTACATGCAGTCAAAATAGAGTGCGCTTGCCGCGAAAAGAAGTTCTCAGCTGCATGATGCGGATCTGATCTGCTGCTTGGGTCCACAAATGTTTCAGGCTGCTTCGGGCCGAACATGTAGGTGCCCTGAATATACCTTTTACATACACATACCGTCACATACCTTCAAGGGTTCCTTTGTTCTGGACCAAAGTAGAGGCCCATACGTGTAACCCTAGATTGTCACATTCTTGTCCGGAAGACGCGTGAACGATAACAAGCTTCAACACAATGGTGCTCTCCAGAATTCCCGAGGGACAGAAGTACGCACAGACAGAGCAAGATCGAACAGGCATGAAAGATAGAACGAGCAAAGAAACAAAGAACATCTTATCGCACATCGAGAAAGGCGCAAAAGAATTGACAGAGAACAAAAAGACGCAAGAAGGAGTAGAACGAGCAGAGCCAGTAGAGTCTCAACATACATACAGTAGGAAGGATTCTACAGCAACAAGGAGCGCAAAGGACAACAGAACCGAACACGAAGGCAGATCGAGCTGTGTCTTTCACCATCAGTTGGTAAGCTCAACAGGGAATTTTGCAACATGTATAATCAAGTCACGACAGCTAGGGCAGCTAGGATGTGGCTGGGCTGGAGTTGTTTGCGCTCAGCCATGTAAGGGAGCGGGAGGTTTCTGTCGGGTTATGTTTTTGTTGTTTTGGGCCGCTGTCTTGCTGATGCAAATCACATCACCGCCGATTTTTAAATGCAGAAACCCCGCGGCACCCGAAAGGGTCCAATGCTGTAAGTATTGTTTGCCTCCGAGCCGTCCACTTTTTGGAGGAAGAGATGCAGAGATGGGGGAATTCGGATGAATGCGGCAGTCGTACAATTTCAGTGCACCGTCCTGTTTTAGATTGATCGTATTCATGCGCTTTCGTGACTCAACAGCTGATCGAATCGGGTGCCAGTCGCTGGCAGCTTTGCCACGTTGCCTGTTCCCAAGCCTAAGAAGGAGCGTGAGAACTATGAAGTCTAACCAGTTCTCCTCTTCGCGCATAACATGGAAGAAGGAACGATGGTCAGAACATGAGGAACGGAATAGGGGACAAAGCACTGTGCTTCAGGGGTGCATCGTGATGCTCACCTGTTGCTTCGCCCGTGAGAATGTTGCTTGTGTCGTCTTTTTCCACAGTGCACCGATTCCTGGAAGATCAGGGTAGCATCGGTAGCATTTCATGCGTCTGATGGTCCTGAACGCGCTAAACCAGAGTGGACTTGGAACTCTCCTTGAGACCATTTTGGCCCCAAAGTGTCTCTGTACGCCGGCAGTTCCGGACACGGACCGGCTAAGCGGCTAAGGCGCTGGGAGTGACCGAGTGGCCTTTTGTTGCAAAGGCTTCCATGGATGAGCAAGTTCGCATTCTCGTTGAGGAGCCATGGCAGAGGCTGCAAGCCTCATTGAAAAGTACAGAGTTGATGGAGGCCAGCCCTTTTGTCGTTGCGATCCCTTCATTCCCTTCAATGGGACCTGAGAGCTTGCAGGCGTCGACCTTTCAAAGGCCGCGGAGATCCATCACAACATTTTGAGCTTCAAGCCCGAATGGGAGAGCTACGAGGTACCGATTCGCGTCTTTAGGGCGCTTCGCAGTTGTAGCAGCAGGCTGCAGCAGGCGTTTTTTTGTGCTTTTAACTTTGGTCGTTTGGTGCCGCATTCTCGGATGATTTCGGCCAGCCTGCAACTTGCCACTTCCAAAAAGGACCACAGGTCCGATCTGCATCTATTTTGAGCATACTGCTTATGGCCTCGAAAGGCAACGAAGAGTGCAGCGCACGTCATGAAACTCCTCGAAGCAGATGCGCCTGACTGCGCCTGAAACTTCCTGGAGAGTTCAGTTTCTTAAGCTCGTAGGCTGTGACCTAGGTAGCATCTGTTCCTGACCAAGGCAATCAAGAACAAGGCCATGATCCAAGGCAGGGCGAACCACCGCGTCAAATGACAATGTCTCAACGTTCAGAGATTTGAATCGGTTCGTGTCCGACAGAAGTGCAATCTGGCAGGTCATATGCAAGTTCTGCAGGCATGCATGGGCGTGATGTCCATGCGTTTCTTGGCATACACAACGGTTGCAAAGCTATGTGCTTTTGCGAAGTTTCCTCAAGCAGAAGAGTCCTACTGAAATGAAGCAATCAAGGAGACGACAAGCCCATTCAGTGGCTTCTAACCCTGTTCTATGACATGCTAAGAGAAGACAGCAGCAGCTTGGGACCGAGGACAATGTGCTTGGTGCTGTAGTGTGCTTCATGGCCTACCCGCTGCATCCCACTCTGCAGCCAAGGCTACGCAATCTTCGATGAAGCAGCCAAGCAGAAGATCGAGGTCTTGGAACAGCTTGAGATAGCTTGAGGGCTCAGAGACAGTATCGCTTCCCTCTTCCTTTTTAGATTGTTTGGCTTTGTCTTCAATTTGTGTTCTTCCTGTTCCAAGTTCGACAACCGCCCCCGTGCATTGCATCAATCGCTTGCACGAGCCAAGACAAAGGTCCAAAACACGACTTTCGGGCGGCTCGGTAGGTCAGGGCGAGGGACGTGTCCGGGTATGGGGAACCTCCGATGTTCTGATGCCTTCGGCTGAGGCCGAGGCGAACTAGGCGGAGTTCATGTGGCAAAATCCGCAAGGAACACGTACGACAAGTCTTGTCAAACATTCTGAGCAGAAGCTTCTATTTTCTCCCCACCCTCATTTTGAGTCAACCGTGCTCCTCGCATTTCGCCTCCTCGCCTCCTCGCCTCCTCGCCTCCTCGCCTCCTCGCCTCCTCGCCTCCTCGCCGGATCGCCGGAGTCTCGCCGGATCCCTCGTGTCCCGGGTCCCTGGAACGCAGGGGAAAAGCCCACAGTGAAGCAACCCAGCAGTGCCAGCGAACATGCCTGGACTGCCATTGTTCAGCGTGCAAGGCTTCAGTGAAGCCCGCAAAGAGTCCCGCCGAGTATCCAGAGATCTAAGGAGAGCGAAGTATGCGTAATTTCCTTGTCCGAAAAACACTTGCGGGCCGGGGTCGTGTGGGCCTTCGTCCAGGGGCGTTTTTTTATTCCGGACTCGGCTGGCCGAGCAAAAACGAAAGGCTTCTCATAGGGTTTATTCTTGTAAATTTATTGGGATTCCTCTTAGATCTAATCAGATTCCCAATTTTTTTAGAGAATTCCTACGAGTCTTTCTCGGTTGGCTTTTACAGTGAATAGGACTTCTATTAATTTTAAAAGGAGTCTTACGGATTTCATAGGGTTTCAAACAAATTTACTATCCTTGCGCAGGTTTACAAGCCTCTCCTAGCATTGCTGCTGCGGCCGGGATTGGACAACTACACGGCCGACAAGGATCTGGCTGTCGATCATGTTTATGTACTTTCATAATTTTCGAAGCATCCCTCATGTCTCAGATTGCTGTGACATCGCAGGTGGCATGGCTACTTTCAGCAGTAATGAGCCATGCGCCGCACATCGCGACCGAGGCAACTTGCCAACGTTACCTGCCATGCTGTAGGGCATGAAAGGGCGAGCTGGATTGATTTCACTGGTCACATTTCAATGCGTGCAGTCGTCGCAGCTCTTCATGTGCCAGCGTGGAGATTGAACTGTGTGTCTGCCGACAACCAGCCGTGAAAACATGTGAAGACAGGGCTTCCAAAGTTCCAGGCCGTAGGATCCCTTTGGTCCTCAAAGGAAGCCGCAACCGTTGATCTCGACTGTGTCCCCAGCCGACCAGCGCGAGCCATTGATGCAGATGACCAGCCGGAAAAAGACACACTGCAAGCATTCATGCCTTTTACGAGTTTCGAACAGTTGTATTCACAGCGTTTTGCTTGCTTCATTGCACAAAAGATGTCTGCCTTGTGCGACCATGCCTCAAACAGTGATATTTAGAGCGTTACTGCCTCCTTTGTACAGCATACTGCACAAGGGTTTTGACGTTTCTGGAACACGTTTTTTTTTTTTGCGGAATTGCGAACGGCCCGGGTCACTGGTATTTGCAGCGTTGTTGCTCGTTTGTGTATTCTATGGCTTGCTGCAGAAAGAGGTGCTGCTAAGCAGGACCGACTCGCCGACAGAAGCAAGAAAGACTACCAGAATGAACATGTAGTCTTGCATCAGAACTGAGAACCCGATTGTTTTCCGAGCCCGGAAGTGCCACGTCCGCATGTTTCCGTTGTTTTGTTCCACGCGTGGTTGCGGACCGAAGACCATGTAGTTGTCACATGTTATCACATATTATTACTTTGCTGTGTGCCAAGTGGTGAAGTCGCACCAGGCAAACGTGAAAGAGTTCCTCAGTGCCATCCTCGATTCATCGAAGACAAGCTGCTCTGAGCTGGGTCAGCTGGAGGCTGCGGCGCTATGAAGAGGCCACGTGGACAGCATCTTTCATCTGGTGCTTACCCCTTGCCAGGCAATCACGAACCTGCTGAAGGGAGATCTCTACAGAAAGCTCGTATGGTCCTTCGAAGGAGTCGGATAAAGATGACCAAGGGTTTTCGCACAAAGGCTGCTCTTGCTTCCCAAGCTCTGCGCTGCGAGGAATTTCCGATCGTATCTTCAGGCGCGGAATGGAGGTTTAAACTCAAACCTAGTGACCTAGTGACTTAGGGCATGCGTGTGCAAACAGCCTGTGACACCCGGAACACTGACACAAGTGTCGTCAGTGCAACTGCAGGATTCAGCCCAAGTCTTCACCATCGCCTCATCTGTACAAGCCCCTGTGGCCGCATTCAACGCCTGGGTTCCGCTGCCATGTCTGCACAACGGTTTAGAATTCATTCCTCCGCCCTGCCGACCTTTGGCACAGAGCGATGTGAAGGAACGAAAGAGGGGCCTGGATGTTGTACTATTTTTGCTTGTTTTTTGGGTTTTGAAGAGATGACGGAAGGCAAGGCTGTGTGTGTGCTTGTGTGAAAGTTCTGCCAACCCTCGGCAGCCTAGCATTCAGTCGGTCAGTGCAGGGCAGACTCTGGTAGTCAGACAATCCTCGTTCATTTCTGTGCCCCACAATTTCATATGCGCATTTGCTGATGATGGAGCATACGGTACGTATGGATAATGTCGTTTCACCTCTGTCCGGCATCAGTCTGCCAATTGCAACATCATTCAAGATTGCAGTATCGCTCGATGAACTGAGCTATAGCCTGGCCTGCATGGCAGCACAGCAGGCAGTGTACATTCCGCCTCAACATTTGCCATTCTAATTTAACGCTGACGCGCAGCCGCCTCGGCAAGGGTACCAAGGCGAATCAAGGGTTCATGGGTAAGGGGGGATGGGGTAGGGGCGTGGGTATACGGGGGTTACCCATTTCGGGTCAAATAATTCCGCAGGTCGGAATGGTTTGGGAGGCGGTCAGGGGGTGGGCAACCTACGCCTCAGGCCTCCGGCCCCGGTAGTTTACGTCCAGGCTTCAACAATGGCTTCATCCATCATTAGCAGGAAAATTTTTGGGAAGGCCTGGCCATGTCGTTTAAGCCCTCTGTCCCTGTCTCTTAGCAGCTTAGCACATTTCCACATCCGGAATCCGGAACGCATCGAGCGTTCCAAGGCTTCACCTATTGATCCGGCCTGTCTTTACGGTGCACAACATAGGTGCTTTGATGGAATTCAGTCCCATGGCGCATGGGCAACTCGTGCCATGTGCCAGGCAGTCGAGGAGCGATTCGTAGTTGGAACAGCCCGACATACGAAGCCCGGCAGTCCACGGGAACCACAAGATGTTTTAGCTGCAGCTGATAAAAAAACACAACGTTTACATGAGGATGAGGCATCGGCAGTGGCATCGGCAGTCGTCGCAGGTGAGACGAGCGGACCGGATATGCTGCTTGATGTTTGGGCAAAGGTGAGGACGCAAAGTTGGGGAACACAGGGGGCATTGTCACTCAATCACCCGCGACCGCGGAAGTAGCTGAAGTAGCAATGGAGTTCAAGTTGTCACCGGGCCAATGAAGTCCGATGCAGGGGATGACGATGGGCAGCAGCACTGATGCTCCCATATACACCGCATATGCAGGCAGTTGACTATTGCGCTACTTACGGAGTTGTCACTGTTCGCTGCTCGGCGGAAACACCACAAACGTGTTCACCCATTGCATCAGCATGCTCGCTTATGTTTTGTGGCACTGCCGGAGCATCATTGTCCGTCTCAGATTTGTGGCTTCACACTTCCTTGTCGGAGAACGGGAAAGCTAGAGCTAAGCTGAGCTAAAACTTAAAACGGTCGACCGTTAGAAAGTAAACTGAGTAAACATAGTCAACTTTCTCTCAGGTGCATCTTCGCGATCTGGGCATTGCCTCTTGACTGAGCATTTGCACTTGTGTACTTCGCCAAGACTGATTGTTTCGTACTTGTGTGGTGATTTCCCGCAGGTCCTTCGACCCCCAAATCACCAGCGAGTTGAAGGCTTGCGCCGCGCAGCACACGAGCAATCTTACCTTACATGTGTGACACTAGAAGGTGCAAGCGAGTGTTATTTCTCGTGGTTGCTGCTGGGACACTCACATGTGAACTTAGCTTGTGTGTGTTACTTGCATGGCGCACTTTCCAATCTGAGCCGGGGTAGTGAGGTGACTGGAAGCACTGAGCGGTTTATAAGACCTAGGGAAGAGATGTCCCCCGACATGGCAGCGCTGCCATAACAGCTCACAACAAGATGGTCCAGTACTGCGCGCCTGCTGCGTTGCCAAAGTGGGTTGTTTGGCCGCTTCAGAGGTCGTGTGTTGCTTGGACGGGGGGGGAGGCGGTCTTGGTTTCTTGGGTGGTGGCATTGTCGCGCTCGATGTGTGGCTGCTGCGGTGGTTGCTCTCTGGGTTTGGAGAGGTCGTTCGCCAGCCACTGGCCTTCACGTCCACAGCAACTGGGATGGGATCGCCTGTAGCGAGCTTTTTGCTAGGCGGCAACGGGGTTGAGTTATGTGCCCCGGTGCCACTGCTGGCAGGTGAGACATGTGAGACCAGCGTGCCTGCCAGAACCCTCCCCCAACCCTTCTCAACAACCACCTCTCAGACATCCGGGGAGGAGGGAGCGAGGCGGAACCGCCAACTTGATAGCCAATACACATCAAATCCAGCTGCTTGATTTTTTCACTCACTCAGATGCTCGCTTCCCATCTGCAAGCCATGCCTTCTCAAACCTTGACGCAAAAGAGGAATCAATGAGAGCACAAACTAAAGCTAAGAAAAGCCCCGAGCGAGGGTCAAGTCAGAAGAAAATGCTTTCGAGTAAGGGTTCGTTGAGTCGAGACTGCAAAGGCCCGGAGTCGAAAACCTTCCAGACCCCTGATTCGAAAACCGCCAGCATCAGGCAGATAATGCCCTGACAGATGTGAGTCGAAAACACCTCTGCAGAACCCTGAGCCTGTTCTCTCTCATGCGGCTGCGCGCTGCAGTTTAGGGTTTGGCAACCAACATTTAGGTCGTCTTCATTCTAGGATCACCCCTCGCCCTTGCGAAGAATATTTTTCCTCCCACTCGAAACAAGATGAACGCGTGACAGGGAAGAAGGCGTTATCGTGCAAGTGTGATCCCATACAGCTATCACGCGGAGCCACATCGTGCAACCTCTGATCGGATTCCTTGCTCCGAAAGGGCCTCGCTGGATCTGATTCGCGCCTCGGGTGATCCCGTGTTCGGATCCGGCTCGGGACACACACTGATCCGAAAACTGTGTTCTGATACGTGCTCTACCGTGGGGGCTGTTCTGCCGCCGTTTTCTGACTCACTGCTCTCTGTTTCTGACTCGTGCCCCCGCCGTTTTTCTGACTCACGCCTTGCTGTTTTCTGACTCGATCTTCTTCGTTTTCTGAATTGGTCCCTATCGTTTTCGACTCGTTTTTCCGATTCGTCCTTCCGACTGCCCCAAGCCACAGGGACAAGTGTCAAGCCCAGGCATCCGTTATAAGCCTTGACCCCCAAGCCTAAATCAAGTTTTTTTTTGGCTCCGGCTTGAGGGTACACTCTTGTATTCAGCACTTGACGTGGTGAGGGGAGGGGGGAGCGGGGCCGAAACTGAAGCGAGGCGCCTGAAATGCAGACTTTTTCTTTGTTTCCCCAATGCCTGAGTCGACCCCAAGTCCGTCGCCCAAAGCCTCGGCGTGATAAATCCAATGTTAGGGACTGGATTCGGCAACATATGCAACGTCCGTGGTGTGAAATGCGTTGCAAAATCTGCCGTCGGAACCTGAATACGGCTCCATACTGTCCCAAAATGCCACGCATCGCGGCACCACATCCAGAATACAATGCCTCTAAGCGACGTGGATACGTCGAAAAACAAATTGTCAGATTCACTTGTGGCCTGTCACTTGTGCCCTGTGCATCACAACGCGGTACAGCCAAGATGATGCGAGATGCAGGTGACGGTGATTCAGCAACCTCACACGGCAAATGCACAATGATCGGATACGTACAGAAAACATGGAAAACCAGCCGAAGCCAAATACAGCACTGGAGTAGTCATGTCTGTCGTGTTGTTGCTGGGGGTTGATGGCTACGGTTTTTGTCTGTCGTGCTGTTGCCGGGGCTTGTTTTTTTTGGGTTTAGGTTGAATGGTGAGCAGCGGAATCCAGTCGATGATACGCGAAACTACTTGGGCCGTTTCTGCCCTGCTGGGTTTTGTTTGTTGCGCTTTTCGTGTCCACCGCATTTGCTTTTGGTGGGCTGTTTTTCGATGCTTGTTTTTCTTTGGGACTTGTAGGGTTTGTTTGGGCTTGTGAGTTTAGGGCTTGGGGATTCAGTCTCTTCGGGATGTAGGGCTTTTCATGTGTAGGAAGCGTTTATAAGGTCGCTTTGGGGTTAGGGCTTTTGGTTCTCAGGGCTGTTGGGGTTCAGGACGTCCACTTCCTGATTTTGTTTGCCTTGTTCTTCTCACTATTCTATTCTGCCCTAGCGTCGTGTTTCATGTTTGATTCGGTTTTCGATTTCGCGTTTTGCTTTCTGATTTCGCCAGTGCTCGTAGAGTGAGAAAAGGATGGGGTGCGGAAAGGAGTGAAAAGTCGGAAGGTCTCTTCTCACGATCCCTCTCATGCCTCCGTTTGTGGTCTTTGTCTTGCGCACCTCTGGCCATCCTGTCTGCGTTTAGAGTGCTGCAGTACTTTTGTTTGAACCCTTACAGACGTCGCCAAAAAGTTGTCCAAAGATCGTATGATGCAGCAGAAGCACAAGGAAACTACGAGCAACCGACTGTCCTTGATGCAGACACTGACCGTGGAAGGATCTGTACGTCATCAAGAAGTTGAAGGAGACTTTGATGTACAGCCGCGTGGAGAAGGCTCTGGAAGCTCGCATCTATGACCCTGTGCGACGCTGGTAATGTCGGAATGCACTGCCGCAAAAGGTTGTCCGCTTGTGCTTGACCGTGCTCAAAAACTTCCTCAGCCTGGAGCTTAGGGAGCTTTTAGCAAAGGCCGTCGGTGCAACACTTCTGACTCAGTTCAATAGGTCAGCGTCCCAGGACAAGCATGGGGCAATGCAATGACTATGATAAGACATTTGCTTGCGATCCCCGGCCAAAAGGCCATCGCCCAAACACCGATGGCAGAGCCCTTGCGTTCTTTTGTGTGTGTGTGTGTGTGTGTGTGTGTGTGTGGGTGGGTGGGTGGGTGGGTGGGTGGGTGGGTGGGTGGGTGGGTGGGTGGGTGGGTGCGTGGGTGCGTGGGTGGGTGGGTGGGTGGGTGGGTGGGTGGGTGGATGTGTGAGTGCGTGGGTGGGTGGGTGGGTGGGTGGGTGGGTGGGTGCGTGCAGCGTGCGTGCGTGCGTGCGTGCGTGCGAGCGTGCGTGTGAACGCGATTGTATCGGGCGCTGCTTTTCGTCAGTCTCAGTTCTTTCCGTTTGTCGGACACATGCGAACACGAAACCAGTGTACGGCCTATCTGGGTGTCACGATAGCTCACAGATCTCTTCACCCAAGGCTCACCCAAGGCTCACCAAAACTATGAGCTGACTGCAGGTGAAAAGCAGCTCGCATCATGCTCAACATGACTATGCTGTCAGGTCACAAGAGCATGTGTGAGGATATCGTGGAGGAAGGCATTCTAGAGGCGCCTTGGCAGCTTAGCAATTTGTCGAGTATCTCCGAAGTTCGTCCGCATGCAATCAGCACAACTGAACGAGGCTGTGCAGCAGCTGGAGTTCGAGAAGTGGCGAGATGCCGAGCTCTATGACGACATCAAGGTCCGGGGAGCAAGAGAAGAACATTTTTGAAGCAGGCGAGCGGAGATCTGGTTGTCTCTGAAGGCTTATCAGTGCTTGGCAGGAGATGGCAATTCAGATTGGCTTGGAGGCTGCATGTGCACAGACATGTACGTATGGAGAGACATCTAGAATCAAGAATTGACAAGCGCATGAATATGAAAGGGGATGTCTCGATCGGGTTTGGGTTTGCAAGGGCATTGCATGATGTCCTCATCAGGTCAACGAGATGAGCAACTACGAGCGTTACGAGCGTGAGTTGCAGACCGGCAAGCTTCAATGGGGCCCGCCAACCAGAAAGAGCATTCTGTGTGGTGCGTTCCGCCTGCCGGTTGAATGGTCCAAGGCTTCATTCATTCCAGCAAGTTCTGGGCAGAGAATGTCACGAAGCGTCTGGTTTGCAGATGAGCCAAAGCAAGGTTGCGCAAGTGCAGCAGGCTAGAGTGTGTTGTCTTGTCAAGGTTCGAATCGAACGACTTCCGGGCCACACCGTCCCGTGCTTCCGCTTTCTAGGGGCCCTCATCAAAGACTGCTTGAGTCGCAACCACTACTAGTTTAATTGCGCGAGCCATAGTAAAGCAATGCAACAAAGTTGCATCGTGCTTTTTACAGAAACCAACGTCCTAGTTTGGGCTCAGATATCACAGTTCATCCCTGTGATGTTGCACGTAGAAGCAGCTGATCAACAGAACATGCTTAAGAGTGACAGCAAGTCTGCATTCTCGATGGGATCCTTGCCAGGCTTTGAAGTTGCTCGCATCGCTGCTGCAAAGCCCATCAACGGATGCAACGACACTGGCAGTGGCATGCTTGCCCCTCAGATGCCTCAGATTCTTACAGATGCATACAAATCCATACAGGACCATTCACATACTGTGTAATGTTGTTCATGTCAATTGGCTCGGCCCTGACGGTCGAGAACGTGTTTGCTGCTTCGCTTGCTGTTTAGCTTGTGGCTTCGCCTGCGGTTGCGCTTCCGGGTGGCCTGCGGGTGGCTTGCAGTCATCGCAGTCCGGCCGAGAGTTCAAGTCTGGGAATGGAGCTGAAGCCGTCGGGCTGTGACTGGTCAGAAAAGTTGGGGTGGCAAAGTGCAAGGCTTCCAGGCGTGATTTTGCAAACCTTCGGGCCCGCTATCCGAGAAAGATGTCTTTCAAGAAGCTCCGGGTAAACAAACAGTGCAGGAGGTTTACGGAGGGGAGACGAGGCCATTCGATGGACAACTCAGGAGGGCAAGTCTGGTCGAGGCCACTCCTCCACCCCTCCACATCCCTTGACCCTTCGTGGCATTGTGACATAAAGACCGAGACGTTTTGCGATCTCCGTGGGGCAGCGTAGGGCAACCATTGACACTTCGACTGTGGCTGACTCGAGGGATGCTCAGGGACGGTCAGCATTCTCAACATTCCAGAAGCAGCACACAAGAAAGCGTTCAACGCATGCACGACTGCGGCAGTGTACAAGTAACTTAGTAAGACCAACTGCCATGGGAATGGGTTGTCTGCTCATGAGCTTGCACCATACCTTTAACTTCCTAAAGCTGCTAAAGGTTGCTCGAACCTTCTCAGAAGCTAGCAAGACGGATTGTCATGCTGACGCTTGTCATTCATTCTACAGATTCTACAGAAGCGGCTGCAGATGAGGTCACGACCTCGGAGAGTTCGTGACTTTCCACCCTCTGGGTAAAAAGAAGGCCCGAGATGGATGTCATCACGCATAGCCCGTTTACACATCGCTGGCTTGCTGCAGTGCTGGAGCGTGCAAATCAGGTGGCGCAGTTGCAGGTGAAGGAGAAGGCACGTGCCAAAAGCGCTGGGAGAAGCAACGTGTTCTTTGTTGGGATGCAATGGCGTTTGGGGGGGGGGGGGGAAGAGGATTTTTTGGAGCGGCATGTTCTTCTGCAGGTGATGCAGCTCATGGCTGCCCAAGACCCCAATTTCCGAGAGGTGCGGCGGGAAGCTTTACTCTGCTGTCGGGCCCCTGGCTGCACAAAGGGTTCGGGGTTACGTCAGACGGCAACAGGACGTGCATTTTGGACCTGGAATGGCTTTGATGGAAGGTCAGAAAATCATGCTGAACAAGTGGCAGGCCCTGCCCTGATTCCCAAGTTCTTTTGCATAAGAATGGGCAGGTCTGGGTCCACATCCCTCATGAACTTTCAGAAAGCAACTCATGGCATTTCGCCAACTTGCTTCGCATGATCATCCAGTTTGCAGGTTGGCGAGTCAGCCTCGAAAGACAAGGCTCGTTGACAGACTTACCTGCAGATCCACGTCACAAACGCTCTGCTTCAAGCGACAGACCGACCCACAGATTAAGTCATGACTTCTTTTGTTTTGCAAAAAACGCGTTGCTAGTCGCCTGTGCACTTTTGTGAGGGGCCATCGACTGCGGATTAAACTGATGAGGCGCCGTCTGCAGATTGTTCCTATTAGCCTAATGTATGAAGGGTCAAGGCGCTACGGTATATTCAACATGGTTTTCGTATGGGATCCCGGATTGAAGCAAGTCAAGACCTACGTCCTTCATGGCGGGTTAGCCTGGGGCTCATGTGCAAAGATGCACTCTAAGTACCTGCGCTGGATTTCATGGGTTCTCTGCGTACGAAGATGTAACCACCTCTACGCGGTTCTTTATGTGTGACATGTGACAGCAGGGCGCTCTTGTGAGTGAGTTCGTATGTGCAACTAATTACTTGCCTTCTTTGTTGCATTGTGTTGTATGTCTCAATGCTTTCATGACGGGGGAACAGTCAGGCACAAGCCTTTGTCTTCTCGCGGTTCCTTGCGGGCGATCCCAGCTTGGCACTCGCAGATCTTGCGATTTTTTTTTTCAGCGGGTTGTGTCAACCAGAGACGTCTAGAGAATTAGCTTGTTTCGTTGAAGTCTTCGAGATTCCGCTCCCAAGGTTCAGTGCAGCGCAAGTGGCGCAACTCCCACTGATTCTGGCAGTCGGGCATATGAAGCCTCCATCGGCCTGCAGTTCAAAAATGTTGTGCGGGGAAGAGGTTGTTCAGCACGACGAGTGCACTGCAGGAACGCGTCGGTAATTTTGAAATCGTTCTCGTCCGACTCCATCTTCGCCAGGATTTGAGATGAGAGGATAGGAACTGTAGCTGCCATTCCTTGTTGTGATCTTTATATGACAGAAACCCAGCAGTTGGGTCCCGCGTGCTGTTGTGCATGCGATTGCTATGGAGGCTTTGCAGACAGTAGAAGTGTGAGATAGCATGAGATGGCACGTAAACAACTTACTGTACATTCAACGGCATCAGACCCAGCTGATTTGCAGCAGTTTGTTGCAGCTGCGGTGATCATCATTGCTGTTCCCCACATCATCATACTACCACTGGTCACCACCACCGTCGCCACCATTCACCACCGCCTCCACTATACCATATGGTGATTCTCATTAGGATGATATCATGTTGTGCTTGGTATCTGACAGTCCCGGAAAGCTGCATGGAGCTGCCTCAGACCATCGGGAGTCCCGGTCCGAACGGTCCGAACTTCGATGAGGTCGAACTTGGGACGGGGTTGCAGCGAGAGTCGAGCTTGGGAGACACCACTGTGTTTGAAGGTGCAGTGCGAGCGGCTTCTGCGAGAGCGCGCGGACGCTTGCAAGCTTTGGAGCACGGATTGCACTGCGCAATGCAAAAAACAAAGACAGCACAGTGAATCACCAAGGAAGCAGAGGTGGCGAGCCTCCAGCTCGACATCAACTTCAAGATTTCGCGCATTCTGATGCTTGAGTCCTCTCCTGAAATTGCCGTATCCATATATGGATTGCATGGATCATGCGTCCTGTCGTGACTGTTTGCGCAGGTCGAAGCTCGAGGCTGCAGAAACCAGGCGGGGCCTGATGGGAACCCGCTTCACAATACATCTCGCCTATCATCTCCAGCGCTTTTTTCAAGAGATGCCTGGAAGCGGCAGCCTGGCATCAACATCATCCGCATTTTCCCATTGCCACGGCCGGCACATTATGGTCGCAGTCTTTTCGGTTCGGTTTCATATGGTTTTATGTGGTTTCACATGGTTCCGAGAATCGTGTTTTTTGCAAATGCGATTCGAAAAGCTTGCAGGTGTTCCGAGCTCGAGCGGCTGCAGGCCCACATCCCCAGCGCCATCTGCGACAGTGGTACGATGCTCGCTTGCAAGCAGCCGACCTGAGATGCAGAGTTGCTGCTTTGGCTCTGGACTTGCCACGTCGTGGTCTCGTGGTCTCGCGGTCTCGTGGTGGTACGCTTGAACAGGAGAGAGCGCATATTCAGTAAAGACGTGCGACGCCTTAAACATTGAACTAAGCGAAAACATGCAAAGAAAAACCAGGACATAGCCAAAGCCCCAGCAGGCATGAGAGCAGCCTTGCAAAGTTATGCGGAATGCGTTGGAAGAATGTATCCAAGCCAAGAAGAATCCAACGACTCAACACCTGTTCTCGTTGTCGACAGAGCAGGGCATGTTCACCAGCACCTTGTTGCCACACCCGTGAGGGAGAGAGTTGTCATCGCGAAGCGCCTGCGTCCCAAACCCATGTTTCCTCCAGCGATGCACCATCGGATCCGTTTGCTTAGGTGCGACGGTGAGTCCGCATTGAATCCATTGGCAGCGGCCGAGCCTTGCTTGCACAGACGGGTTTGTCGGGTTTGGGTTGATCGGGGCTGTCACTGACAGTTGGCTGGGTCGGCCTCCGGCCAAGAGTTGATGTTCGGACGATTTGGCTTTTGGCAGGCTGAAACATCTACTTGTCCAGCCCGAAGCAATGCCCCACCTATCCAAGAATCCAGCGTCAACACGGGAGCAGCGGGTCTTGTGACAAGGCACTCGTTGCCGCATTGCGAAACCAGGTGGTGGCTGGCAAGCCCTGCAGTAAAGCGTCCTCGCTCAGATCGTCACGCATAGAAAGGGTGTCTAGAGTCTAGAGTCTGGAGTCTATGTCTAGGGAAAGGGCGGTCATGGGCCAGCCCAAGGAGCACTTCGAGAAGCTTTTCAAAGAGACCAGCGACCGGTATGAGGTACTGTTTAAGGAGATCGGCGATCGTTACAGAGCAGCAAGGACGCGCGTTCTAGGCATTCTCCGCACCGTGCTTTTGTTGGCGCAACATGTGATCAGTGGCGCTTTCAGGAAGCAGGGTATAGAGTCTTTCGATGGTGCAGCCCAGGCCTCAGACAAGATCTGAACACAGACACAGACACAGACACAGACACAGACACAGACACATACACAGACACAGACACAGACACAGACACAGACACAGACACAGACACAGACACAGACACAGACACAGACACAGACACAGACACAGACACAGACACAGACACAGACACAGACACAGACACAGACACAGACACAGACACAGACACAGACACAGACACAGACACAACAGACACAGACACAGACACAGACACAGACACAGACACAGACACAGACACACACACAGACACACACACACACACACACAGACACACACACACACACACACACACACACACACACACACACACACACACACACACACACACACACACACACACACACACACACACACACACACACACACACACACACAGACACCCACACACAGACACCACACACACACACACACAACATGACAACACACACACCAACACACACACACACACACACACACACACACACACACAACACCACACACACACACACAAACACCCACACAAACACACACACCAAACACACACACACACACACACCACACACACACAACACACCACACACACACACACACACACACACAACACACGCACACACACACACACACACACAACACACACACACACACACACCACCACACACACACACACACACACACACACACACACACCCACACCACACCACACACACACACACACACACCCACACACCCACACACCACACACACACACCCACACACACACACACACAACCACACACAACCACACACAACCACAGACAACCACAGACAACCACACACACGCACACACACACACACACACACACACACACACACACACACACACACACACACACACACACACACACACACACACACACACACACACAGACACACACAGACATACACACGTGCAGATTCAGAGCTTGTTCCTTGAAGTGCGGTGCATGTGATGATATGGAGAGCTTCGTGCTTGCAACATCAGATTGGGGTGGACCTTTTGTTGAGAAGGCAAGTGTCAGCTTTTATGGCCTGTCTGGTGCTTGCGACTGCTCATCCATCTCTACGTGGTGCCCGCAATCTTGGAGACGCAGCCCTGAACTGAAATGCACTTCGCTGTCGGTACCCATCAAAGGTCTGAAGGATATGCAGGTGACAACCGGCACTCCTAGGCCTGCCCCGAAGTCGCCAAGTTTCAGTTGTACGGCTTTCAAGATCTGAGCCACAAAATGAGACGCGAACCCCATACTAGAACATAAAACCAGACTTATTGATTGCTACATTTGGAATGATGTGGCCACGACTGCCAGAGATTGGGCCAGTGCCAGGGCCCTACGGCACTTCTACTTAGAGACCCTGAGCCCGTTACTTTGAGGATTACTACAATTCCGTGCTGCAGTTCTCCAAAGCGATTTGGATGCTGGAGCTGGCCTGGCACCCGGAGTATGTCCCACGCATCTCTCCTCACATATTGTTGTGGCAGCATTGCAATTTTGCGTGCTCTTGACTCTTGTCAATTACCACATGTGCAATCGCTCAGTGGCCAGAAGTGAAGCGGCCCGAGTGCGTTTCTCAGATAACTTTTGGGAATGAGGCATGTGCTGGTAGTTACTGTAGGGTCTGTACATGGTCTTTGGCGTTTCCGGATGTCTAGGTCATGGGCCCCAGGCATGGCCGAGATCCTGGTCAACAGAGGTTTGGCCCACGTCAAGCACAGGCCGCTTGCCTCCACACTTTCCGCTCCGCAGTTTGAAGTCCAATGTCTCCATTGCTGACATCTCTCGGAAACGAAGGCAATGGGAGCTTGCAGAGGACCGGCGAACTTGCACATCCGGCTTCGCGTATCTGTGCACATGCATCTTGCACGCGCGCAACGCCAGGCTGATTTTACGGAAGGCCTCAAGTTGCACCCAGAGGCCGCGTCCGGCAGTCAACTTGCTAAGGGGACTTGAAGGGGCAGCTCAGAGGCTTTCATCTTTTTTTTTCACACTTCGCTTGCGCATGCTTGCGCCATAGAAAAGTGTTGGCCTCGCATGTTCCCACCTCGCGGTTGTCCCTGCTTACATTGGCAAACCACCAACGAACGCGTTTTGGTTGACCCACAAGAAGCCTTGCCCTAAGCCTAAACACCACAGAGGGTTGGCAAGCTTGGCAAACTATGAACCCCAAAAGAGCCTGCTGCTGAAAGGAGTGACAACACCCGAAACTCTCTGTATCTCTTCCAAAGGGCAACTCATCTATCTGATCTGAAAAGTCCATGTGCAGCAGTGCGGCATTGCACACTGCAGACATCTTGTATGGACGGCAGAGGGCTTGCAACTTCTGAATCGAGTGCACGAACGAGGCAAATGCGAGCTTGGCCTTAGGGGGAGGAATGGCCCGCAATAGGGCAATAACGGCCCGCCACGAAGACATGCGAAGACCATTTCAAGGGGAGACCAAGAGTGCAGAAGATGGGTTCGTTGACAGCGTTGAGGGGCACATGCCAATGTCATCCGATGTCATGTGATGCAGTTCCTGTGCAGGCTACCGGGCTGTTCGGCGCCGAGACTCTGTCCCACCGTGCTGTGGTGGCGGAGAAGCTTGGTCATCTGACGCAGTCCCTCCAGGCCTGATCGGAGTTTCAGATAGTTAACGTGTGGCGAGTTTTCGGATGTTTGTTGGGTTGAGATCCCTGAAAACCGGTATCGATTTGGGATGTAGGGCTTTCGGGTCAAAGACGGCTTGCGTAAGCCCTGGCGGCCCTGGCGTCGATCTCGCAATCCAACGGAAAAACCCCAAGCCGCAAGCCGTGCCCCCAACACTGCCGATGCCTCATGCGGCCGGGATACGTCAGCAACCTGCGCTTTTGGGGGAATTTATTGCAAGGATGCCGAAGGCGTGCTGCGAATCAAGCCTGATGCCGAGGCGCCCGTGGTTTTGCATTAGGATCTGATCGACATCTTGGGGCGTGTCTTTTTTGGCGGCGGGGTGGGGGGGGGGGGGGGGGGGGGGGGGGGGGGGGGGGGGTAATCACGGGTAGTCCACATTGGGGTGGCCATGAAGGACATGCGCTCGCTGATGGCCCGCATGGCCGAGCTCTCGGACAGTCTTGCATCATCTTGCGTCATCTTGAGTCTGACTCATGCCTTCTTATATTGGTGTCTTCCTAATCCTCCCTATCTTGGTCTCAAGCCTTGTCCAGGTTTCGCGGATCATTGCCGGCGTGACCAGGGAGCTGGTCCAAGCTGAGGCGGGGAAACGCCGGCATTGAACGTAGAGAACAAGCAGCCTGCAGATTTCCGCAGGATCTGGAGACGCGCCACCGTTTGTGGAGGTCTTTGATTCTGACATGGCACCCGGATAAACATCCGGATCGTCCTACTGGTGCAGCAGAGGTCGATCTTGTTGACGCTTCATGCCCAGCTTGCGAATGGCCAATGGGGACACTCTTCGCAGGTCTGCAAGCACCTGAACTCGTTGAGGCTGGACTTTTGATTCCATGTGGACACAGCCTGCTCTCAGCACTTTGCTTCGAGGCAGCTAGTTTGCCACTGAGCCGCCGCTCCCAGTGTTGCTAGGAACCGAGAAAGCATCACCACAGGGCACTTCGGCTAACCTCCAAACCGGCCCCATCATTCTTCTCATCGAAAGGTCTGGCTTCGACTTCGTATGGCTCCTTGCACAGATCTGAGATTTTGCTCCATGTCTGTGTGGCATGACTCCTTCTGATACTTAGAAGCGCCCGTGCCAGCTCAGAGTTCATGACTCGGGCTTCAGTTCCAACCCCACGCAGTGGGCATAGTGATCAAACAGAAGTTCCTGAGAGTCCAAAAACTCGAACATGATCAAAAGAAAATAACGAGGATCAACAGCTTCAAGAAGGATGAAACCTTGCATTTCCACGCTGTTGCTCCTGATTCAGTTTTTAAGTCCGTCGACAGAGCTTTCTCGCGCGGAGGTGACGCCTTGAACATGTCTAAAACTCCCCAAAGTCCCAAACCCTCCGCAGGCAAAACGAGGAAGCATAGGGATATGGATAGGGTTCCTGCTGCCACTTTCACTGGCTCACCGAGAGGGAAAGAAACCCTAGAACTCAAGCTGAAAGTAAACCCGGCTCAACAAGGCAAATTCAACGTGCCAGCTGCATCCTTGCACAGCGCCAAGCGCACGCAGGAGCCGCCTTGGAGTTGTCGGGAGTTCAGGGTTTAGGGTCTGGCAAGTCTAGGGAGTCTAGGGTGCTTGGACTGTGACATGCAAACACATCGGGCACCTGTTATTCGAGATGTTTTTCGAGGGTCGTAGGGTGCACGTTCCTGCATGACCTAATAAATGTAATCTTCTGCCGCGCAGGATCCCTCGGCTCCAAAGAGTGCTGCAATGCACAGCCTAACTTTGCGATTGAGGTCGAAAAGGTTGGCGAAGATTTGTTGTTGGCTTGCGCCAGCGCCCGCCTGTGCCGACCATCGTATATACCATCATGGCATTCAGACGCGTGCCTTCGCGTTGAGTGTAGCGGATGGCGCAGCCTAGTTTCAAACTGCAAGCCCCAAACCTTGAACCTCTTTCTTTCAAGGCTCGAAGCTGGCGTTGGGAGAAGTCTCAGGTCGTTTGTGCACCGAGGAACTGTACCTACTCGGCCATGCTTGTTGTGCTCTTTATGACACTTTATGACAGAAGCCCATCAGTTGCACCGGTCCTGGGTGCTGTTGTGCATGTGATTGCAGTTGTCGCTTTTCAGACACTAGAAGTGTGAGATAGCATAAGATGGCACATGATGGCACTTAAACACCTTGCTGCACGCCTCCAGTAATAGTGGTTCCCATTAGGATGATGTCTTGCTGTGGTTAGTATTTGACAATTCCCCGCAGCCGCATGGAGCCGCCTCAGATTATCGGAAGTCCCGATCCGAATTTCGATGAAGTCGAACGTGAGACGGGGCTGCAGCGAGAGTCGAGTTTGGGTCCGGAGACACCACGGAGTGGCTTGGCCGTAGTATGCCTTACTACGCCTTAGTTCTTTGTTATCCCGTGCTCGGAAAGCTTTAGGGTTACTCGTGCTGACACACACACACACACACCGCATCTCGAGCTGCAATTGTGTGGCCATCTGGGAGGCCCTCGGATGAATCTTCTGGGTTTTCAGACTTCACAAGATGACCTTCGGGTTTTTGGGTTTATCATTGCCCCAGGACCTGCGAGCCTGAAAGCCGAAGAGCAAGCCAAACCTCTGCAAGGAGTTAGCGGTCGGTTCCAAAGTTCGAGTTGCATTTTCTGCAAGGCAACCTTCGCCTGAGGACTGCGCTTTGCGTGAGTTCCTACCCTTAATCTTGAAACCAGCCACCGTAATTTCGTGATTTTGGTGCCCTGAATGCCATGTCGATAGATGTATGTACCTTCAGCCTCTACACCATTACGGCTTGCTAGGGTTTTCCAAGAAAATCTTTGTTTCCTCCATCTTACATAATCGGGAAACCTCTGTTGCGTCCTCTTTCACATGTATTTCCTATGTTCTTTGACAGGAAGCCCTTTTTTCGATCGTGATCCCGGGGCCCCTAGACCAAGCCGGCCTATGAATCGTTTTTCTTCGTGCACGGAAACATTGACATAAACGCCTTCCATCGCCTTCCAACAGAACAACGCACGCGAAAGGATTCTGGAGATTTCTGGAGCGTAGTCTAGGATGACATAGGGTTCAGAAGGGATGTCTTCGGGCTATCCAGCAAGGTTTGGGTTTCATAAGAGTGTTTCGGAAGAAGAAGAAGAAGCGAAATTTCAAAAAAGACTTCCGACCAAACATGGAGTGCCAAGCATTTTTGACAAATTCGCAGGGTCGACAGCTTTCAACGGTAAATCAGAGGATTTCATATCTTTCGCGAGATGTAATTTGATTTAAGAGCGTTTGGGGCCCACAAGATGTCATCCGCGAAGTTCATGAAGGGGTTCGTTGGCCGCATGAACCCTTTGTGAGCATTGAAGCTCTTAGTCTCCTGTGACACGTGGAGTATTGACTTTGTTTGTATAGGTTTCGCAATGACTAAAAGATGGTGTTAAGCGACTATCCCTACACCGGCATATTCTACCCAGGTGTGGACTTCAATGACTTGATACAAGAGCTGGGCAAGGAGGTTGCCAAGATGGATGTGAAAGACCCCGAGCTCTTACGGGCCACTCTCGCGTCCTCCGCCTTGTCCTGCTTTGGTCAGGTCTTGCACAAGAAATTCCATGGAGATATGTACCCGGCTAGCTTCCAGACGGAGGACATTGACTGTTTTTGGAGTCATTCATGGCATGGGCTGGCTTGGGAGAAGATCTTGTTGCTCATGCTTTTATACAACGGACGGGTGTCTTTGGTGGTTGGTAATCTGGCAGCAATGCTGGGGATGGCTCTCTTCTTTGCGGGGCTGTTGCCAGCTTATCCACGAACATTCTCGATTGAGGGCGCTACCTACGACTTTGGCCCCTGGGGGTTGACGTTCGGTTGCATCGCAACCTTGTCTGCGCTCGTGCTTGGACGGCCTGGATCAAAGGTCTTTGTGGATCGGATATGCATCCACCAGTCAGACGAGATGAGGCTAAGTTCTCAATTTGTAATGTTTTGAGATTTGGGGTTAGTTTTATATGCAAAGAGCATCGAACCGGTTTCGCCGTTGATTTGCTCAAGTGTTAGTGAAGTAAGGAAGAAGTCAATGGGTGTCCTCAGCATTGGTGGCATCATCAAGCATTCGAAAACCATGTTGGTACTGTGGGACCCGTCGTACTCAACAAGGCTTTGGACAACGTTTCCAGATCCCGAATTTGATTACGTGTCGCATTTCTTCTTAACGGCAGAAGAATATACCTATGTGGAAGAAGATCCCGTACGAACTCCAGAACGAAATCCTAGGAAACCTCCCAAGCCCCCAAAATCATCCCCAAATCCCTCAGCCCTTTAACGCGTTTAACGCTTAAGAACCTTCCAGGTTTGAGCTTGCCGCGTTTTTGAAGAGTCACGGTGATTCTGCTCTGGTTGGGAAAGTTGTGCATTGCAGGGTGATCGACTTTTTGTGAGCTGAAAAAAGTCACCACAAACCAGCCCCGACTTCAGACATCTCGAACCCCTGGCCCTGAAACCCAAACGCTACAGCGCACCCTCTGGTCCACTACCCTGCCGTCGAGCTTGAGGAGAGAGTGGCTTGATCGTCCGACCTACCTTCCTTGCCACAGCCTCGGTCGCAGTTTCTCTCTTCGGGCTTCTGATGAACCTCTGCAACGTTGTGGTGCGCCTGGGATCCGCTTCAGCGAGGGTTCAGGGTTTCAGCAGGTACTGGAGGCAAGCAGTTTGAGGTTAACTGTAATTTGGGGTTCTACTTACTGGTTTGGGGGTTGGGTTGTTGAAGGTCTAGAGTCTCGGGTCTAGGGGCTTAGGGCGTAGGCAGGGCAGGCTTCGAGGAGTTGTCCAGAAAATGTCGCCAGTAAATTGGCAGGGGTAAGTCTTCAGATTATGTGATGAAAGGATTCCCTTTCGCATGGTTTGCAAAAGGTGTGCGGACCACGAAGCAATTTCGGTGCTTCCTGGCTTTTGGGTGATGTTCGGGTCCTAGGCTCCATTGAGGCTTTAAGGGTTGTAGGGCGGTGGTGGCAGGCTCATGCAAGCTCTGAGCAGGAAGCCGAAGTTCGTCGTTCTCTCGCTCCAATGATCAAGCCCAGCACACCGTGTCCAGCCTCGGGGAGAGCCAGTGCTCTTGCACATCTTAAACACCACGAGTAAGAGCCCTAGGATGCCCTAAGTGAAAACCCTCAAACCATCTCATAACGTCACCCTCAACCCGAACTCCAGAGGATTGAGCTCCACAAGGGCACAGGAAGGCTGCTTCAGCTTTCTTTCTGGCACCCGAGGTCAATCGAGAATGCAACAGCCGCCCTTCTGACGATTGCAGGTTTGATGCTCATGATTCTTGTGATTGGGGGTGCTGGGCTCCGCAAATACTTCCGCTGGGTGGACCAATGCAGCCTCCAGCTCGCAGATTTCTCCATGGCAGCTGCGAAAGCCCACTGTTGCACCATCAATCACGTGGACGAGTTCGGGGTCAGAACGTTACCTGGCTCTTCTGGAACATGTATGAACTGTTGACAGGAAGTCGACAGCAGCATCTAAGTTCTTAAACCGAACCTTAAATGCATTTAATGCATTTAAATGCCAAACTCGGAGCCCAAAGAGCCGTACAGCCTGCCAAAGCCAAGGCTCTGCGATCGGGAGGTCATCGCGGAATGTGTGTGCAGCTGGTTTGGCAGTGTCAAGGAGTTCGAAGAATCCGTGACTCTGTTCTTCTTGGCACATGTTTGGTTGTCTTGAGCCAAACTCTTCATCATCCGAAGCTCTCAGCCCTACAGCCGAAACCCTTGACCTGATCCCCACAGTCGAAAGCAACTGAACAAACTAGTCGTCGATAACTTCCCAGTGGAGCTGAGGTAAAGGGTCGAGTCACCTCCACGTTGATGACGCTGGGGTTGTTGATCTGTTGCAGTTTGCAGGGCTGCGGGGGCAGGATTGGGAAAACGGGGAGAAGGCCTAGAGTCGCAAAGTCTTGGGTTCAGGGCTTAAGGTGCGCGATCATCGGGAAATTTAAGGGCTTGGGCATCTGTTGGCCTAGTGGCTGAGACACCAGAACATCGACCATTCTCATCCCCAATGGCAGAGACGCGACTCCGCTGTTGCAGGTGCTGTGCATTGGAAGCACTGCTGTTTTTTTGAAGGAAACATCCCATGGACCTTTGAAAGAGAATCCAAGGAAAAGTTTGGGAAGACATGCTTTTCCGTTCTCCTGGTTCATGGGCACCTGGGCCCGTCACAGTGTGATCAAGACTTTCAGTCTGGTGATTGTGCTGGGGAAGGCTTTCGCATTGGTTTCACGGCTCATGAGTCATGGGTTGCTTGTGCAGACCAAGGAATAAACTGCCAGACAATCTGGGCCTTCACAGACTTGGTGATTGCACGCCTGAGAGCTGAAGAGTACCTAGGTTTTCAAGCCCCAGCTTGTACACTTGTATTCCTTTTCTGGTGTTAGTTCAACAAGTAGTACTGAACCAGCTCCGATATCCCCAGAAAGGTACTACTTTGCA